CATGGGAGATGAGTCTCATAGACTTTCCTGCCTGGGCTGGCTTTGAACCTCGATCCTCAGATTTCAGCCTCCTGAGTAAGATTACAGCTATGAGCCACCAGCACCTGGCTCCTTTTGATTTATTTCAAATGGGTCATCACTGTGTGGCCCAGGCTGGCCTTGAGATCATTTGTTCCTTCAGCTTTTTCTCCCAGTGGTCTTCATGTGCATCTGTCTTTGAGCTACCTACCTGATCAGAGAAACTATTTTCTAGTCTCTTGCTTATTTCCCTGTCTAAAATACTTTATCCTTCAGTATATTGTTATTCAAAGCAGATTAGTTTGGTTTGTACATCTGCTTATTGGATAATGAGCTTCTTGAGAACTCTGAGACTAGTTTCCCTCTGAGCCAGCCACATGTGGCCCTGCACTAGTAGCAACCTAGAAAAATTTTTTTTCTATTATTTGTGCAAAACAGAGAGAGATAATGACCTCATAAAGTGCTTAGAGACCCTAAGCACTAACATTTTAAGTGCTTAAGAGTCTACCTTGACTATGAAATCTATATTGTAAATGTTCATGCTTTGTACCTGAAAGCTCATCTATGAAACTCTTCATTTCTCTTCATAGGCTGGTTGAAACATTAAAAAGCAGGCAATAACTCAATCATTCCAGCTCCTTTGAAACCAAGACATCATCGTATCTCTCCGTCAACAGTCAGGTGTGCTTCATGTGACATGTAAAAACTGTGATTGATGGCATATACAGAACTGACTGTAACAACTGTAATATTAAAAAAAAAAGTATTTGGTTGGAGGGAGGGATAACTTGGTCAAATCACCTGAATGTTCAGTGTAATATATTTCTTCCTTGCTCTCCTGTGTTAAGGTATGCTATTTGTATGGAGTTCTTACTTAAATATAATTCTATTAAAGAATGCACTCTTCTCAGAGGGAAAAACCCTCCTATTTTTGAATTAGTTGCATCTTGTTTGTATAGACACTAACAGATACATTAACTGAGGTTTCTTTTTCCCTTAAAATAAAAGTCTTCCAAAGATTAGACCCAGTAGAGTAGGCTAGAAACGTACTGTGTACTATAGCCTTTGTTTACTTACCTGACTACTGTTAAGCTTGCTCATTTAAAAGCTTCTGGTTACAGGCATGAGTATTATTTTGGTGGCTAGCTTTACTGACTGATCTGTAATTGTCATCCTAAGTACTTTACAGTCATCAAAAGAATTTAATGTATATTGACTTAATTGATTCATATGGTAACCCTGTAGTCCCTCCTGTTTTAGACTCAAGGTTTTAATAGGTTAGCTTACCCACAGACATAAGGACTCAAAGTAAGACTTTTGGGTCTGAAGCTTGTCTCATAAATTATACTGTAAGGCTGGGAATGTGGCTTATTGGTAGAGTGCTTGCCTAGCATGCATAAAACCCTGGGTTCAATTCCTTAGTACCACATAAACAGAAAAAGCAGGAAGTGGCGCTGTGGCTAAAGTGGTAGAGTGCTAGCCTTGAGCAAAAGAAGTTCAGGGACAGTGTCCAGGCCCTGAGTTCAAGCCCCAGCACTGGCAAAAACAAAAAACATATATTTCTGAATATATCAACACTGACAATACACAGAACCAAACTTAAAATTATGGTAGTCAGAAAACATGGAAAATAATGTCTATATAAACTTAATTGTTCATGGTAATCTTACATGATATGGTTTAAAAAAACCAACAATCCTGAATGGTTATATTTGATGGAATTAACAACATAATAAAGAAAAAAATGACATTAAATAAAAAATATTTTAAGAAGTGTAAAAGAGGTCTTTACTGTCTTCCATGTATCTGCCTGTTATTAGTAATGTACCTTGGTTTGAAGTTAACAGTTTTACTTGTTCTACAGAATGTAGTGAAGCATTCTTGATTTTTAAAAATTAGGCTTACTGCTAAGGCTATAGATTAGAAAAAAACCATATTCAAAGGAACCTCTCAAAGAACTCAGTTCACAGGATCAGTAGTAGTGTGACAGTGGTAAGTACAAACCTAAAATCACTCAAAAAGTGTTTTTAAGTTGGACAACCAGTGGTAGAGTGCTTGCCTAGTATGCATGAAGCCCTGGGTTTGATTCCTCAGCACCACATAAACAGAAAAAGCCAGAAGTGATGCTGTAGCTCAAGTGTTAGACTGCTACCCTTGAGCAAAAAGAAAGTCAGGGACAGTGTCCAGGCCTTGAGTTCAAACCCTAGGACTGGGGGTGTGGGGGTGGAGTGGAGACGGAACGGACAACTTAGGTGTTGGTAAACAGAGCTCTTAAATCTAAGAACATGGCTTTGTTTTCTAGTCTTCCCTGCCCTTGGAGATGTTGGCTTTTGGCCTCTTTCCCCCACATTCATGGTCATTCTGTTGGTGTAAATGGATGTACCTTTCTCTTTTCACCTGTGTGATTCTTACTCTTGTTCAATCACACTTGTAATCTGGTCTCTGAAATCCTTTTTGGAGATCATCTGAGCCACAGACATTGCTGTATATATTTCTGTATATATAACTAGCATGGATATCATTGTCCACCAGAATATATTCACAGCTGAAGTATGATCTATGTCAGCCAGGAGAGTACTCTAATTTGTACTTGGCTTCTCTTCTGGCCAAGGGCACATGATGGAAATGGTAGAAGAAAGTTTATACTTTGAGGTGCTAGGCTTATACTCAAAAGACAGTTACTCCCCTAAGGTTCAGGAGCTCTGAAAAATAGAAGCAGGGGGAAATAGGGCCTAGCAAGCAGATGCTGCCTGGGGTATAGCCATTGCCATCTTGATCTGAAGCTGAATGCTATGGTGGATCCTTCCTGTAACCCTAGCTAGTTAGGAGGCTGAGATCTGAGGATTGCAGTTCAACACCAACCTGGGGAAAGAAAGTCCATGAGACTTATCTTCAATTAGCCACCAAAAAGCTGGAAGTGGAGCTGTGACTCAGTGGTAAAGTACCAGCTTTGAGCTAAAGAGCTAAGGGATAGTGCATAAGCTCTTGAGGTCAAGCCCAAGTAATGGTGTGAGTGTGTACATGCACACATACATACACAATCTAAAAAAGAAGTTTACCAACCAGGCCAATAAACCATGCCAGTCTAGAAGTCAAATGCAATTTAGTAAAGTTCCCCCCATGCTTAGGACAGTGACTACCCCATGGGCTGGTCCTAGAGGAGGACTTCATTCTCCCCAGCATTCTCTCCTACAGACCCTTTGCAGCTATAGGAATCCCAAAAGGGCCAGAGCATCTGCTGTTCCTAATTGTTAACAAGGCCTGTCCAGACCAATTCTGGGGCAATGGACAATTAGACTACCTGTGGCCACCTCTGAGCTGCAGGACTTGGACTGTTTTCACTATATGTCTTTTCACAATCAACTGCCAGTTTTTCCTATTTCACTTAAGGCCAATGTCTGTACCCCTGAAGACCACAAAAGATGGCTATAATACCATTGTCCCGGGGCATCCCTATGTCATGCAACCATATCTCTTTCCTAATAAACCTTTCTGATACTTTTTAAACTTTTCCAGAGTGGTTTATAAGGCTTGCTCTACTATGTATGCTAATACTTGGTATTAGCCTTACCAATCCAATGGGTTCCAAATATAAACTCAGTCTGGTGTTTACTTAAAGGAGTAATTCAGAATATTTGGTGCAGGAGACAACTTCCCTGGTATAATTCCTTTAACTTGTGCTATGGGAGATGAAAAGGTATAGGGACTCAGCCAGCCAGGGTAGTACTTAGGGAGTTGTGGGGAGAGGTTTCAGGCAGTGAGTACACTTACTAGTATATAACTCCTTAAGAACTGGTAGAGCCATTAGCATCTCATTGTTAATTTTAAGCGGACTGTTTATGCTGTTTTTGTGCAATGCCAGTTTCTCTGGTCACTTTTTTTTTTTTGGTCCAGTCGTGGGGCCTGAACTCTGGGCCTCGGCGCTGTCCCTCAGCTCTTCAGCTCAAGGCTAGTGCTCTACCACTTGAGCCACAGCGCCACTTCCGGCTTTTTTCTATTTTGCTTATGTGGTGCTGGGGAACCGAACTCAGGGCCTCATGCACGCAAGGCAAGCGCTCTACTACTGAGCCACCTTCCCAGCCCCTCTGGTTACCTTTTCTACTGATTAGCTTTGCTGATTCACTGGTAGTTGTTATATACTGGACACTAGTGATCCTATAAAACAGTATTCAGCATATATCATATCCTAGTTTGTAACTTTTCATAAGCTAAAGTTATTAATAGTATTGAAACAGGATTTATGACGTTTACTATGTCAACAGCAGTTTTTGTGTCTTTTGGTAGCTATAGGCCAAGCCACTTACCTTATTCTTTTTTGAGAATGTCATAGCTATCTCGGCTTTATTAAGCTAACATTTAACCAATAGTATTAACTTGGAAAGAAGTAGCAGCTTATGATACTGAATCTCCTACTTCCTGGCTACTTCTCTTTATTTGTGTAGATATTTTTAATGCCTTGTTAGAATTTTACATACTTTCCACAAAAGAATTGTGAATATTTTATTGTATTCTTGTTTTTTTTTTGGGCGGTCATGGGGCCTGAACTCTGGGCCTGAGCACTGTCCCTCAGCTCTTCAGCTCAAGGCTAGCACCCTACCACTTGAGCCAAAACGCCACTTCCAGCTTTTTCTGCTTATGTGGTGCTGAGGAATCGAACCCAGGGCCTCATGCATGCAAGGCAAGCACTCTACCACTGAGCCACCTTCCCAGCCCCTATTTTATTGTATTCTTAATACCTACATTTTTCTTGCTATTAGACAATGAAGATATACAGTAGTATTAAACATTTTAATTAAAAAAAATAGCATGATTACATTAAGCTATATAATATACATTCAAGGCCACAGTTTATCTTTTTTTTTTTTGTCGGTCATGGGGCTTGAACTCTAGGCCTGGGCGCTGTCCTTCAGCTCTTCAGCTCAAGGTTAATGCCCTACCACTTGAGCCACAGAGCCACTTCTGGCTTTTTCTGCTTATGTGGTGCTGAGGAATTGAACCCAGTGCCTCATGCATGCAAGGCAAGCACTCTTACCACTGAGCCACCTTCCCAGTCCCACATAGTTTATCTTAAATAAACTTAAATCTGTGATAGTGGAGAATGTACCAAACAGTTCACACTTTGTAGACTGAATTACGCACACAGCATAGGGAGGTCTTACTCCACTATGGCTAAATCTTTCAGGCTGTGAGTCTTTTGTCTCTTGGCCTTATAGCCTGGACGCAGGAACTCTATTTTCCTCTTCTTTGCTTCACTTTTATTTTTATGTTTCTTCAATTTTTTCTTGGCAGCAATATCAGGATTAGTTACAAACTTGAAGAAAGAACAGAAATTAGAACGTTTTAAGCCAATCCAAATCAAATGCAGAAAAAGTGCCATATTATTTACTTTTAAAATTTAATAATATGCTCACTAATGAAAATATTGAGCCCCAGATAAAAGTCTCTACCTTCCAAAACCTCTTGCCCCCCTCGACGTAGCACACACGAGTGCATACTCTCGGCTAAAAATGTTTCGGTTATGTCACATTAAGTGAAACAAGCCATGTTCTAAAACAAACTCACCTCTAGAGCCTTCCTCTTTTTCCGGAGTGCCCTCTTCTGATTAGCCTGTTTCTGTACTGAGGCAAAGGCTAATGAGAAGCTCTCAAGCCCAACCAGCTTTTTGAGTAATTCTATAATTTCCTGGGAAAGGTTCTTCAGCATAGGATCTAGTGACACACACAGAGTAGTGATTAGACTCAGGCATGTGACACCCAAGTGAACAGCACAGAACACTTGAACCCCTGCTACAGCATTTAAACACCAATCCCAGACTGGCCTCTGTGCTTCAGACAAGGGAAGACAAGCAGAAAGTGCTGATACCAAACACCAATTGCCACCTCAGCCAGGATGAAACAGGAAATCAGAGATTATGAGGCCTACTTCTCAGTAGAACCTGGCCCTGAAGACATTAAAGCAAATTCAAGAACGTGACAATGTTTGACCCTACCTTTATAAACCTGCTCAGGTTTGTGCAGATGTAGGGAGAGGTAAGATTGCTTCTCTAGCTTCTCTCTAATCTGTGGCTCACAGAAACTTAGCTCTGTCCACAGAAACCTTTTCTGGGGATTAGAGACTAAGAAGCAAATGAAAAGCTAAATAACTTAGATTTCTGCATTTTCAGAGTTCAGGGTATGTGTTGATTGGAAACACCAATCCTTTCCCACTAGTAAAGCCCTAATGCCTGCAAACCTTAGGTATTTAGTAAATGTTGGCTGACTCAAAAGCAACCCTGATCCTGGCTCTCAGCAGCCTCAAACGTCACCAAGGCTTTTCTACCCTTAAGACTGGAGTGTGGAAATTTCGCCCAAAGTTGTAGAACTGAAAAATCTCCTGGGCTGGGAATGTGGCTTAGTGGTAGAGTGCTTGCTTACTAGCATGCATGAAGCCCTGAGATCCATTCCTCAGTACCACAGAAAAAGCAGGAAGTAGCACTGTGGCTCAAAGTGGTAGAGTGCTAGCCTTGAGCAAAAGCAGCTTAGGGACAGTGCCCAGGCCCAGAGTTCAAGCCCCAGAATTGGCAAAATAAATAAATAAACAAATAAATAAATCTGCTTCATTTGCCTATTTTTTAAACCTTTCCTTTTGGAGACAGTTTTACTAAGTAACCCTTAGCTGATTTCAAACTGCAGGGTTGTATCTAGCTACTTTTAAACTTCTGTTTTTTCTTTTTTGTTGTTGTTGGTTATGGGGCTTGAAATCTGGGCCTGGGCCCTGGCCCTCAGCTCTTTAGCTCAAAGTGAGCGCTCTACCACTTGAGCCACACTTCCGGATTTCTGGTGGTTTATTAGATAAGAGTCTCATGGACTTTCCTGCCCGCGCTGGCTTTGAACCATGATCCTCAGATCTCAGCCTCCTGAGTAGCTAAGGATTACAGGTGTGAGCCACTGGTGCCTGGTTTACATCTGTTTTTCTTGAACTCAGGGCGGGTGCTGCCCTTGAGACCCTTTGTGCTCAAGGCTACCTCTACCACTTGAGCCATAGCTTTTGGTGACTAATTAGAAGAGGCTCATGGACTTTTCTGCCCTGGATGGCTTCCAACTGTACTCCTCAGATCTTAGCCTTCTCAGCAGCTAGGATTACAAGTTTGAGTCACTAGTACTCAGTTTACCCTGCAATTCCTAAGAAGAGAATATAAGAATATTTTATTGCTTATTATGTAGTTCAACCACTTCAGCCACAGCGCCACTTCTGGTTTTCTGGTGGCTTATTGGAGATAAGAGTCTCACAGACTTTCTTGCCCAGGCTGGCTTTGAGTTGCAATCCTCAGATCTGACTCCTGTGTAGCTAGGATTATAGGCCTGAGCCACCGGTGCCTGGCTTTATTCATTTTTTTGAAGACAGGGCTCCCCCTGTGCAGCCTTGAACTCTTGCTTCAATTTCCTGAGGGCTAGGATTACATACATATACCACTACACTTCAAACCTATAAGGTTGAACAATATACCAAATCAGTTTTCTTTGCATAATCAATGCTTAGGACTAAGGCACCACTTTTAGGAAAGAAACATTCACTCTCTATGAAAGCATATAGAAGAAAGTCATCAAATATAGTACAAATGTAAACTGGATACTGGTAGCTCATCCCTGTAATCCTAGCTACTCAGGAGGCTGAGATCTAAGGATTGCAGTTTGAAGCCAGTTTGGGATGGAAAGTCCGTGAGACTCTTATTTTCAATTAACCACCAGAAAACTGGAAGTGGCACTGTGGCTCAAGTGGTAGAGTTCTAGCCTTGAGTGAAAATGTTCAGGGACAGTACACTATGACCAACAAAAAGAAAGAAGAAAATAAAATTAGTATAAACATGCTGGCTTATGTGCAACTAAACTGTCTTCATAAGATTTCATCCTTAAACTCTGTATGGACTGAAGACCAAAAGGAAGGAGGCAACTAGGAGAGAAGTTAGAACCCCTAGTATGTAGGAAGACAGAAGGTGGTGACCATTACCTTGATCTGAATAGGTGCTGTTCAGTTCTCGATACAGAGGTGAGATGATCACTGGGAGATACGGCTTTACCCTGTCCACCCCAAGATCCACTGCAACAGCCCCAAGGAACTTGAAGATGCATGTTCTCTATAAACAAAGGTCATTTTTACTGGAAATGATTCTTTTTCAGTCATAAGAACTCGCAGTATTAATTTAGAAGATAAGGTTCTACCTTCCCTACAACCCAGCCCAACCACTTCTAGGCATCTACTGTGAATATCATGAGCCAGGAAACAATAAAGACACCTGCACATCCATGTTCACTGCCACACTATTCACAATAGCCAAGATACGGAAACACTCAGATGCCCCACAATAGATTAGTGGATCAAACATTTGGGTACCTATACACAATGGAATCTTACCCAGCTATTAGAATAAAATAATGTCATTTGTAGGGAGATGGATAGAACCAGAACAAATTATTTTAAGTGAGGTAAGCCAAGCCCAAAGAGACAAATGGCACATATTCTCTTGATATGCAGAAATTTAGATCACTGGGATATGGTAAATTACATAGGATTCTAGATACTCATACACAGTGCGACCTAAAGAGGATGCTTTTAGGAGAGAAACAGGTGTGATGCTTCTTCATATTTATATAAAATAATATACATACATACTGAAACCAACTCCAAGATATGGAAACAACAGACATCTTTTTTTTTAAGTTTTTAGTTTTTGATGCTTCTGTCTTCTTTACCTTATATATGGTGTATTAAGCACACATCTTTGGAAGCATGGGAGGAAGGGCATAAGGGAAATAGGGTGAAAAGTGCAGCAGTGGAGCTCACTGGACACTGATGAAAGTGAACCATACAACTCATGGGTGAAGATGGGAAAGAAGGACTGGGAGAGAATGAGGGAACAAAGGCACTGTATGAAAGGAAATGTACTCATTTCCTGACTCATGTCATTGTAATCCCTCTATAATAACAAATAATAACTAACAATAATAATAATAAAAGACAAGGTTCTATACTGGGACAGATTGTTGGGGGTTTAGGTTCAACATGTAAGGTTCCTAGGGATTTGAGAGGACCAATAATAATATTAAATTTCTTTTTTTTTTGGGGGGGGTCTGGTCGTGGGGGTGGTCTTGGCCTGGGCGCTGTCCCTCAGCTCTACAGCTCAAGGCTAGCGCTCTACCACTTCAGCCACAACGCCACTTTGGCTTTTTTCTTTTTTGCTTATGTGGTGCCGAGGAATCGAACCCAGGGCCTCATGCATGCAAGGCAAGCGCTCTACCACTGAGCCACCTTCCCAGCCTATATATTAAATTTCTTTAAACGAAAAGGCCACTTATATCCATCCTGTCCCACCTTTAGGAGGTTTCTAGGTGAATAAGCAGCTTCCAGTTTTGCCACCCGAGACAACTTCTGGATCAGCCACAGAAGAGTGGCTGGTTTGCCGGGCTCTTCCTTCTCCTCTTCCCTTTGTCTGTCAGGCTCTGCCTTTCCATTCCCACGGGTGTCATTTTCTTCTAATGCATCCCTGGACACAGAGTCTCCTAAAGCTTCGTGTTGTACCAAGTCTTTTATTTCACTTTGCTTATCTTCAGAATGTGGTTCTAGTAAATATACAACTTTTGCTACAAATAACAAATTTTTCACAACCTTTAAGAAAGATGTGTGGGGGGACATAAAAAAAGAATTAAGATTCTGAAACAAGCATGGCTCTCTAGAGCGTAAGCTACAATAGGCATCTGACAACTGGAAAATACAAGCAAACAGTTGGGTATTGCACTATTAAATCAATGAAGGCTACATCTTGGACAATTCTTATGTTCTTCCACATAATATGTTCAAATCCATTTTCATGGAACCTATTGGCCTAGTTCCACCTTGCAAGGTCACACAGGATAAATCAAAATGTCCTAATGGAACAACTACCTTTTGATGTTGTTGTTGTTCCAGTCCTGGGGCTTGAACTTGGCTCCTGGGCACTGTATTTGAGCTTTTTCTGCTTAAGGCTAGCACTCTACTACTTGAGTCAAAACTCCACTTCTAGCATTTTGGCGATTAATTGGAAATATAGGTCTCACAGACTTTCCTGTGCAGGCTGGCTTCAAACCATGATCCTCAGATTTCAGCTTCCTGAGTAGCTAGGATTACAGATGTAAGCACTGGTGACTGGCCAACTACATACTTTTTTTTCCCCCTGCTTATGTGGTGCTGAGGAATTGAACCCAGGGGGCCTCATGTATGCAAGGCAAGCACTCTACCACTGAGCCATCTTCCCAGCCCCACCTACGTACATATTGAAAGAAAACTTTCACCTCTATCTTCATTAAATTCTTTCAATCATTTTCCTTTTTTTTTTTTTGCTGGTCCTGGGGCCTGGGTGCTCAAGGCTAGTACTCTACCATTTGAGCCACAGCACCACTTCTGGCTTTTTCTGCTTATGTGGTGCTGAGGAATCGAACCCAGGGCCTCACGCATGCAAGGCAAGCGCTCTACCACTGAGCCACCTTCCTAGCCCCTCTTTCAACCATTTTATGGAGAGATATATTAATTGAACATTGTTTGGTTGTTCTATTTATTTATTTTGCTGGTCGTGGGGCTTGAACTCAGGGCCTGGGTGCTGTCCTTGAGCCTCTTTGTATCAAAAATAGTGCTCTATCACTTGAGCCACATCACAACTTCTAGCCTTTTTTCTAGTTTATTGGACTTAAGAGTCTCATGGATTTTCTTGCCCTGGCTGGCTTCAAACCATGATCCTCAGATCTCAGCCTCCTGGATAGCTAAGATTACAGGTGTGAGCCACCAGCACCTAGCTACTTGATTGTTTCATATACAGTATGTTAATTCAACTTTAAAAGATCTCAGTCTTGACTAGCATGCATGAAGCCCTAAGTTCAATTCCTCAGTACCACATACACAGAAAAAGCCAGAAGTTAACCAGGCACCAGTGGCTCATGCCTATAATTCTAGCTGCTCAGGAGGCTGAGATGAGGGGATTCGTTTCAAAGCCAGGCCAGACAGGAAAGTCTGTGAGACTCTTACATCCAATTAACCATAAGAAAACTGGAAAAGGTGCTCTGGCTCAAGTGGTAGAGCACTTGCCTTAAGCTGAAGAGCTCAGAGACGGTGCTCAGGCCCAGAATTCAAGCCCCATGACTGACAAAAAAAAAAAAAAGCCAGAAATGCTGCTGTGGTGTAAGTGGTAGAGCACTAGCCTTGAGTACAGAGAGGCTCAGGGATAGAGCCCAGACCCTGAGTTCAAGCCCGAGGACTTGCCCCCCCCCCCCAAAAAAAAGAGCAAGATCCCTGTTGGGTTCTGTTACAAGGAGAGAAAATGAAGTCTTAGATTTATTAATTGATACACCCAAGTACAAAGTGAATGGTTTATCAGGATTCAGAAATCTTTAGAATTCATGGCTAAGTTCAAGGCCAACTGAGCATCTCCCTCAAGTCCCATCTATTCCAGTTAGTTAGAGTATTGGTCTTATAGTAATGGACCCATTCATGAATCCTTATCTGTGAATTCTATCAAATCTCTGATAGATTTCAACCTAGTAACATGAGGGAGAAAAACAAGATGGCTTGGGTTCATTCACTATCCTGGCTGTTCTGCTAGATGTTTCCAAAGTGTAGTGCTCAGAACTCCACCTTCTCTATATCTGGCTTAGCCATTAGGAGTTAGTGCCAATACCTTCTCAAACTTGACCTTTGAATACAGCCTGGGTGTGAAGGCTTTCTCTTCCTGTGGTAGCCACTTCAGTGTTAATTTACCCTAAGATATGCAACTAAAATCCCTCTTTTACACTATAAATCTCTCTTGGTCACCTTAACTGTCCATTAAACTAATAACTACGTGAAACATACTCCACTGTCTACCCTAGCAGGATTTCTTTGTCCCACACTGCTCTGCACTGAATGCCTATCCATTCCTTCCTTGATCCTATCATAAAATGGGGCAGGCTCTAAATTATAAAATGTGACAGAAAGGTCAGTGCTTATGACATGAAAATATTCTTTAGGTGGAGATATTGACCTGGTTTCTGGTCTCTAGCAGTCTATATTGCTCTATCCAGTCTAATAAAATTCACAGAGGGACATGATAAAGGGCCATGGGATGGCCAAGGGCCAAGTGGTGTTTGCCCATTAGTTTCTAGTCTCACTTCTCTATCAAAAGGAAAAAAAAGTACAAGGGCTACTCAAAAGCAAATTAGTTTACAAACTACTTAAAACAGTTATCTCTATTTACATGTTGTAGTATGGAAATACATAATATACCTTTCTTTTCTATTTTTTTTTTTTAAAGTTGGTTGTGGGGCCTGGGCACTGTCTCTGAGCTCTTCAGCTCAAGGCTCTACCACTTCTGGCCTTTTCTGCTTATGTAGTGCTGAGGAATCAAACCCAGGGCCTCATGTATGCAAGGCAAACACTCTACCACTGAGTCACCTTCCCAGCTCTACCTTTCTTTTCTTTTGTCAGTCATGGGGTTTGAACTCAGGGACTGGGTGCTGTCTCTGAGTTCTTTCACTCAAGGCGAGTGCTCTACCACTTTGGGCCACAGTATCACTTTCAGTTTTCTGGTTAATTGGAGATAAAGAGTCTCATGGACTTTCCTCCCCAGGCTGGTTTTGAACCTCAATCCTCAGATCTCAGCCTTCTGAGTAGTTAGGATTACAGGCATGAGCCACCAGTGCCTAACATTGTAATATACCTTTTTCTAACAAGGAAATGACTTATCTGTTATTAAGGACAGTTCTCAGAACATAGTATACTCAGAACACATTATTGTTTTTCCTGATTTCTTAAGATAAAGAGAGAAAGGTAATTATATCTTATTAGAAGAGTAATTAACTGACTAATCAATGCCCTTTAACCCTTTTGTTACAGTGAAGTAGCTGTGTTAATGCTGAAAATGCAGCCTCCCACTGAAAACTTTAAATTAGAGCCAATGCCTATCTGCCAACATAGTCTCCAAAGTTACATTTAAGTATATGCCTTTATTTTACCAAACTAAAAATGGGCTAAAAACTAAACAAATAACAAATGTGAGCTTATCCTCAGAATGCTGAAGAATAGTAGGTTGCTTCTACTAAACTAGGAAGACTACAATTCTTACCTGTTCTCCAAGAGACTGATCTAAGAATTTGGAATGCAACTGGTGGCAAGAGGCAAGAGAGATACTTTTCATCTGAAAAGAAATGGGACATTGGCAGGGTGAAATTCACATAACAGGATGTTTCTGATTACTTATGAAAACCAGCCGTAACTAACCATAATTTGACTGATTATATTTTGCTCGGTATGACTACTTATATAGATTTGGAGAGAAAAAGTTCTAGATCAGAAACTGAAACTGTTCCCTTGTGAAACACCCCAAGTGTTTCAAGTATAAAGAAATAGAATTCTTTCATATTCTGTAGAGATGTTGGTAATAATCCTTAGCATTTGGGTATTTTTTCTTTTCTTTCCTGACATTCTCCACTCATGTCATAATGGACCGTTAACATGAAATATAGACAAATCAGAAGTCTGGCTCAATTGATGGTAAAGTTATCTTTTAAAAAGCCTGGCCTTGAGGGTGACCTCCCTTCCGTTGTTAGCATTCCCATATTGGTTCACACATGTAGCAAGTAGTCACTTAGTGTTTTCTCCAAGGGCTGGCCTCAGGACAGTCAAACAACCACAGCAAGATGTCTTACAGGTCATGAAGGAAGGAAAGGTTTTAAGAGAAACCTTACCTTTTGGTCTAGATCACCTGTTAGAAACCTGACTGCTACAGGGTCTGAGAGTTTCTTTTTTCTCTTTTTGGTATTCCATTTTTGAATAAGCTCCTCAGGCTGGCAAGCAGCAAAGAGTAGTCCAAAAATCTGGGCTGCTGTGAGCCACACCCAGCTGTGAGGATGTCTCAGGTGGGTGTGCACGTGACCTAGGGGAATGGAAATACATTCTTGGATGTCTCATATTCCTCGTTCTCTGGTAGCCAACGTATCTGAATTAGCCATAGAATGAGCATCTATTATACACATGTGTGGGACAGGGAATCAAAGCTGGTTAGAACAATCCTGCTTCTCTACACAAGAGAAAATCAAGAAGCAAGTAGAAAACCAATTCCCTATCTCTAAAGGATACTAAAGAGGTAGGTGTTAACACTGGCTCTATGCAAACTAGTTCCATACAACATATAGGCATCCTATATGAAGGTGTTTCAGATTCAAGGACGAGGACACCCATGTTCCATCTTCCAGAGTGAATGAGACAAGTATATAAAGATACATGCTTGTTTCTATTACTGAAATTGGTAGGCCCAAATAGCTGCCTGGAACACTCTCTTAAGGTTTTCTACCTGCTAATGGTGTTTATATATATTATTTCATACACCATTTAGACCAAAAGACCAAAGTCTTTGGCTTAGGCTATGTAGCCACTTGCAGAAAGCAGAGCTGCAAAGCCTATAATGTGTCTCAAAGAAGATGGATCAATCAAGTCATTTCAGTTTCAGCCTACACTACTGTATTTATCAACAAACATGTTCCTATTGTTGTTCTATATTTGTTGGGAATATACTTCAGTAGTAGAGTACATGCCTGACATGGACAAGGCCCTGAATTCAATCTCTAGTTTCAAAGGAATTCAAAATATGATGAACCAAAACAGAAAGGTTATAAGAGTCTATTTGGGACTAACTAAGCAGCAACCTCCCTCCCTCAACACCTCTATTTTTTGTTTTGGTTGTATTGGGATCTGTATTCAGGTCTTGCTGGGCAGGAGCTTTACCAGTTGAGTCATATTACTGGCCCACTGTGCCTATTTAATAGACTGGATGGAAATATTGACCATTTACAAATCTTTAAAACATCAAGGTGTTTATGGAAAGTATTTTTAGGTTTTTTATTTTGTGCTAGTCTTGGAGCTTGAACTCAGGGTCTAGGCACTGCCCCTGTGCTTTTTTTCTTAGCCACTGCTCTACTTCTGGCTGTCTGGTGGTTAACTAGAGGTGAGATTCTCATAGATTTTTCTGCCTAAGCTGGCTCTGAAATGCAATCCTCACATCTCAACCTCCTGAGTAGCTATGATTATAGGCGTGAGCCTCCTCCAGCTCCTGGCAAATAAATATGTATTTTTGTCTGTCAATTACACCTTAATAAAGTTAGGAGGAAAGGGAAGAATGGAGAAAGAGATCAGAGGGGAAAAAATAATAAATTATTGCGCAGCAAACAAGACAAATGGTATTGTTTCCATCTCATCTATTACCCCATAATTGATGTCTTTTCTTACATACATATGAAATCATACACCTTTTTTCCCAGAAAGATCTATCTCATGGGATCTTTTACATTTTTCCTCACTGACTTTTTGTTGTTGTTGTTTGTTGCAGGGCTCAAAGTAGGGCCTGAGTGCTGTCCTTGAGCTCTTTTGCTCAAGGCTAGCACCCTACCACTTTGGGCCACAGCTCCACTTCCTGTTTTTGAATAGTTAATTGGACATAGGAGTCTCAGGGGAACTTTTCTTCTGGGCTGGCTTCAAACTGTGATCCTCAAATCTCAGCCTCTTGAGTAGCTAGGATTATAGGTGTGAGCCACCAGTCCCTGGCTGTTCATTCACTTTTTTGTAACACCTACTCTCTAAAGTGTTTCTATTTAAATTCCCCCAATCTGTTTTCAGTGATCTGGCCACAATTGATGTGCCTTTAGAAATACTTACTCCAGATTTTATTCAAAGTCTCAGAAGGCTTGGTAAGCTGAATAATATTACATTCCTTGATGAGTTTACTGATCAGAGTGAGAACGCTGAACAGCAGGCGGTCTGCAGCTTTCTCTTCAGTCTCCTCTATGATCTACAAAGGGGGATGCAAATCAGTTCCCATAACAACTCGGCAGTATCAGCTGTACAAGGTCTCTTAACCTTGGTACTACAGCGGTTTGGGCCAGATATCTTTTGCTCTTGGGTACTGCCAAGTATATTCAAAGATGCTTAGCAGAACCCCTATCCTTTTTATCCTGCAGATGCCAATGGCAACCTGCAGTTGTGATATTCCAAAATGTCTCTGGACATTGCCAAATGTCCCCTTAGGGAAGGGGTGTCAAGATCACCCCAGGTGCGAACCTCTAATCCTCATATACTGTGGAAGATAACTTAGTTTCACACATATACATTGCTTGGGCATTTTCCTTAGCATTTTGCTCAAGGCTAGCACTCTATCACTTGGTCTAGCTCCACTTTTGGCTTTTTGATGGTTAATTGGAGATAAGAGTCTCATGGATTTCCTGCCTGGGCTGGCTTTGAACCATGATCCTCAGCCTCCTGAATAACTAAGATTATAAATGCCACTGGTGCCCCGTTTTTTGTTTTGTTTTTTCTTTTCTTTTTTAAATTGCATAGCATCTTGCCTTATAGCCAGACTGACCTTAAGGATCTAATCCTACTCTAGCCTTTGGACTACAGGCATGTAATCATGCCAAATCCCATTTTAAAAAGAAATTCCAATAGTACTGAATTCTTGCACTGATTAATATTTTTTAAACACAGTGTCTATATTAACTACACCATCTCAAGTAAAACTTTTAAAATAAGAATTAGCAAAGTTTAGCCCCCAAGCATCTTACTTACATCTTTGAAGTTTTCAGGATCAATTTCCCTCTCAATCACAGGAAGAAGAGTTCCAAGTCTTCTCTCAAAATCAACTCCTTCACTTTCCACAAACAAGCCACAGATCAAGGCAGCAAGCTGTTTATTTAATTTCTACCAAAATCAAACCACCACAGATAATTTCAAATTATACCACAATCAGTAATATTTCTTTTAAATCATAGAAATCAGTAAAATATAGTTTTGAGGGCCAGCATAAAAACATGTGAAGAAATATTCACATGTAAAAATAACATGTTAAAAATGATAATTCATTATCCACTGAGTACATTAATTCCCCATTCCCCTCAAAATGTAGTTTGAATCATGTTGTGCGAGGTAAGCCAAGGGCAAAGAGACAAACGGTACATGGTCTCCCTGATACGTGGATGCTAAATCCAAAATGTTAGGTGATATGACAAAACTAACAGGACTTAAGAAACAAAGAACTCCCACTCATCTGGTTGAACCACTACTAAATATCCCCATGCTGCTGATCACATGTATGGTGTATAACATGTGAACACCGTTATATGTTATAGACTGTGATAGACAATTTGCTCCAGGAAAGCTGGAATGAACTTGTGACTTTAAATGAGCATCATTATTCCACAATACTGTGAAATTCCAGAAATTATGTAATCACTTAATCACAATAAAAAAAAAAAAAAAAAAAAAAAGAACTTCGGGAAACAATGTTCAATAGGAAGTGTACTCATTACCTCAGTCATGTAACTGTAACCCTCTGTATAGTATCTTTACCAAAAAAAAAAAATGTAGTTTAAGCCTTAACCTACACCCTTATCCAGCACGCTCCTCATTAAAAAAGAGGAGTCACACTATTTATATTACTCTAAAGATAGGTCAACGATGACTGGTGGCAGCCAGTTAGTGGACAGAATGATACGCATTACATTTTAGAAATAAGCACAACTTGAAACAAAGGTATTCATCCATCTAGGCTGCTTAAGCAAAACATGGTTTGTTTGACACATATGTCTATCAACACAGGTGATTTTGCTGTTATTTTCTATAACTACTTAACGTTCTGAAACTTTAAGAATATATTACTTGCATCATCAGGTAAGAGTAAAGTTTGGGCTAATTTATCTGTATGAGCATCAAGACCTGTCATTGAACTAACCTTCTTTGCTTCAAACCAGGAGGCCACCATTCCAAACAGCCAATCTTTCTTCTCAGGGCTGATCTTACTGAGTAAGGATTTGATTGCCATGGCCGCCATCTTTTTGCACATGGTAGAGTCATCATTCACCATCATCAGGCAAAGTGGGATGAAGAACATCCCACAGTTCTCATGCAGCAGTCCCTGCAGGAAAAATGCCCAAGTGAGCACACTCAGAACGCAACTGCTATGGATACACTGACAAGGGAGGGCCCAGGCTCATAGGAAAACACAGCTTTTCTTTTTTAAAGTTTTTAACTGTTATTATAAAGATGATGTACAGAGGGGTTAGTTAGATAAGTCAGGTAAGGAGTATATTTCTTTTTGGACAGTGTCACCCCTTCCTTTGCACTCTCCCAGTTTGGGAAAACATCTTTATCACGGTACCTGAGGAAATGTGACAAAGAGGTAGGCAATCATTTCCAAGGCGGACTCTCTTCCAGTCTCATGTTCATAACTATGGCAAGAACATAAGGCAAACTTGTTAGTATCTTCTAAGTTTATCGGTAATTATTGGAAAACTTAATTTAAAAAATGTTCAAAGTCCCTGTTTTAATGCTCACACCAAGCTGCTATGCAGTTTTAAGTATAATTTTAGTACTTTTTTTTTTTTTTTTAACATTTTCCAAAGTGGATTTAGACGTAAGCAGCCAGACTAGATAGATGAGTAAAGGCAACTTATAGAACTTCTATTTGAAGCCAAGTGCTATGTGATAGGCAGGCTGAGTCACATTACAAAATTCTCAGAAAACATACTAGTATACCTAGGTGCAGTTTTTTTCTTGTTGTTGTTGGGTGTTGGGCTTGAACTCTGGGCCTGGGCACTATCCCTCAGTTCTTCAGCTCAAGGCGAGCGCTCTACCACTTGAGCCATAGCGCCACTTCTGGTTTTCTGAGTGTTTTATTAGAGGTAAGGGTCTCATGGACTTTCCTGTCTGGGCTGGCTTTGAACCACTATCCTCAGATCTCAGCCTCCTGAGTAGCTAGGATTACAGGCGTGAGCCACTGGCACCAGGCCTGCAGTTCTTCTTAATGGTAACCATATTAAAGGAAAATAAGAAACTCTTCTTTTGCCCTGTAGAGTTACTGGTACAAGCTTACTTCAATTGAGCGAGTATGAATTCCAAGTTTGGTCTCAATTTCTCACCAAGGGGATAGTCAAGAATGTATTTCAGAAAAACCTAGGAACAAAAATTACAGTTGATTATTTGGATACCATCTCTCTAGGATTTCTAGTTCTTAAGCTACTTTATAGGACACACTAGTAGGCTCTAAATAACTTGCAGAAGAGTCATCAATCAGCTATCCAATAGACTCCAGACTCCAACAAAGTCTGTCTACAAAGTCTCCAACTGTGCCCCTCGGCATTGGCCAGTTTACTTCTCCAGTGATCCTCTAAGTCAAGTCTAGCCCACCACTCTCCCTCTTTTTTTTTTTGCCAGTCCTGGGGCTTGAACTCAGGGCCTGGGCACTGTCCCTGAGCTTTATTTGCTCAAGGCTAGCACTCTACCACTTGAACTACAGCACCACTTCCGGCTTTTTCTCTGTATGTAGTACTTGGGAATTGAACTCAGGGCATCATAAATGCTAGGCAAGCACGCTACCACTAAGCCACATTCTCTGCTATAGTCCACCACTCTCATTGGTTGTGAAGGCTTCAAATCCAACCCTGGATCATCAGAAGTTGACATGACAGGTGGTGTGCTGAACTGAACATGGACTGGTTCAACACTATACCTCCCCTTGAGTAAAAACAATATGAATACTGATAAAAATAACTTCTGTGATTACAAAATACCATCTACGTGCCAAGCAAGGTGGTTTTTATTTCACAGTTATTCTTCCTACTCCCTTAAGAAGCATCAGGTGACAACCATTTTACAACTGAAGAAAATGAAGGTGGCAGAGAGATTAAGTAGCTTGCTCATTGTGACAATGTCAAGAGTTCTATGTATCATATTTGTCCAAAAGCTCTACTTTCAAACCATTGGTACGGGCTGGGAAGATGGCTCAGTGGTAGAGTGCTTGCCTTGTATGCCTGAGGCCCTGGATTCGATTTCTCAGCACCACATAAGCAAAAAGCCGGAAGTGGCGTTGTGGCTCAAGTGGTAGAGCACTAGCCTTGAGCTGAAGAGCTGAGGGACAGCGCCCAGGCCCAGAGTTCAGGCCCCACGACCAGACCCCCTCCCCCAAAAAGAGCTTTCAAACCACTGGTACTCAGCCTCCTTTATTAAAAAACCATAAAACTGAAGGGATGAAATTAAACTTTCCAAGGCTTTTTACCTAGCTGTAAGAAGAGATAGTATTTCTTTTGAAGGGTAGTTGTAAATAGGGATGGTGTATGTATACCCAGGGATCATAGTCCTATTAGCAGCTGGCTTTGCTTTTTAATTGTAGCCAAGCAATTTTTCCCCTCATATGCATGTTTCTTTTCTTAAATGCTGATCTCCTGAGCAGTCCCAAATTTACTCAACCCAGGTGCATGATTCCAATTCAGACCTCCCACTTCTTGGTATGCTATATGTTTGTAAGATTAGGAATTTGATCATGTCACTCCTTTGCCTGAGAATTTCAATAGATTTTTTTACTGTTCGTAGAACAAAGTCCTAAATCTTGGGTGGGGGTGACTTACTAGTCTGAGCCAAGAGGATTGAGAGTACAAGGCCAATCTGGGATACAGAGCAAGAACCTGTCTAAATAAAGCCCTAAATCTTTACCAAGACCATAAGGTCCAAGCTGATTTCACCTCCTCTCCACTTTACTAGCTCCTCAAACAAGTTTACATCAATGGCTCCCTTTACCTGGAATGCTAAGTCCAGGCTATCTTCAAAATTCAGTCAGTGTTGACATTTCTCTCACTAAAAGATAAATGGAAAAAGTAGGCCCAGCCCTTGCTATGGAAAGAAGCTCTCTCTACACACCTGTCTGCACTGGACTCTGGTAGGTTCATTTTGTGCAGAAATTGCCAAGTTGGATACTTTCCGCATGACATCATCAATTTCTGGGACCAATAATTTTCTTGATAAAATAGCCTAAAGTACAAAAGAAAAGACACACTCATTTCACATGTTTTATCACGGATGGGCAGAAGTCAGCTTGATGTGAAAGTGGTTGCAGGCAGATTTCAAGCACAATAAAAGCAGCTTCAAAGAAAAAGAACAAGAATGTACATTTCAAACCAGCTATAACAGCAAGTTTTACTTTATATATACTTTATCATAATAAGGAAAAAAGATCCAATATGATAGATGAAAGTAGAGTTTCCTAGGAATATTATAAGAAAGATAACATTCAAATATTTTCAAAAATGGTATCTCAGCTTGCATATGACCCATTACAAATACAATAATCTTTATAAATTAGTTCATTTCAGAAATTGATAGCTGGTCAAAACCATTACGATCCAAGCTATTCTAATTATGTGATGTGAGGCTGATAAACTTCAAAAGGCAACACCAGCTGACATCATACCTTCAGAAGACCAAACGCAGTGGCTTGTCTTGAAGTATCATAAATGTCCTCCTCAGCATATGCCAGAAGAACTTGGAGCTGTTTTTCAGTTATCTGGTAAGACTTGACTTTCTTGACAATGACGGTCACGCACTGCAAATTGCAGCAACAGTGAAGTTAAAATAGCAAGCACACCCCCCCAAATCAGGACCCAAATGGTAAGGTCTTAACAACAATGCTTTTTCACCAAGGATAACAACCCTTGAGCCTTAGCAAACTTTTTTCAAAATTTTCTGAGCAAAACTACAAAGGGCAATGGAAAATCCAGGACCTGGTTTCTCTGGGCACAACTGTGTTACCTTACCTTGAAGCAGTTTACTACTAGGTGGAAGTTCTGGCCCTTGGCAGCCCCATGTCTTGCATAGTTCTTCAGCAAAATGAAAAGGTGCTTTGTCAGCTGCCCTGCTTTTTTTTCAATGGAAGGCAAAGGAAACCTCAAGACCCAGATCAGGCACTGCAAAGCACCTGTGATCACCTGCAAAAGCAAAGCAGATAATCAACTTACAAAGTAGTATTCCATCAGTCCAGGCCCAGAGACTATGTGTACTGTATAATAGTTAGCTGGATAAACAAGATGCTATATAGAACATAAGTTCCCTAAGTTCCCTGCACCTCCACGTGGAAGGAGCCATAGCAAGTGGAAGCAGTTCACAAGCAAACAAACAGCTTGCTCACCATAATTCTCAAGAACATGGGTAGTCGAAACAATTTAGGAGTTATTTTTTTAAAAGTGCATTTCAAGGGCTGGGAAGGTGGCTCAGTGGTAGAGCGCTTGCCTTGCATGCCTGAGGCCCTGGGTTCGATTCCTCAGCACCACATAAGCAAAAAGAAAAAAAAGCCGGAAGTGGCGCTGTGGCTCAAGTGGTAGAGCACTAGCCTTGAGCTGAAGAACTGAGGGACAGCGCCCAGGCCCAGAGTTCAGGCCCCACGACTGGACCAAAAAAAAAAAAAAAAAGTGCATTTCAAAAAGCTTCCGTTTTCCAAAATGCTATTTCAAATGTAACCCATTCGTACTCAGTTTTTTTTACATATATAACAATATTAGTAGTTATTATTACTATTATTATTATTACTACTATATTTACACAGTCCTGGGATCAAAGCCGGGGGGCATCACACATCAGCGAGACTGTCTCAAAAGTAATTATAAAGATGGACAATATTTCAGTGCTTAAGCACTTGAGAGAAGGCTCAGAAACTGAGCACAGAAATGATTCACTATCATTTACCATAGTTAAGGGCTGTGCAGAAAGGTTCAGAAAAAGTGTGTTGGGACCAAGTGATTACACATACACACACACACAAATCTCTGAATTTCCAAGGCTAAACCATAGCAACCACCAGGATACGCTAGCCTAGCTTATCCCTTACTGCTCCGCCTGCTGTGATGTTATAGCCTCATTCTGCTGGACTGGATGAAGATGAGAGGAAGGAACATGGAAATCTCAAAGACTGTACTGTATTGGGTTTCAATCCCAGCCCTGCAATGGATGACCTGTGACCCTAGAGAAGTTACCTAGCCTCCTGGTACCTTTACTGGTGAAGAAGGTGATATGAGGAAGTTGGAGTCTGACAAGATCCAGCTTCATAATGTAGATTATAACTAGACACCAGCCTTAGTTTTCTCATCTATGAAACGGATACATAAACATCTGTCTCATTGATGAAAATGAACTAAGCAACTCAAGGGCAGCAATGGGAGGGAAGAAATGAGAGGGAAAGAGGGAACAGCTTACACTAAGCAGCAGGAAAGAAATGTATACATCACCTGATGTGGAAGAAATAGTTGTATTGTCAAAGCTCATAGAATTCACAAACATTATAAACCAAGATAATGACAATTTGCCTTGTGAAGATTAAAATGTGTTTGGGACTTTAATTAAGTATCACTCTCACAATACTGTGAAATTTATGTAATCACTTGATCTCAACAAAAAAAAAATTATGAAAAAAAAAAAAAGAACATCTGTCTCAGGGCTGTAGGGATTAGTGACAGTGACAATGAAGATAACCATCATGATGACGACAATGATGATTATGATCATGGCTGGCTTGGGCTCAATACCATTCACCCTCTTGAAGGTATTGGAAAAACCAAATGAGCCACTTAATATAACCAGAAGGGCTCTTAAAGACATCAAGGACTGTTCAAACAAGTAGAACTTATTAATGTCTGGTGTCCTCATGATATCCATATCCTTAATGCATGTAAAAATCAATAACCTCATAAAATAAGAGCCACCAAGTAGGTTGTAGGCATTCTGCACAATGCAGTTCTATGAAGAAATGGACACTTCTATATGGACTGAAAACTAATATACCTTCACATCCATGGAATCCAGGCAGTCTATGAGCAGAGATACAAAAGGATCCAACATTTCCAGTACATGCTCACTTGAAGGACTGATCTTGGAAGTCTTTAGACTCAAATGTAGCAGCTAAAAGTTTAAAAACATTAGTTTACATAAGGTTAAATGACAGTGGCAAATGTGAAATGACTTGAAGAGATGAACATGAAATGTTAAGATGGTTCTATTTAGAATAACATAAGTTTTAAGGAATGAGAAACTGCCTCTAAGAATCGTGGCAAGTTAGGAAGGTGGGAGCTCACTGGGAGTGGAGAGGCTGGGTCCATTTACCATATGAGCAAACCAGTTCTCAGCAGGGAGCCATGCTCTGTAAGTATAAATGCTAGCGGCTCAGACTGCACCAGTGCTAGGGCTATTAGGATTGTGGGGACGTCAGGAGAGGGAGGAGTGGGTAGTGAAGGCGTGGGCAGAAAAGAAAGTGGCTGAAATATGTTGGAATACAACAGCAAGGGGCTATAGCCTCACAGTGCAAATGAAGAATGGGGACCTAGGAAGTAGAGCTGTGGGTCAAGTGGTAGAGCACCAGCCTTGAGCAAAAAGCCAAGGGAGAGTTTGTGAAGCCCGGAATTTAAGCCCAAGTGCTAGCATACACCACAAAAGTATAACAACAACAACAAAACAAAATAACAATAAAAAAAACCTGTCCTAGGAAAAAAGGGAGCCAAAGGAAATAAGATGATCTAATTTTTATTTTTTACTTTTTTGCAGTGCTGAGGAATGAGGCCAGGTCCTGGTACATAGTAGGCAAGTATTCTTATCTGAGTTATACTCCTATCTCTAGATTCATATTTGTAAAAGCTTACTACTATTAGCAAGAATTAGTTTTGAGTAGACAGTAAATCTCAAGAAAGTATTAGGTCAGAGTATTAATTCTGGAACAATAATACCATCAAAGTGTACTAGAAGAGATGAACAATAACTTGACAAATGTATTTTTGAGGCTGGAAGCAAGGCTCAGGTGGTAGAGCATCAGTCAATGCGTGAAAGTCAGAAACTGAGTTTGAGCCCTGGTTTCAGACCAAAAAAAAAGTACCTTTAAAAATAATCCTATACAGCCAGTAGCCAGTGGCTCATGCCTGTAATCCTAGCTACTCAGGAGGCTGAGATCTGAGGACTGAGGCTCAAAGCCAGCCCAGGTAGGAATCTCCGTGAGACTCTTACCTCCAATTAACCACTAGAAAACCGGAAGTGGTGCTGTGGCTCAAGTGTAGAGTGTTAGCCTTAAGCTAAAGAGCTGAGGGACAGCGCCCAGGATGTCAAGTTGAAGCCCCATGACAAAAAAAAGAAAAGAAAAGAAAAAAGAAATCATATACTTATAGTAAGGCACTTCCAGTAAAAATGAACAGCTATGGAAAGTGCAGGAATTGAAATGGTACATACTTGCTGAAGGAGCCAAATCTTCATTTTAAGAGTAATTCTTAAGCTGGACATTGGTGGCTCTTGCCTGTTAATACTAGCTTCTCCAGATTCTTCTGAGGATCACAGTTCAAAGCTAGCCCAGGCAGACAAATATGCAAGAATCTTATTTCTAATTTACTAGAAAAAGCCAGCACTGGAGGCCTGGCTCTCAAATGGCAAAGCAAAAAGTTCCATAAGCAAAAACAGTCAATTGAAAGCACAAAATCTGAAGTTCAAGCCCTGGTACCAACACACATGTGCACACACACAAAAAAAGAGTAATTCTTACCCGAAGCCCAGATTCAATAAATATGTGCATATTGGTTTTTCTGCTCACAGCAGCTTTCGGTCCACCTCGGACTGGAGTTGGGGGGAGCAGAAGGCAGCTCTGGGGTGGTAGACGTTGATCAGGTGCAGGGACTGCTGGTTTTCTGTCAGTCACAGTGTAAAGAACACAGTAGAAAAGACACTGTCAACTACATCCCAGGAAGCTAGTAGCAGGCTTTCTATGGACATGAGAGACCAGAACTCAACAGAGTGCTGTTTGCTATGGCTTTCTCCCCTACAGGCATGAGCCACTAGCACCTGGCCACTATCATTTTTTTTTTACTGAGACAAGGTCTTCTAGGCATCCTAGGCTACCCCTGCATTCATAATCCTCCTGGCTAAGCCTCCCAAGGGTTGGGATTGCAGGTATATACTGCCATACCTGGCTTAAATTTTGTTTTCACTAAATCCATTCATTATTAAATTAATCCACTTATGAGTAAATGAGAAGCCCAAATAGCTTGTCAGAAAGAAGCACTCAAAGGTGAGTTAATATTTTCTTTCCCCCAAACTTACTTTTCTTTTTCTGTTAACAGGGGTAGATTTTCACTGATCAAACCATAACTGAGCAATAGAATGGATTCTGCTGTCATTTCCGGATTTACAATTAATCCTGCTATAATTCGGCGTAAGGTTTCATGAACTTTTCGGGCCAGCTTTAAACTTGTGGTATTTTGTAAGATCTAAATTGGACAAACATAAATGTCACATTGAAAAACACAAAAGTACATTTTTAGTTGTGCTATTTTCTTTTTACTTGCTTAACAGTATTTTTTTCCTAATTAATAACACTTCAAAACAGATACCACACACAAATTAAAAGTCCACTCATAACCTAGGCCCCACAGACAACCACTAGAAGAAATGCATTGCCTCTGGCCTCCTTCCCCTCCTGCCAGCTCCCTGCTTCCCTATTAGCAAGGCTGCAGATAAAAATGTGAGCCTTGTAAGGTGTCAGTCAACCTGCCCAATGCCCTGAAGGAGTGATTATCAGAACATACACACGCACACTCCAATGAACAAAATGTATAGTCACAACTCCACAGACACCGTAGGAATGAAAAGCTGCAATGGTCAAGCGTCAGAGTTTGAAATTAGTTAATGGGCCAACTCTAGTGAACTTAATGGGAATCCAGGACCAACCTCAGCAAAATACTCAGCAATTCCAAATCATTAACTTGTAGGAATTTTTTTTTTTCCATTTAACATTCTTAGATGAGAATCAGATAAAACCGCACTCATTCTACAACAGTAAAGTTCATATAACACCAAATCATCTAGAAGTATGAGTAGTTCATGTCACTGGATGCTATTTGCCTTACTTTTCATACATAAAGCAGTAATAAAATTAATAACCATAACTATTACCTCTGCAACAGCCATATAAAACAACAGAAAAGCAGGTGGATTAGAGGAGCAAAAATTAAACAGGTTCTCCAAGGAGCAAAATTAAACAGTAGGAAGAAATTGAGCTTTGGACTAGAAAAGTCTGAAACTAAGTTCTTTTGTCGTCGTTGTTGTTGTTGATGGGGCCTGAACTCTGGGCCTGGGCGCTGTCCCTCAGCTCTTCAACTTAAGGCTAGAGCTCTACCACTTGAGCCACAGTGCCATTTCTGGTGGTTAATTGGAGATAAGAATCTCACGGACTTTCCTGCCTGAACTGGTCTTGAACGGTGATCCTCAGATCTCAGCCTCCCAAGTCTCAGCCTCCCAAGTCGCTAGGATTATAGGCGTGAGCTACCAGGTGCTCAGCCTGAAACTAAATTCTGATTCTCCTCTCCCTTCTCTCTCTCTCTGTCTCTCTCTCCCTCTGTTGGTTGGGGAGCTTAAACCCAGGGCCTGGGAACTGTCTCTGAGCTCTGATTCTTAAGCCTACAGCTCTTCCATTTTGAGGCATAATTCCACTTTGTTGTTTTGGTGGAAATAAAGTTTCATGAACTTTCCTGACCATGCTGGCTTTGAATCACAATCCTTGGATCTCAACAGCTACCAGCACTCAGTTTGACCTTCTGTTTTTTCTATGCTCCTTTCCATTCTCTTGAGCCTGAACTCTCTTCTCTTTAAAGAGAAGTATCAGGGGGCTGGGAAGGTGGCTCAGTGGTAGAGCGCTTGCCTTGCATGCCTGAGGCCCTGGGTTCGATTCCTCAGAACCACATAAGCAAAAAGAAAAAAGCCGGAAGTAGCGCTGTGGCTCAAGTGGTAGAGCGCTAGCCTTGAGCTGAAGAGCTGAGGGACAGCGCCCAGGCCCAGAGTTCAGGCCCCATGACCGGCCCACCCCCCCCAAAAAAAGAGAGAGAAGTATCAGTTACCTCAGTGAATATCTGTACAAGGTAGAAGCTGTGCTTAGGCAATTCATGCCAATTATCTACTGTTGGAAGGCTAGAAGTAGTAGTCTGACTCTAAAGGCTACTTTTAGCTGCTGAGCTGTCTAGGCTGTAACATTCACTTGCACTCCAGTTCTTACTTCCTTTCCTTTTACATCAGTGTCCTTTGACATCAACGACTATGTCTAGAGCAGCCACCTCATTTCTGCCACCTAGTGCCCATTTGATACTGGTTACCTCAGCACCAAAGAAAACAATGGGTGAGCAAGTATAACATTTGCTCTGTAAGGATCCTTTCAGAAATTCAGTAATACTGTTGCTGCGACCTCCTGTATTGCAGTCCAATCCTTACCTCTTTTAATGGAAGAATAAGTTTTGTAACCTGATCTTTTCCTACAAACTTGCCCAGGATTTCATAAGAGTCGTAACTCTTGCTTCTTCGTGCCTCCATAACTTTGGAGAGGATCTGCTTCACTTCTTTCTCTTCCGCGAGGGCACCAAACAGTTCATGGTTAAAGATCTTTTGAAGAAAGGACAAATGAGGATTATGTGCACTCAACAAGGCAACATAAGCAGTCTTTGACAGAGCCCTGGCATGTTCATTGAAAAGAAGGCAAGTTGGACTGGACTGAAATGGTATGGGAGGAATTTCTTTTTTTTTTTTTTGTCGGTCGTGGGGCTTGAACTCTGGGCCTGGGCGCTGTCCCTCAGCTCTTCAGCTCAAGGCGAGCGCTCTACCACTTGAGCTACAGCGCCACTTCTGGTTTTCTGGTGGTTTATTGGAGATAGGAGTCTCACAGTCTCTCCTGCCCGGGCTGGCTTTGAACCCGAGATCCTCAGATCTCAGCCTCCTGAGTAGCTAGGATTACAGGCATGAGCCACCAGCGCCCGGCTGGGAGGAATTTCTATAGATTTGTTGTTGAAGCACTCTGGGGACCAATTGCCAAGAGACAATGGAAAATCTTAAACCTTACGATTGATGAGAAAAAAAAAAATACCTCACAGATACACAGCTGCTACTTCTTTTGTCTTAAGATAAAGTCATCCATTCTACCTCACCTCCCTAGTGCTGGGATTAGCACTGTACCATACCTGGCTCAGGAGTTATTTTAATGAAACTCTAGAGTTCAACGTATTTTCATACAAATCTAGGCCACTTCTCTGATTCTTTTCTTCTTTTGGTGTTAGATATGGAACCCAGGATCTGGCACTTGCTAAGCAACCAGTTCACCACTGAGCCACACTCAGCCTTTATTTTCATTTTTATAAGCTTCTTGTTGTTGTTGTCTTTTGTGCTAATACTAGAACTTACACACAGAACCTCAATTTCTCATTTCTCATGACTGGTTCTCTATTTCAGCCATGTCACAAGTTTTGGCTTGTTGCTGGCTAATTGGAGAGAAGAGTCTCTCAGTTTTATCTGCATAGGCTGACTTTGAACTTTGTTCTTCAGAATTATCTCCATGCTTTTGGCCTAGCCTCCTGTAGCTAGAGTTACAAGCATGTGCCACTGGATGCTAGATTATTGTTTCTTATTTTGTAAACTCGTATTTTGTGTTCTTTGCCCACTTAAAAAAGTTAGACTTACTACTATAAATCTTACCTCAATCATTATATCTAAACAAGGGTCCAAATCCCCGACATGAAGCTTGCTCGTGAGGCCTTGCAGCAACATGTGAACTGTGAAAGTTAGTACATGGACCTGAAACGAGATGCACCGTAGAAAAATATAAAGTTAAGAACCCCTCAGAAAAAGAAGAAACAATCAAAATATTGCCAAGAGAGCACTTGGAATTATGTGTTTATTACAGCTAACATAAGTATCACCATTTAAAAATCTTTTAACCAAATGATCGCTTCTTACAAATATATTCAGAAATATAATGGCATGATCAGGTTCTAAACCAAACCAGTGATTCATAAAGAAAAGCATAAAGAGCTGGGTGCCGGTGGCTAATACCTGTAATCCTAGCTACTCAGGAGGCTGAAATCTGAGGATCATGGTTCAAAGTCAGCCTGGGCAAGAAAGTCCATGAGGCTCTTTTTTTTTTTTGGGTCCGGTCGTGGGGCCTGAACTCTGGGCATGGGCGCTGTCCCTCAGCTCTTCAGCTCAAGGCTAGCACTCTGCCACAGAGCCACTTCTGGCTTTTTTTTTTTTCATTTTGCTTATGTGGTGCTGAGGAATCGAACCCAGGGCCTCACACATGCAAGGCAAGCGCTCTACCACTGAGCCACCTTCCTAGCCCATCCATGAGGCTCTTATCTTCAATTAACCACCAGAAAACTGGAAGTGGTGCTGTGGCTCAAGTGGGATAGTGCTAGCCTTAAGCTGAAGAGCTCAGGGGCAGTACCTAGGCCCAGAGTTCAAGCCCCATGACTGGGGGAGGGGAGGGGGCATAGGCACAAAGGTCTTTAAAAGCTATCTTGGGAAAGATAGGTTTGCCAATGCTGAATGTAATCAGAGCTGGCCACCAAGTGTCAGAAAGAAAACAAGTTTTTGTTTCAATCTGAGGCATGCAAATGTTAACAGGAAGCTTCACTATGAAACAAACACTGACTTAGTATTTCACACGTATTAAATCACTTAAGCCTCCTCTCCTCATCGATGGTGTAGGTGCTGAATTATCAGCATTTTTCAGGAGGAAGATGAAGGTTCCATGAGTAGAAGGTTACAGTCAGGATTCTCAAGTTGAGCAGCTGGCACCAGAGCTATGGCTGAGCATCTCTCTACTATGCAGCCCCTCACACTCTTAATGCTGCAGAACTACACAGGCAAACATCAGATTTGTCACATATTCACTGGAACTCCAAGGTACAGTCTCTCATTTACCTTACCTGTGGTTTCAGTTTTATGTATTTAAAATGTGGATTCTAATCTTATTTTTTAATTTGTGCTGTTCATGGGACTTGAACACAGGGGCTGGATGGTATCCCTGAGTTTTTTTGTTTGTTTGTTTGTTTTTTTGCTCAAGATTATCTCTCTACTACTTGAGTCACAGCTCCACTTCCAGCTTTTTGGTGGTTAACTGGAGATAGACTTTCCTGCCTGGACTAACTTTGAACTGCAATCCTCAGATCTCAGCCTCCTGGTTAGCTAGGATTTTAACTGTGAGCCATGGTAACCAGCTTAATTTTTAAAACTCACTTGGAGTTAACCACTGTTTTCTATACCATATTTCCCAGTCAACACAGAAGAGGGCACACAGGGAGAAGGCCTGCTATTAGAGTATGAAGAGTAGGCTCTAAAATAGAGGGAAAAAAATCTATTTTTCTTTTCTTCTGGCTGCTCTTTTATATCCCAACCCCAAGCAGTGGTAGTGGCAGTGTCCTTGAAATGAGGAATGGTAAGATCCCACCCTTTTGGTAGGGAATCTTCCTGTCTGTTCATTGGGATGGCAGTTCTGGCGGGGGGGGGGGGGGGGGGGGGGGGACCCTAGTAGTTTTGCTTTTTCTTATACCACTTTGTCCCTTATGTGAGTATGGTTTCAGGAAGAGCATGACTCCAGTTTTTAGCTGAAATACTAAAATGAATGGAAATATGTCAGCCAAGATTTTTTTGGGAGGAATAATAGTGGGGTTTTCAACTAAGGGCCTTGTACTTGTGCCATGTTCCAATGCTTTTTTGCTTTAGTTATTCGGATGGTTTTGCCTGGAGCCTGCCTGAGACCACAGTGCTCCTATATATGGTCCCCTGGCTCATAGCTGGGATCATAGAAGCATATCACCATTCTCTGCTTATTGGTTGAGAAGGGCCTTCAAACTAACATGCTTCTTATCTCTTAACTCCCAAGTAGCTAGGATTATGAGCCAAGTGCTATCTATCTATCTATCCATCTATCTATCTCTCTTAGAGACAGGGTCTCGATATGTAGTCCAGGCTGCCCTCAAGTTTACAATCCTCTTGGCGCTACCTCTCTAGAGCTAAGATTTTATATATATATGCGCACTACTATTTTGGCTTCATAGGAACTTCAAAAAATATTTTTTTTGTCAATACTGAGGTTTGAACTTAGGGTTTCATATATGCTAGGCAAGTACTCTACTACTTTAGTCATGCCTCCAGTTTTAGCTTTTTGCTAGTTAAATGGAGATAAGAGTCTCTTAGATTTGTCTTCCTGGGCTAGCTTCAACCATGAGCTCAGATCTCAGTCTCTTGATTAGCTAGGATTGCAAGTATAAGCCACTGGCGCCTGTATTAGGTATCACTTTTTGCCCAGGCCAGTCTGGATCTTGATTCTATTTATGCCTCCCACCTTAGCTGAGAGGTCAGGTACACACTAGGTACATACTACCACACCCAGATTTTTCTGTTGAGATGGGTCCTGTGAATTGTTCTGCTCAGGTTGGCCTGGAATCATTATCCTTCCAATCTGAGCCTCTTGCATACCTGGAAGACCAGAACAGAGTGAGCCCTCATGTCTAGCTATATGAAATAGAATTTCATGAACTTTTTGCCCATGATGGCTTCAACCACAATCCTCCTGATCTCCACTTCCAAAGTGGCCTATAGGTGTGCTCAATAAAAGGTTTATTTAATGCTTATTAGAAACTTCTTAATGTTGTTACCTGCTATTATCACAGTGGATCTTTACTAAAGACAGGCCAAAAGTAGCATGTTTGTGACGCAAATACTTAAAACTCTGATCCAAAGTATATAGTATATGATACAGTTTACCTGATATCCACGGACAAGAGTAGTCTGCAATTCTTTTAAAATATATTGTAGGAAGTGCACACCCAAATCCTCTATTATTTTGGAGAGAGTGCTGCGAGCAATGTCTCTGATTTCCTGTGCTCTGTTCTTGAGGAGGGCACACACTTTCAACAAAATACTAAAAAAAATGCAAAGTTGAAAAATAATTACATATAAACAGAAACAAAAACACAAACATCCTTTTTCTTATAAGTATTTAGAACCCTGATTTCCCATTAGCAAACTGCAGCTGTCCTTCTTTCAATGGAAGAGATTCAAAGACCAGGGAGAAAAGATGTAATTTGGGAGTTTTACTGTGCATGTCACATGACGAACCTTGGCAGATTCGCCTCCATCACTTCTCGAGGCAGGGAATGCATCAGCTTCACCATGGCAAAAGCTAAAGGAACTCGAACCACTTCCTCGTCATTCACCACCTTTGACTTCACCAGCTTGTGTTCTTCTTCCCTTTTTGTCTATAACCAAAATGAAGGGAAAAGTGAAACAGAAGGACCAGGGATCTGCCAACACTGCAATCTTACATCTAAAGACAAGCTCTTTTCTAGTTAAAACCTATTGCTGGTTTACTGTCTTTAAGAAACTCAATTGTGGGCGGGCAATGTGGCTCAGTGGTAGAGTGCTTGCTTTGCATGCATGAGGCCCTGGTTCGATTCCTCAGCACCACGTAAGCAGAAAAGGTCAGAAGTGGCGCTGTGGCTCAAGTGGGAGAGCGCTAGCCTTGATGAAGAGCCGAGGGACAGTGCCCAGGCCCACAACAGCCAAAAAACCCCCAAAAACAAAAAAACTCAATCGTGCAACTGGAAAATAATTTGCTAAAGATTACAAAAATAATCAGAATAAAAATATCCTGTTTAAGTTGGGCACGTGACACATGTCTATAATCCTAGTGCTTGGGAGGCTGAGGAAGGGAAAAAAAAAGCCACATTTCCACTGATGTGCTGTCCAGTATATGAAAGTCACATAAACCTGTGTATGGTGGCTCAGTCCTGGGAGGCAATGATCAGGGTACCTTGATTCAAGCCCAGTCTGGGTAAACATGTTTAGGAGACTCCATGTCAACAATGGCTGGACACAGTGGGGAATACCTGCCATCCCAGCTACACAGGGAAGCATAATGGCTAGGTGCAATGGCATGTACCTATCATCATCCCCAGGCATACAGGGAAGCATGAGAAGGAGGACAGAAGCCCAGGGTGGCCCAAGCATAAAGCAAGACTCTATCTGGGGGAAAAAAAAAATCCAATATAAGCTAGGTACTGGTAGCACAAGCTTGTCTCCTAGCTATTCAGGAGGCTGAGATCTGGATGGCTATGGTTCAAGAGCAGTCCATGCAGAAGTGCTCACTAGACTTTATCTCCAAAATAATCAGAAAAGGCATGGGTCAAGTAGTAGAGTGCTAGCCTAAACAAGTGCAATGCCCAAACAAACTTCAACCTCTGGAACTACCCCGTCCCCCAACAATGATAACAACAAAATATCACATAAGACACATCTTTGGTTAGAATTTTCAAGGACTTGAGTAGCATTGTTTCTTTGTTTTTTCTTGTCAATTGTGGGGCTTGAACGTGGGGCCTGGGAGCTGTCCTTGTGCCTCTTTGTGCTCAAGGCTAGTGCTCTACCACTTTAGCCACAGCACTACTTCTGGATTTTGAGTGGTTAATTGGCAATAAGAGTTTCATGGGGACTTGTCAGCCCTGGCTGGCTTTGAACCACGATCCTCAGATCTCAGCTTCCTGAGTAGCTAGGATTACAGGCGTGAGCCACCAGTATCTGGCTTTGAGTAGCATCGTTGATACATAAAAATAGGGCATCTCAAATAAAGCCTTACTTATCAATATAAAAAACTGACTGAGGGGCTGGGAAGGTGGCTCAGTGGTAGAGCGCTTGCCTTGCATCCCTGGGTTCGACTCCTCAGAACCACATAAGCAAAAAGAAAAAAGCCGGAAGTGGCATTGTGGCTCAAGTGGTAGAGCGCTAGCCTTGAGCTGAAGAGCTGAGGGACAACGCCCAGGCCCAGAGTTCAGGCCCCACGACTGGACCCAAAACAACAACAGCAACAAAAAAAAACTGACTGAAGCCAGGTGCCAGTGGCTCATGCCTATAATCCTAGCTATACAGGAGGCTGAGATCTGAGGATCACGGTTCAAAGTCCGTGAGGAAAGTCCATGAGACTCTTATATCCAATAAACCACCAGAAACCCAGAAGTGGCGCTGTGGCTCAGGCTGCAGAGCACTCACCTTAAGCTGAAGAGCTCAGGGATAGTGCCCAGGCCCAGAGTTCAAGGCCCACAACCGACAAAAAAAAGGGGGGGGTGGAGTGGGGGGAGGGGGGTGGGAGATAGGAAGGGGAAACAAAGGAGGAGGCAAGATAAGAAATGTACTCACTATCTTGCCCATGTAATTGTAACCCCTCTGTATGGTATTTTCACAATAAAAAATAAATAAATGAAATGAAAAAAAAACTGAGTCAGTATTTTATACTAATAGTTGGTAATTTCTATTTTTTTGGTAAAGTGACAGATAATAAGACCTTGGGCTTTGCAGTCTCTGATAAAGCTATTCAACTCCACTGCTATAATGCATCAGAATTGGTCTAAGTGTACTCCAATAAAGCTTTATCAAAACAGGCTGCTGCCTAGCTGCCACTAGGCTCATGGTTTGCTAGCCTGTGTTTCACACCAAGGATGAAGTCTCTGGCTTCAGGAGAATGCACTACTACACATCATCCATATCATCCAAGGGAAAAATTAATTCTTTTTGGAAATGGAGTCATCTTATCATCTGCTCTGAAGAGGGAAGGAAAAAGCATACAGATCCATCATCAGACCCATGGGCAATGGAGAGCATTACTGCCTAGCTACAGCAGGAAATGAGCCTGAAGTTGAAGAGAGTAGGGAGTGGGTGATGAGGTGTTGGGATAAAAGGAAATCCAGAAGCTGCAGTCACTCAGTAAGCCTCAGGAATCCGTACAGTCCCCACCAGCACATAAACTCACACAGACCTGCTGGGCCCCAGACAGAGCTCTTACCGTGGATGCAAGGCACTTGTGCAGCCTTGGGAGGATGTCCCCAGTGACAGTTCCTTGGATAGTTTGAATTGTTCTCTCCAGTTCTTCCTTATTCCGAGGAAGGAAAGAGACAGGCTTTGAGACACATGCAGATTCCTTACGAGCTGTCTTATCAGAATCGGCTGAATCAGGGGCTTCCTGTGTCTCTGTTTTATCTGACTCCTGCTGACATGCTTCTTCCTTCTCTTCCTCATCCAGGTCTTCCAATCCTATGGCTTCCTGCTCCTGTACATCCACCATTTCAACTGTGTCTGTTTACCAAACAATAAAAGTTACCTTAGGGAAGTGTACTCATTACCTCACTCATGTAACTGTAACCCTCTGTATAGTATCTTTACAATAAAAAAAAAAAAAAAAAAAGGAATAGCCAACTGTATCTAGTATCCGCATGTGCATCTGGTTGCTGTCATTAACTTGATCATGTAAAATATAGTTGATGTAAAACAGAAAAAAAAAAAAAAAAGTTACCTTAGATTTAGTAAGAAAATGACACACATGGACATGGTGGTACACAACTATAATCCCAGCATACCCCTTGAATGTTTGGTAAAATGTGCCTATAACACACTCTGTTTCTGTACTGCATCAGAAGATACTTAACTATAGACCTGATTTCTTTTTTCTTTTTTTTGGTCCGGTTGTGGGGCCTGAACTCTGGGCCTGAGTGCTGTCCCTCAGCTCTTCAGCTCAAGGCTAGTGCCCTACCACTTGAGCCACAGCGCCACTTCCGGCTTTTTTCTTTTTGCTTATGTGGTACTGAGGAATCGAACCCAGGCCCTCAGGCATGCAAGGCAAGTGCTCTAACACTGAGCCAACTTCCCAGCCCCTAGACCTGATTTCTTTAATTAGAGATCCATTCAAATTTTCTACTTTCTTTTCTCTTCTTTTTTTTTTTTTTTGCCAGTCCTGGGGCTTGAACTCTGGGCCTGGGTGCTATTCTTGGCTTTCTTTTGCTCAAGGCTAGTGCTCTACCACTTGAGCCACAGCACCACTTTCAGCTTTTTACCCTGTGGTTAGTTGGAGATAAGAGACTTACAGATTTTCAATTTCAGGCTGGCTTCCAAATGTGATCCTCAGATCTCAGCCTCCTGAGTAGCTAGGATTATAGGCATGAGCCACTGGTGCCTGCTTTTATTTTCTTTTAAAGTCAGTATTTAAATTCCATTCTACTAAGAAACTTATACATCACACCCAAGTTTTCATATTTACAAATACAAATAAAATATATTTGCCTTTTAAACCTTTTAAATTGTGAACATTTTTATTTCCTAATGTTTATTATATGTATTATATTTTCATTACCATTTTTTCTGTTTTTGCAATACTGGAGTTTGAACTTAGGATCCTGTGCTTTGTTAGGCAGGTGCTCTACCACTTGAGTCACATCTCCAGTCCTCATTGATAAATGCTGTCAGGCATTTCCTAGTTTATAACCTCTTCAAACGCCTGCCATTAGTTTTTGTTGATTCCACTGTGTGTATTGTTTCGTTCATTGTTGCTCTAGTTTTCTTATGCATTTTGCATTCATTGGTTAATGATGTTTTTCTTTCCACACCTAAAGGCAATGGACTTTTAAGAAAATAAGCTATAGTTCTATAATTTAGATCTGTCTTCTCTATAACCAATTGGGTTTTAAAGACTAAGCCATTTATTTTAGGTTCTACTAGACTCATTAACGCGTCATCAGCACAAAGAACAGAAAGAGGAATAAGCGGAGTTTTATTTTTAAATTCCTGATTATAAATTAGAGTAAAAGGCGAAAATGAGTAAGATGAAAATCTTACTTAAAAATATCTTAAAAACTAGGGCTGGGAAGGTGGCTCAGTGGTAAAGTGCTTGCCTTGTATGAATGAAGCCCTGGGTTCGATTCCTCAGCACCATATAAGCAAAAAGAAAAAAAGTCGTAAGTGGCGTTGTGGCTCAGGTGGTAGAGCACTAGCCTTGAGCTGAAGAGCTGAGGGACAGTGCCCAGGCTCAGAGTTCAGGCACCACCACCGGACCAAAAAAAAAAAAAAAATCTTAAAAACTCACCTGCTGGGTGCCGGTGGCTCACACCTGTAATCCTAGCTACCCTGGAGACTGAGATCTGAGGATCACGTTCAAAGTCAGAGTGGGTAAGAAAGTCCGTGAGACTCTTATCTCCAGCTAACCAACAGAAAACTGGAAGTGGCACTGTGGCTCAAGTGGTAGAGTGCTTGCCTTGAGCTGAAGAGCTCAGGGACATCGTCCAGGCCCAGAGTTCAAGCCACACAACCGCTGGAAAAAACAAACAAACAAACAAAAAAACTCACCTTCCTCATTCTGAATTTTTCCCATTTGTTCTTCAAGAGTTTTGTGGTCAAAATGGAATGCTTCTAATACTATTACTAGCAAACTGTTAAAAACAAAAATAATACAGAGGAATTTTTATTTGAATATCAGTATCACTTAACTATTAAAAGAAGAGTAAACTAGACACAAATATTAAAATTATTTTTAGCAGCATTTTGAACAAGCATTTCCATAAATGTATTAATACAATGTAAAAATATGCTAAGATGTCAGACAGATCAATTGAGGAAATCATTTTATGGTTACATTTTAAAAACAAAATAAAAGTAAGTCTGACCATACCTGACACCCAACTTTTGATTGATTTGCCCTGTCTGTAGGACATGAATGAAATGTTTCAAGTAATATACATATGCTGGCCAAGAGAGATGTCTGCAAATAGCTCCAATAACCTCTGTGGCAGCAATTGTTATATTTTCATGCTGTAAAATAAACAGACCAAGAAAAGTGATGTATAAGAAATACCTAGCACCACATGAAAGCTATAGTTTTATTTCATTTCTTATGAGCCATTAAGGAGAATAATAACGGCTGATAAATGGAGTTGATCAGAATTAAGTCCTAGAATATAAAAATAAAAGTACTATCATTTTAGTAACATGAGAATTTCTAGGCGGGAGAATATTTTGTGGCTGATCCCTCTGTGTTGAAATAATAAGAACACAAGAAACAGCCACTATTAGAGACAGAGCATTTACTATATGCCAGGGGTACTTCAACTGGCTCTAGAACTCTCCTATTCTTTTTTCTTTTGCCAGTCCCGAGGCTTGAACTCAGGGACTAGGCACTGTCCCTGAGCTTCTTTTGCTCACGGTTAGCACTCTACCACTTGAGCCATCACATGACTTTTGGCTTTTTCTGTTTATGTGGTACTGAGGAATTGAACCCAGGGCTTCATGCATTAGCTAGGCAAGTACTCTACCACTAAGCCACCTTACCAGCCCTCTCCTATTAATTATGATGATGATATCAATATGGATATCACCAACTCAATCTATATTTTGAGTAGAGGCTTACTATTTTCTAGATCTAATACCTTACCTTGAGCATCTTCTCATTAAAAATTGGAGTCATGGCAAAAGGCATGATATAATTCTGAAGAGACTTAGAAGAAAGCACAACTTGGCCTTCTAGGAGCTGTTTGGCCAGTTTCTTCAAGGCCCTTGCTCTTCTGTGGATCTATAAGTCAGATATTAAGATGCATCTGAGTTGAATGGTCTCATCACAGTCACTCCCCACATGTTCTGTGTCCATGGAAAGTTTAAAGGAGTGGCACACGGGCCAGGTGTTAACAGGGTAAACAAGCCTGCCTTCATCATTTCCAGAAACACAATTCATAGCATTTGTTTAATGATAAATTCCAAACCACTTAAGCTTCTTAGAGAAATAGAGAAAAGTGACAATATTCTTATTGGTGATATGTGATATAACCAAAAGAATCACACTGTAGGAAATGATCATCGTACACGTAAATTTGGCTGATGATCAGGGGGATTAAGGAACAAGAATAAACCTTTTAAGAGAAAGTGCATATTTATAAATGAGACATAATTGTTTGAAATACTTGTTTTGAACATGAGAAAAAGTAGAATAGTCTTCTACCTGAATATGCTTCATGTTCTCAAAGAAGTCCATTTCTGGATCATGACAGTGAGTAAGTTGTACCAAGTCTTTAAACTCCAGTTGATTTGGAAAAGTTTGAATTAAACAGGAAAGTATCATGGTATAATCCTGTTGAATACTCTGCAAATGTCAAGTTGAGAAAAAAAAATGTGTTTTAAAAAGGATTGGTTTCCTAAATAATATATGAAACAATAAAAGCCATTACAAATTAACATTTTCATTATAAAAAACAAACAGCTACATAAAGTCAAAAGTGGATATTCTCTTTTCTATCACTTTGGTGACCATTTACACAATACAGTATTTTAATTATTTAACTTACTTATTTAATTATTTTACTGGGACTTGAACTCAAGGCACAGAGCCTATCCCTGAGCTTCCCTGCTCAAGGCTACCAGTTGAACAACAGCTCCACTTTTGGATTTTTGATGGTTAATTGGAGGTAAGAGTCTCACAGACTTTCTTGCCTGGGCTGGCTTCAAGATCCTCAGATCTCAGCCTCCTGAATAGCTAGGATTATAGACACGAGGCTACAATCAAATATTTTAGTTCAATATATTAAACCTAGCAGAATGGAAAAAAACAAATGAAACCACGAAAGATTAAAGTTGTAATACCTCTGTCTGACTCTTCAACCCTTTCCTCAGTTTCTCCAGGAGGGATCGGTGAATGATTTCTCTGTATTCTTTCTCTGTGACATTCAAGGCAGCTAGTTTTTTGATGATACTCATCAAGCACATGCTGGCATTATCACTTAAAGACATATCTCCTAACTGAAAATAAGAAACAGAATCAAGACATACTGTGTAATAACTACATAAAATATGGAATATTTCCCAAGAAAGTAAAATTTTATCAGTGCTCTGTGAAAAATCCCTATTAGAAAGGGCTCATGAATCCCCGAATACTGCCTATCTTATGAAGAATCAGACGCAAGGGCAGGAGGAAAGAAATTATTTTCAAATATCATGCTTATGGAGGAAGTGGCACTGGAGCTCAAGTGTAGAGTGCTCGCTTTGAGCTAAAGAGCTGAGGGACAGCGCTCAGGCCCAGAGGTCAAGCCCCACGACCGACAAAAAATAAAAATAAAAAACAAAAACAAGTATCATGCTTATGGAGAACTATCGCTTAATTTCACAAAGTATTTTGAAGCATTGTTTTAATTTGGCTTTACTCCACAAAGTAAGCAGAATGAGAGGTTCACTAAAGTCACAGGTCATAGTGGAAATGACAAAGCTGGTGGAGTGTTTCAGTTTAAGGGACAGACCGTGAGCACAGAGAACATACACCCAACATATCAACTAGGCAGTGACTTAGAATTCTTGTGTTGAAATTTAATATAACATATGAAAATGAGTCATAAATGAGGATTTTTTTTTTGGGGGGGTCCATCATTGGGGTTTGAACTCATGGCCTGGTCTTTGTCCCTGAGCTCTTTTGCTCAAGGCTAGTGCTCTACCACTTTGAGCCACAGTGCCACTTTAGATTTTTCTGGTGGCTAATTGGAGCTAAGAATCTTGTGGATTTCCTGCCCAGACTGGCTTTTGAACCAGCCTTTGATCCTCAGATCTCAGCCTCCTAAATAGCTATAGGATTACAGGCATGAGCCACAGGCACCCAGCTACTGTATCTTTTTTTTTTGTCGGTCCTGGGGTTTGAACTCTGGGGCTTGCTACTGTATCTTTTTTTTTTTTTGTCGGTCGTGGGGTTTGAACTCTGGGGCTTGGGCCCTGCGCTCTTCAGCTCAAGGCAAGCACTCTACAGCTTGAGCCACAGCACCACTTCCGGTTTTCTAGTGGTTTATTGAAGATAAGTGTCTCATGGACTTTTCTGCCCTGGCTGGCTTTGAACTATGATTCTTAGATCTCAGCCTTTTGAGTAGCTAGGATTACAGGTAGCCACTGCCTCCCAGCTTTGTATAATTCTTAATACCAAATAGAATGCCACAAAGATGACTGATGATACTATTTGGTGAACAACAATTATGGGCTTAATTTACTCATTTTTGGATTTAATTGAATTGAGCAAATTTCATCAATTCTAAGTGTAAGCCACCATCACATCTCCCTCAAACTTAGTAAACATTAATTACTTTCTTTTCTGTCTGGCCTCAAACTCAGACTCTCCTGCTTTCACTGCATAGAAAGTAGAATTATGGGAATGTGCTACACTTGTTTATTGAAATGTCTGTCTTTCACATAATGAGTATAGAAATAAGCTAGCTCTTCTAGACTAAAAATTTTTAATCTAAAAGAAATTTTATCTTAAAAACATTTGTTCCCCCTCTCAATAATTAAATTAGGTAGGTAGTTGTATTATCAAAGTAATAAAAAAAATAAATTCTTAAAAGAAATAAATTCTTGCTATTAAAACTTACCTCCATATTATAGAAACAATTATGCATAACTGGAATTAGGTAGTTAAAATCCACGGCTTGCATTTCCTTTATGTAAGAGGTAATTGTTTGGAATGCTGAGAAGCGAACATCAAAGTTGATATCATCAAGATGTCTTTGGTCAAAGGCATTAAGCTATAAGACATGATATTGAAATCACATAAATGAAGCATAGATCCTAAGTACAACACACTGATATTTTTTAAGCCAAGGAGAAATAAAGTTTCTTTCTTACCTTGACAATATCAGTAATATATTTTAGTCCACTTTCAAAATCAGAAAGACTCTAAAAGTGAAAAACAATGTATTAGTGAGTTATACCTTCTTTTCCAAACTCTTCCCATCAGTTCCCTATATTCACTCAAATTCATGTAAAATCATACATACTAGTACAAATAAGGCTACTCTAATGCTTTAGGTGTCATAATTACCTCTGAAAGAGTAAGTTGAGGTGATAATACACATTCCCTACCTGGAAAACTGTACAGAGCAACTGTCTTGACAATTTGTTCTTAATAACTGAAAAGAGTTTGGCCAGAGGCTTGAGGAAGCTTGTAGGGTCTTGACAGTGTTGTAACAGGTTTTGCACCGTCACCAGAATATCAACCTCTGTATCCTGAAAGACAGTGATGAGAAATTATACTTCAGTACTTTACAAAACTGCTCAATTATTATATTATTATACCACTGGAAGTAATTAGTTAAGGCTAAGACTGACTGAAACTTCCCATCCCCCAAAAGCTTCTAGATTTTAACTAAAGATGAAAAGCACAATAATGTTTCTAATAGTTTCTTTCTTCAATGCTAATAGCATGAGTCAAATCTTAGGACTGGCAAAGAAAAAAAAAATCTTAAGATTCTCAGGGACTTTTTTGTCCGGCTGGCTTTGAACCATGACCCTCAACCTAAGCCTCCTGCAAGAGCTAATGAAAATAAATAAATCCCTCTCATGACCCACAGATTTGTGGTCCTAAAATCTGAGTCACTCTGAATAGAAGATGCTCAGCAGTCTTCTGATGACTTATATACAAGTCTGAGCTACTGTAGGACTCTTTTTTTTTGGGGGGGGGGTGGGGGGGAAGGATTGGTTGTGGGGCTTCAACTCTGGGCCTGGGCTCTGTCCCTGAGCTCTTCAGCTCAAGGCTAGCGCTCTACCACTTGAGCCACAGCTCCACTTTCTGGTGGGTTGTTGGAGATAAAGAGTTTCACAGACTTTCCTGCCCAGGCTGGTTTTGATCCTCAGATCTCAGCCTCCTGAGTAGCTAGGATTACACAGGCATGAGCCACCAGCACCCAGCTGTAAGACTCTTTTTTTTTTTTTTTTTTTGGTCGGTCATGGGGCTTGAACTCTGGGCCTGGGTGCTGTCCCTCAGCTCTTCAGCTCAAGGAGAGCGTTCTACCACTTGAGCTACAGAGCTACTTCCGGTTTTCTGGTGGTTTTATTGGAGATAGGAGTCTCGCAGTCTCTCCTGCCTGGGCTGGCTTTGAACCTTGATCCTCAGATCTCAGCCTCCTGAGTAGCTAGGATTACAGGCGTGAGCCACCAGCACCCGGCTCCAGCTGTAAGACTCTTAACTGGGACTAAAAATCCTATCAAGGACTCTTAGCTATGTCTGAATGTGTACAGCCAGATTTTCACTTAGTTTTGCAACTGTGATACAAATTTTTAAGTATACAATGTATTTCTTGGGGTTCATTTACTATCAAGAGAAAAAAACCAAATCCTGAAATGTGAAGCAAAACAAAGGACAATGAAGAGACTAACATCTGAATTGTTCTTGTAGAAGATGATGTCTCTACTTTCTTACCTAGTCTCATTCTATTTCTGTCCCAATTTTTTCCATCTAGTTCAAATTTTTTTATATCTGTGTAGTCTTAAATTCTTTTGAGACAAAGGTATGAGAAAATTCACTAATAAAACTTTTCCTGACGAATGAACCTAGTGATAAAAGTTCTTCTACGATAACGTAAAAGTAAATGGTTTTTGAGTCTGTACCTGAGCAATATTGCCACGATGGAGGAATGGGAGGAGAAGTGTAATAAGCAGAGAACTCTGTTCTTTGTCTTTCATAAACTTGCTGATCCTACAGAAGGAAACAAACAGGAAGATGCAAAAATTAAGAATGTTTTCCTAAGAAGAAAAACTGTAGAAAAACATTGGTGATTGTAAAATGACACAATTTTAAGATTGCAATACAAAGGTGGCTTTCAAGTATGTAAACAGGGCCCTTTCTTAATTTTCTCCAGCCTCAAACTCATAGCTACTAATACTATAGACAGTTTAACAGTGCTATACTCTGGCGATTTGTGACTTCTTATTTTGCAAAGATATAACATTGTCACCTTGCCACCACTGCATTGTGAGATGAATTTAGTGAAAGTGTTTATCATGATTTACAATTGTACATAACTTAGAAATACAACACTTCAAAGAATTTTCCAGAAGAGTCTAATGTGGCTTTCTTTGGATGTAGTTGAAAGTAACATAAAAAGTAAACTTTAACAATTAAACCTAGTACACATCAAATTAAAACTTGAGATAGAATCACTTTTTCACTAGGGTTTTCTAGCCTTGCCCTTACAAAAATCAGTTATACATTGCTAGTTCTATGACCAAGCAGACTCCTTTAAAAGCCTTCCAAGATCTCAACTCTCAAAAAAAAAAAAACAAAAAAACAAAAAATCTGTCCTTTCAAGTTAATTATTTTTATCAATTAAACTAAAGGACAAAAACAAAAGGATATGATCTCACAAAACTCAAAGGCTCAATTAAAATATGCAAAGGCTAAATAAACAAACCTACCAAGTCTAATTAGGTCTTTGAAGTCTGTTGTCTTTTAAGATAAATAAATAAATGCAGATGTCATAAAAGGTTTCTGGCAATTATAGCAGCAGAAAAACAATTACTATCAACTTAAAAGGAGAAAACATTTAAAACACTGAGATCTTACTTTTTTTTGATGATGGTGATTGAACCTAGAGCTTTGTACAAGCTAAGCACATGCTCTTCCACTGAGTTACATTCCCAGACTTTGGAATATTTCCCTCTCTCCCCCACTTTTACAGAGACTGAATTAGCATTATTAAAATTTATTTTAATTTGTCCAAAAGCGAAAAAAAAATGAAAGCAAGATAAAGTTCCTTAAAAGTTAAAAGCATGTATGGTACTATTACCTTCAATTACCAATATGTCACTTACTTTGAAAGAATGCCAAGTTCCTTACTGACTTGTGCCCTGTTCTTTTTCTTCTTCACCTTTTCTGCACTTATTGTGCTTTTGCTGAGATACTGAAGAATTGCAGGTACGTGAGGTAGAATTAATCTTCCTCCTACAGTGATAGGCTCTGGAACACAGTAATTATTTTGATTTTAATAAGCTCTCTCTTTTTTTTTTGTTGGTTATGGGGCTTGAACTCTAGGCCTGGGCGCTGTCCCTGAGTTCTTCAGCTCAAGGAGAGCTTCTACCACTTAAGCCACAGCGTCACTTCCTCACTTCCGGTTTTCTGTTGGTTAATTGGACATAAGAGTCTTATGGACTTTCCTGCCTGGGCTGGGTTTGAACTATGATCCTCCTATCTCAGCCTCTTGAGTAGCTAGGATTACAGGCGTGAGCCACTGGCACCCAGCTTAATAAAGCCTCTTAATGGATTATTATACAGTATCTTGTTGATGAAAGTACTCAACTACTAACAAACATTTAAATTTCAACCATAAACATTAAGTAACTTTCTTACTCAGAAGATTACATGGTCCCCTATGACCCAGCAATCCCACTTTTGGGCATTTACCCAAATCATCACAAACAAGACCATACTAAAGCTACCAGCACAACTATGTTTATTGCAGCATTATTTACCATAGCTAAGATATGGAACCAACCCAGACGTCCCTCAGTAGATGAATGGATCAAGAAAATGTGGTATATATACACTGTAGAATTCTATGCCTCCACCAGAAAGAATGACACTGCCCCATTAGTTAGGAAATGGAAAGACTTGGAAAAAATTATATTAAGAGAAGTAAGCCAGGCTAAAGAAACATAGGTCCCATGGTTTCCCTTATTTGCAATAACCAGTATATGTCTGAGACAAGCAGAAAAGGTCAGATAAGATGATGTTAGGTAAAATGATCCCCAAGATAAGGACACAAGTGGTTTTTTCTTTCTTGCTATTGTTTCTAACGTATTTATAAGGTGATTTTTTTGTTGCTTTGTATTTCCCTCCCCCACGGTATAACCCGTTTTCACTGTATTTGATGTTGGTATAATTTGTAGAGGGGAAGGGAAAAAAAACAAATTGTTTAAATAGGGATACAGGTGGACCCATTGCAACAATGAGATGTACAAGATGCTATGTTGAAAAATGAACTTTACAATTTTTGGGGGGGAGGCAGGTGTAGTCATGGAGATGGGAGGGCAGGGATGGTAGGGGAAAAACAAAGGAGGAGGCAACAATACTTGATAAGAAATGTACTCATTAGCTTGCTCATGTAATTGTAACCCCTCTGTACAGTATTTTCACAATAAAAAAACTTACTTTAAAAAAAGATTACATAGAGGATAGTTGAGACTTTCTGAACAGAAAATAATCTGCTTTCCTCTATATTAAAGAAAACTTAGAAGAAAAAAAAGAAAACTTAGGTTTTTATTAGTGAGTATTAACTTCCAGGCAGAAGAAACTGGATGTAGGTTATTAAGAGCTTTCTCAAGCAAGTCAAATTCTACTTTTTCTGTGCTGGGAAAGAACTGCTACTCCTGCGGTCTAAGTACCATTTACTCTGTACAGGATACACACCATCTGTATCTTCTGCGATGTGGGTGTATACACATCCAGTGACCAGCAAGCTTGATACTGTTTCCGTGGGCTCAAAATCTGGAAGGTTAAGAAGGTCATCAACTATGTCCATCACAATTCTGGCTGTGGCATCAGAGAGGTTCTTTGCTGAGAGAATCGCAAATACATTGGTCAGGATATCACATTCTGGGTGCCCAGGTTTCTGTTTAGCCAGGAAAGGGAAATATCTGAAAAAAAATTAATAATCATTTTTTTCCTCAGTATGTTTATGTGTAAAAACGTGTTTCATAAGACTTTTCATACTGAGTTGAACAAACATATATGTGAGAATAAACATTGATAGTATTAATTAAGCCAGGTATGGTGGTGTATGCCTGTAATCCCAGCTACTGGGGGTTGGATAGGAGCAGGAAGATTTTAGGTACAAGACATGTCTAAGCAAAGTTAGCAAGACTATCTCAAAAATAAAAATAAAAGCAGAAGGATTGAGAAGGCATGGCTCAAGTTGTATACTGCTTGCCTAGTAAGTATGAGGTAAAAAATCAAAATCAAAAGACATTTAGCCGGGTACTGGTGGCTTCGTCTATATTCTTAGCAACTCAGAAGGCTGAGATCTGAAAATCCCAATCCAAAGCCAGCCCAGGCAGGAAAGCCTGTGAGACTCTTAACTCTAGTTAACCACCAGAAAACCAGAAGTGGAGTTGTGGCTCAAAGTGGCCGTAGAGCACTAGCCTTGAGTGAAAAAGTTCAGGGACAGTGACCAGGCCCCCGAGTTCAAGCACCCTGACAAACCAACAAACAAAATCTTCAGATATTCTGACTTCATCAATTCATTAATATGGTCAATTCTTTAACATAGTTCACACTAGCACACTGAAAGAAAAACCCCTAAGAGGTTATATTAATATATCTTTCTGTCCAATAAATACTGGGCTTAGGTTAAGCACTAGCGGCTCATTCCTGTAATCTTAGCTACTCAGGAGGCTGAGATCTGAGGATCACAGTTCAAAGCCAGCCTGGGGCAGAATAGATCCCATGAGACTCATCTGCAGTATCATTCAAAAACTGTAAGTGGAGCTGTGGCTCCAAGTTCTAGCTAGCCTTAAGCAGAAGAGCTCAAGGACAGCACCTAAGACCTGAGTTCAAGCCCTACAACTGACCAAAAAACAAACAAAAAAGGACAAAACGACTGTGCTTAGTATAGGCAAGTTCTTTTTTTTTTTTTTTATTGTGAAAATACTGTACAGAGGGGTTACCATTACATGGGCAAGATAATGAGTACATTTCTTATGTAGACTCCTCCTTTGTTTCCCCTTCCCATCCCTTCCCATACTCCCCCTGCCTCCCACCCAATCCTCCCCACGCGTCCCCCACTCCCCAGTATAGGCAAGTTCTGAGTAAAATACCTCACATATTGCCATGTCTACTATTAATGAAGTAAGTCTTATTATGTTTATCTAACAAATGGCAAACACTGGGAATTTCAGTCACTCACTCAACATGCAATGAATAGTAACTACATGGGGATTAAGAGGAATAACCCTCTGTAGGGGAAGACATATTGATAATGGTATCTTTCCTCAAGCACTTAAAATATTATGAAGAGTGAGGGTCCAGCTATGTCAGTATGTGATGACAGAGCTGTACAGTGGTAGAAAGTGCTCAGGACACAATCTGAGCTACATGGTGATTAGAACCAGTACAGCTAAGACTATCCAGGGACAGTCCTAGCTTATTTGTTTAGGCTTCACTATTTAAAGCATCTTCTTTTACCTTAAGGAAAGGCTTGAATATGGATAATAAATTATCACTCTATTTGGTGAGTTTTTGTTTTCTTGAATTCATCTAATCAAACCTGATTTGAACATTATTGAGTGTATGTATGTATGTATGTACGTATGTATTGAATATCATAGAGTACTCCATAAATCTGTACAATTTATGTCTTTTCAGAAAAAGTTTCAGGGCTGGGAATGTGGCTTCGTCAGAGTGCTTGCTTGGCATGCATGAAGCCCTGGGTTCCATTCCTCAGTACCACATAAGCAGCAAAAGCCATAACTGGTGCTGTGGCTCTCAAATGGTAGAGTGCTAGCCTTGAGAAAAAAGAAGCTCAGGAACAGTGTCCAGGCCCTTGGTTCAAGCCCTAGGACTGGAGAAAAAGAAAAAGAAAGAGAAAAAGATTCTCATGTATCCTAGACATCATACACTTTGCTATCAATCAGTGCCTTTTCCTCAACTGCCTCATCCTCTATAATTGAACCAGAAGTAATTCATTATATAGAAAGACCATAAATTAAGTTAGTGTTTTAGCCTAGTTTTGGTTAGATTAATCTAAAAATATTGTATCATCTAGCGGTATTAATAAAGGTTATACCTTGAATTTCTGCTCCAGACACTAATTAATTTCAGCAGAGGAGTAGGTGAATACTGACTCTCAGATCCAAGCCTGCAGATCTAGTAAATAAAATGAAAACAATATAAAGTAAAAATATATACAAAATTACAGGGAAAAAAAACCCAAATACAATCAACAAGTGGAATAAGCACCACAACAGAGGACAAAGGAACTAATAAAGGACTTGCCCATAAAGGACAGGCTGAGGAAAAGACAGAAGGATGCAAAATAGTGTCACCACAGAAATGGCCAAGATAGGAAAGGGAAGTTCTAGATTCTTTAAAGGAAGCCAGTATTTTAACTTTTAAATGTTCAGAAAAACTGAAAATTCATACAGCTAGCAACCTTTCCTAAAATCAAGCCTCTCCTGTAACCTTCTTAGCTATAACTAAACCAGTTATCAACAACTGCTTGCAATCACAGAAATCCAACAAGGAAATGCAAAACAAAGTATCCCACATCTTTCCCCACATGCTGTTACTATTAGGTGCTGTGAAAGTTATATCATATTTATATCATATTTACTTTCACAAGCACATTCAAATAGTCCTGGAGTATATATGACAAGATAATTAAGAAAGCAACTCTTGATCTTTACTTGTAGTAGTGGAGTAAATAAAATGTATTCTAGAAACTTGAAGACATAAAGAAAAGCTAATGTAAGAGAAAAAATTGGGCACCCCTATCTTAGTAAAACAAACTGGTGAATGAGTAATAAAAAGTGAAAGGTGGTTTGGAATGTGGCATAGTGGTACAGTGCTTGCCTACCATGCATAAAGCCCTGGGCTCAATTCCTCAGTCCACATAAACAGAAAAAGGCAGAAGTGGCACTGTGGCTCAAGTGGTAAGAGTGTCAGCCTTAAGCAAAACAAGCTCGGGGACAGTGTCCAGGCCCTGAGTTCAAATCCCAGGACTAGCCAAAAAAAGCGAAGAAAAAAGAAAAAAGGAAAAGAACTGAAAGGTGTCCAGGCAGAACATAGAAATCAAGGTTTACCTGGGGCCAAACTGCACCGTGAAACACAGCATCAATTTCTTCTGTTTTGAATGGATGGGATTCCCAGTCCAAAAAGATATCAGTTACCATTTTGATTCCAAGACGTCTTAAATTTTTTAATGGGTTAATAAACCTCAGCTGTATCTGCAAAACAAAACAAAGATCTTCTATTTTAAAAAAAAAATGCACTTTCTCTCTCGTCCCTCACTCTCAGAGAGGCACTCAGGCTCAGATGTTGAATCTAACTAGAAATCATGTGATCCAATCTACTGGCTTTGATTCAGATCAACTTCAAAAGTAAAATAATATTAGTTGTTCTTAGAATAATCACTTCTTCCTATGAACAGAGCATTCTTATCAAAACAGGTTTTGGGGGAACAAAAAAACTGCCTTCCGAATAGGAAAAATAAAAATTAAGCCTTTATAGCAAATCAAAGTAAATTTTCCTATTATTTTCATATGTAGATTTATTATGTTATCTTTTACATTTTTTAATAGTTTTAAATTATTCTATTCTGGAGGCAAGTAAAGAATTTGTGGTCTTTGCCTATAATAAATACTTGGTGTAATAAGAGAAGGGGAGACTAAGGAAACATGGGAAGCAACATATATACTAACAGAAAGGCGATTTTGGAAAAAAAAAAAAAAAGATTTGTCTTTTCAGAGCACAAAAACTGCAGTAGGTCTGAATCAATAGCAATTTTTTTTAAAAAAACAACAGATACTGCTATTTCTCTTGTAATCTCCTTCCCTATGAGACATAAAACCATAAACACAGAGACAATTTGTTCAGGTTCAAGGTGGAATGAATTATGGAGTCTCCACCAATGGCACCACAGTCCTGATCCTCAACTTAAAGTCTTACTGAATGCAAATACCCTATTTAACAAAAGAGAAAATGCAAAGATAATTGGTGAGATTCCATAAAATTGGAAAGGACAGCAAAACTATGAAGAAGCAGTATTTCCATAGAAACTAAAGAATGAAGAAGTTTAGGTCAGGGGATGAGGGATAAGGTCTTCAGAGAGATCTCTTCCAAACACAGAATGTTAAAAAAAAATCAAACAAATGGGAAGAATTAACCTCTGATTGCTTTCTTCATTTGATTAAATATACTGGATGAGCACAGGATATATAAATGACTATTTTTACATACGATCTTTGGTAGTAACAGCTACTCACAAATAATGAATTTCAAGTACTTACAAGACACCATGAATAAAATGAATAGAATGTTACTTATCATGAAACTGATACTCTAATCAAGAGGTATTTGAATACAAAACATTCTAAATTGAAGTGAATATGAACACACTGCCCTTAATTTGCTGAACAAGCCTGAGGAATCGATATTTCACACACTATCTGCTTTTAGATAATTGTCTCATTATGCAAGTTATAGGCAGAGGAAATGACAAGCAAAAACCATGAATATGATATAGTTACAAGTCATGCTAATCCAATTAAATTCTACTGGTAGTATTTTCATTATCTTTTGAATCATGTTTGGTAAGAGATAAAAAGTATCCCTCAAAAACCATGGGAAGGCTGGGAAGGTGGCTCAGTGGTAGAGTGCTTGCCTTGCATTCCTGAGGCCCTGGGTTCGATTCCTCAGCACCACATAAGCAAAAAGAAAAAAGCCAGAAGTGGCGCTGTGGCTCAAGTGGTAGAGCACTAGGAAGAGCTGAGGGACAGCGCCCAGGCCCAGAGTTCAGGCCCCACGACCGGACCCAAAAAAACAAAACAAAACAAAAAAACCTATGGGATTAGTCAGGCATTGGTGGCTCATTCTGGTAATCGTAGCTACACAGGAGGCTGAGATCTGAGGATCATGGTTCAAAGCTAGCCCAGGGTAGGAAAGTCTGTGAGATTAATCACAGAAAAAACCAGAAGTGGAGATGTGGCTCCATTTGGGAGAGTGTTATCCTTGAGCAAAATGGAGCTCAGGGAAAGCACCTAGGATCAGAGTTTGAGCAGTAGGACCAGCAGACAAAACAAAACAAAACAAAAACATGGTATTGTATCCACTGGAGCAAATAACAAAACAATGTTAGCAAATATGACTTCAAGTCATACCTCCCAACCCTTCCGCATGTCCTACTGATTTCTGTTTATTCCACAATGGTTGAACCTGAAAATGAATTAGATTTCAATTTCTAGAAATTAGTGTGTCTGGGTATATATTTATAAGTTTCTCCACTGCTTATAAAACCCTACAAAAGCACTAACACAGTTCAATGTCAGTCAATACCCTGAAGGATATGAAAGATACCAAAAAGCAAATGTGTAACTGATTTCAAACACTCAGATGTAGAATCTTGTCTCAATCAAGCACAATTACTGTGGATTCATTATGATGCTTTAAAAAATTACTTGAATTTATTTTTAAAAAAAGAAGAAAAGGAAGAAAGGAAAAAAAAAGCAAGATCATATCTGTGAACAAGCTTAACACCTCACTAACTAATGAACTGTGAAATTGCATAAATGATCCTCTAAGTTACTGATTGTTGACCTAGAAGCAAGGCACATTACTGAGTAACTTCTTCCAAGTTAATAAAAATTCCAAAGGACTTATACAGGTTTTACAAAACCTCAACTTTCATAATTTAACATTATTATTAGACTATCACATTTACTGGCTATAAGGCATAAACAAACTCACGTGATTCTTTGGCCTGTAATCTCCCATATAATCCAGAGAAAGATTTTTTTTTTCTCCTCTAAGATTTCTTTTTGGCCTCACCTCTTAATCTTTCAGAGCCCAAAGCAACCAAAATGGCATTTTTAAAACACCTCTCAGTCTTTATGTACTTCAAGTCTTTCAGCAGTCTTCCAGGAGGCAAAGTACATTCTCACATTTAGAAGTAAATGCACACCCTTGCGTTAACCTATGAGGTTCTACATAATCTGTCTTTGTGTTCACTGTACTCCAGCCATCTCCACCTTGACTCTTCTTAGAACACACTGGAATATTCCTACCTCAGAGAGTCTTCACTGGTTAGTTATTTCATGAAAAGCAGATTTATATCCATCTGTACACCTCAAAAGCAGCCTAAAGTTTTGGCCATCAATTTTCACTTATCATGAGAGGCAGTTTACCGGGAATATTCATTAATCAAATGAAATGAATTTTAGCCAGCTTAAAATTGTACTTATTTGTCATTCACTGAGAGTCAAAATCTGAATAAATCTTTACTGCTCCTCTCATTTTCCTAGAAGCCTTCAGACTATGAAGACATCATGTATAGTCTGTACTCCAAAGAGAGCATCCACTTCTGTCCACATACCTACTTCAACAGAACACAAGCATGTTCTGAACACAATTCAGAAAACAGCACCTCTTAGCAACCAGCTGAGTTGTCTGGTCTTGTTGCTTACCTATGAGAAACAGTGCCCTGATTGTAGGTCAGTACTTAATTCTTAAATATTTAAATTCTTAAATTATAGTTCCAAAAAACTCTGTGTCAAAATAACAAGAATGATGGTAACAATGCTCATTTCATTTTCCAACATCATGGAGAAATGATAGCTGAAATAAGCCTACAAATCTCAAAGCTCTTGGAATTAAAGAGCAAAGAAACGCCAGCACCAGCACCAGCACCACTAATTTAATTTTTTTTCTTTTTTTTTTTTTTTTGGGGGGGGGGGGGGGTGTCCGGTCGTGGAGCTTGAACTCTGGGCCTGGGTGCTGTCCCTCAGCTCTTCAGCTCAAGGCTAGCGCCCTATCACTTGAGCCACAGCACATTTCCAGCTTTTTTTCTTTTTGCTTATGTGGTGCTGGGGAATCAAACCCAGGGCCTCATGCATGCAAGGCAAACACTCTACCACTGAGCCACCTTCCCAGCCCCCACTAATTTAATTTCTGAGAATACCCCACCACTAGCTATTTTATATCCTTTGGAAATATACACTTGAGGCAATTTACATTTTTAGTCATATATATTTATAAGATGAAGGTATCTACTATATAGAAGAATGTTTCACAGATACATTTTTAAAGGATTATATAAGCAGGAGATTTAACCTAGAGGCATGCTAGTAACTAAGCTTCCAACTCAATTCTCAAGTAGACCAGACTCTCAGACTAGGGAGAGCATCTACTGTGAATGTCTCACCTTTTCTCGTTGGTCAAGGATGTGTGATACAGTGGCGGTCATACAGAGTAGTATCTGCAGAATCTTTGGTAAGTATGCACTGATCAGATGACTAATGTTCTTCAACACGATTCCCAGACTATTTAAGATGCCATGCTGACGACCCAAAGGAAGAACTTTAGACAAATCCAAATCTTCTACAGCTTGAGTGACTGCAGAATGGCACTCTCCTAGTAATAGAGGGAAAGGTTAACATGAAAGTATTGCTGGCCAGGAACTGATAGCTCCCGTCTGTAACCCTAGCTACTCAGAAGATCTGAGGATCGCAGTTTGAAGACAGCCCCAGCAGAAAAGTCCCCGTGTTATCTCCAATTAATCACTCAAAACCTAGAAGTGACACTGTGTGGCTCAAATGGTAGAATGCTAGCCTTGAGCATAAAGAAGCTCAGAGACAGTGCCCAGGCCCTGAGTTCAAGCCCTACAACCAACTGAAAGAAAAAAAAAAAGTATAACTATGGCTTCCATTTCCTTAAATAATACATTTTCTATTGCTATTATGTTTTATAGGCAACAATACACTTGTCATATATTAGCTCCTTTTGATTCTTACTACATATTCAAGTAATTTAATCAGATTTTAATATTTCTTCTTTACAGATGAGAAAACTAAATAAAGGAGGATTAAAAAAATCACAGAACTAAGTCTCTAAATTGAATTTCTATTCATTCATTTTTTTCTTCCAAAATACTATTCCTGAGAATATGAGTTATTAAAAGAGCTATTCATTCATCATTCATTCATTAATTTATGTAGTACTGGGACTTGAACTCAAGGTCTCACGCCCAAATACTATAACAGTTGAGCCACACCCCAATCCATCTGCTTTTAGTTTGTTTTTCAGACAGTCTCACACTAACTTTGCTTGGGTTGGCTTTGAACTAACTATGGCCTTTCTACATCCCCTTCAGAGTAGCTAGAATTAATGACATGTACTACCATGTCCAGCTTGTTTTCAAAACTTTATTCAATTTTTATTTTATTTTTTTATTTTTATTCAAAACTTTATTCAACTTTACTCAAACTTCAAGCCTCCTGTCTGTGCCATTCTAGGTAGCTGGCATTACAGATGCGTGCCACTATACCAAGCTGATATACATTTTACTTATGCTTAGCTTTCACTGAGCTATGCTCAGTCCAGCAGATGCATAAAAGCTGCCTTGCTATATATTATAAGCTCCTTAAAGGCTAAGAATCAAATGTTCCATTGCTCTTGTAGTCCCTGGTTAATAAATAAGACAATGTCCCTCATAAACAGTTGCTACAATATTGGTTTCAGATTATTTAAGCTTTACATAAACCATCTGAAATGCGGATTATAAACTTAGTGATCCATGCATTCAAATGGTCTGCTTACGACACAATCGTTTATATCTACCCTTTTACAATGGGGCTATCAACAGTAAAAACTTGTGCCTTCACAAACAACCTTTTACCTAAGGAAACCATTCTGAACGAAAACCTATTTAACGGCTCATCTAAAAGCATACAAAAAATACAAAATAAACAACCACAAAACTACCCAGCAAATAAATTCTTTTTTTTTGGGGGGGGGGGGGGTCTGGTCGTGGGGACTGAACTCTGGGCCTGGGAGCTGTCCCTCAGCTCTTCAGCTCAAGGCTAGGCTAGCACTCTACCACTTGAGCTACAGCGCCACTTCTGGCTTTTTTTTTTCTGCTTATGTGGTGCTGAGGAATTGAACCCAGGGCCTCAGGCATGCAAGGCAAGCGCTCTACCACTGAGCCACCTTCCCAGCCCCCAACATATAAATTCTAAGTGTAGCTAAGGCAAAGCAATTGTGGGACTGGAACAAAGTATTTTGGGGGGCAATCAGAAAAGACTGGGTTCAAATTCCAATTCTACCACCATCCATTAACATTCTAAACCCAGTTTCCTCATTTGTATAATAGAGACAATCAAGGAATCAAGCACATTACTTGCTGACCCTGCATCCCAGAGAACAGAGCACAGAGCATCATTAATCAAGCCACTTCTCAACTGTGAGGTTGAGGATAGAGGTGATAAATACCCACATTTTAGGTTCCAATTATCAAAGTATCTGGTTTAGGAGATTTTCAACAAATTCTAACTCAATAGATGAATGAATAAATGGCAAGACAGATTAATTTTAGAGTAGAACTTCAATTTCTTAGAACAGTACACAGTTAATTTTCAGTTAATTTGAAAAATGGCCCCTTGTACAATAACAACAAAACATCTATTTTCTAATCAAGAGCTTATGACAGAAGATTGCTAATAATCCCTAGACACAAATGTGAGATAAAGGGGCTGGGAAGGTGGCTCAGTGGTAGAGCGCTTGCCTTGCATGCCTGAGGCCCTGAGTTCGATTCCTCAGCACCACATAAGCAAAAACAAAAAAGCCGGAAGTGGCGCTGTGGCTCAAGTGGTAGAGTGCTAGCCTTGAGCTGAAGAGCTGAGGGACAGCGTCCAGGCCCAGAGTTCAAGCCCCACGACCGGACCCAAAAAAAAAAAACAAAAACAAATGTGAGATCAACTAATTCAAACTTTAACATGAACTGCACTTCAGCCAAAAGACCATCACTGAGGATGGTAGGAATAACATAACACTGAAATGACTTCTAACGTTCTGGGACATATGGGGAATCTAGCCACAGACAGTTCATGTGTAGTACATTGTGTAGATGGCAGCTGGTATCGGGAACCCAGCCCCATACATTAGATGCATACTGCATGGAGTGGAAAGAAATTGGTAGCTACCATTCTTGAAGTGCTTCACAGGTTCAGACAGCAGGTCTAAGAATATCTGGACCTCCTCGGGTTGGGTCCCTGCCAAGAACCGCAGAACAATGGCCATGCGTGTGCCTGAAGCAGATTTCCCTTGTGTTTTATTACCAGTCTTATTCTTCATTCTTCCATACAAAATTCTAAAAGTCAAAAGAACATTGGTTGCACTTTAATTCTAAAAATATATCTAGCTGTTTAAATCCATTTCAACTCAACAGACTTAAAGGCTCAAAACAAGGAAAACTAAAAAGAGAAATTAGGTATTGAACACATACTTAGAAGAAAGAAAATAGTAGACAACAGCAAGAAAATGTTTCTTTGTGTATGAGAAAAGCAATGAAATTGGCAGGTCAAGTGGAAGTCTAATCAAATGGAAGTCTAATCAAACTAAAAGCAAAAGTACAGAAGTTAAAAGGAAGTTGACGAATAAAACTAAAAGAAAACAAGGAAATCAGAGATTTCAATTAGACAACTGGGCAGAGAAAGCCACATGTTAAACAGGCAAACAGAACTAAGAACAAATAAACATGAGTAGATCAATAATCACTGGGAACCATGGTGCTCGTATAGTTTTACAAGTGAATTTACAATGAAATCAAATACCAATTGTTGCAGGAAATGCAACAAAGAAGAGTTAATGAAATATATTAAAACCAATGACTCACAGTAAATAAAAATGGTCATTTTAGTACATGATTTGAATAAAATTCAAATATATTACTGATAAAATTCTAAATTACCCAATAAAGGAATCTAATTTTTAACATGTTAGACTTAACTTAGTACTAAAATTTTACATAGTTTTTTCCCTCCCCTTGTGACACACTCTTGCTATGCAGTTGAGGCTTGCCTCAAACTTGAACTCTCTGGCTTCTGCCTCCTGATGCCTGAAATACCATATATGTACAAAGACTGGCAAAACATGATTTTTATTTTTTGTTTCCTTTGAGGGAGGGTCTTGCTATAAAACCCAAGCTTGCCTTGAACTCTTGATCTTTTAGCTGTATTAGAAATTAAAATTGAAAAAAAAATTAAATACTGTTTTATAAATTCACTTAAAAGAACAATTATATTGACTGGTGGAGTGGCTCAAGTGGTAGAGCACCTGCCTAACATATGTGAGGCTCTGAGTTCAAATCTTACTACAGCAAAAAAAAAGATATATAGCCTTAAAATAGCAATTATGAACTTACTACGTATTGACATAACTAATATTTTAATGAAAAACTCATAGCTGTCTGCAATGTAGAATCCAAAACTCTTATCAACAATCTTTGTAAACTCTATTACACTGTTAAGATGAAATCTGTCTTGCTCTCTCTTCCTCACATTGATGCTGTACCATGTCAGTTACTTGGAAAGCATTGGTACACTGGGTCATATAACTCAGATGCTGGGGCTGGGTTATGGCACACCTCCCCAGCAAGCACAACTGGCCAAGTCAAATGAAAGTCTAATCAAACTAACAACAAAAATATAGAAGTTAAAAAAAAAAGTGAAAAGCTGGGCACTGAGGGCCATGCCTGTAATCCTAGCTGCTCAGGAGGCTGAGATATGAGGATCATGATTCAAAGTCAGCCCAGGCAGGAAAGTATGTGAGACTTTTATCTCCAATAAACTACTCAGAAAAAGCCCGAAGTGGCTTTGTGACTCAAGTGGTAGAGCGCTAGCCTTGAGCACAGAGAGGATCAGGGGCAGAGCCAAGGCCCTGAGTTCAAGCTTAGGACTGGCAAAAAAAAAAAAAAAAAAAGAAAGTAAAGAATAAAACTAGAAGTTTAAACCCTAATACCACCAAAAATAATCCTGAAATATCAAATGCTGATCAGCTAGAGGCTTATAAACTTTGTTTATTATCAGTATTCAACTACCTCACCAAAAACGTTGTTGTTGGTTTTTTTGGTGGTAGTGGAGTTTGCCCTTGGGCCTTACTCACAAGTTACTGGGAAACTACCATGTTTTATTGGAACAGATAAAAGCTTTCACAAATCCTAAATTTTACTTTAACTAGATTTTGGTAACTAGACACAGGCTATAATTTGTTCTCCTTGAAGTGGCAAGCTCACTTTCATGGTCAAGAAAATGCCTGTGAAACACTATACTATGAAAAGTGAAAAGCACCAGGCCACGAGCCATCCTTTCACACACAAATGGTGTTCAGTGACAAAAACACCTCAGACAGCTCTACTCATCCACACAGGGCTGTTCTTTTTTTTTTGGGTCCGGTCGTGGGGCCTGAACTCTGGGCCTGGGCGCTGTCCCTCAGCTCTTCAGCTCAAGGCTAGCGCTCTACCAGTTGAGCCACAGTGCCACTTCTGCTTTTTTCTTTTTGCTTATGTGGTGCTGAGGAATCGAACCCAGGGCCTCAGGCATGCACCAAGAGCATCTAGTGGAACTATTTCTTTCTTTAAAAACAAACTCCAATTATATGGCATTGAACAACTGCCCTGATTTTTGCTAAGTTACCTGGAGCTCTACCTAGCATTGTTTTTGCATCACCAGCATAAATATAAACAGAATGAAAAAGATAATGTCTGGGGTAGGAATGTGGCTTAGTGGTAGAGTGCTTGCCTATCATGCATGAAGCCCTGGGTTTGATTCCCTAGTACCACATAAACAGAAAAGGCCAGAAGTGGCACTGTGGCTCAAGTGGTAGAGTGCTAGCCTTGAGCAAAAAAAGCTCAGGGACAGTGCCCACACCTTGAGTTCAAGCCCCAAGACTGGCAAAAAAAAAAAGTGTTAGTAATCCACAGTTTGTGGACTCATGGACTTTCTGAAGGTGTCTTGAGGACCTCCCCAAGAATGAGCAGATTTTAAAAACAACTGCTTTTATGTTACTCTTAAATCCAATAGCAAGGCAAAAGCTAAACACTACGATTTTGACTACACACAGTCAATTCTTCTATTAATTTAAAAAACAAAAACAAAAAAAGCATAAAAGTTTAGGGATAGCACCCACACAAATACATTCCCAAATATTTAACATAAAATTACCTATTTTGGAAAATCAAAGTAACAACCAAAACTAGATAGGCAAAATAATCAACCAAGGAGGCTTAGATAAATTACAGCCAATCTACATTATGTATAATCATATTTTAAAATATATTATGATCTAAGAGAAAAGATAGTAAAATATTTCATAAAATCTGTTTCTAATTATCTCTAAAACTGTTCAAGTATACACATTCAGATAGCCTTTTGTGGCTTACTTTTATCTACTCTGGACTTTATGGGCCACTTGGTTTGGCCTTTCAGAGATTTTTAAACTATGGCATTTGTATTGTTATGACTTATAACTGTTTTGACAAAGTTAGTAGTGAATATTCTCGTAAGTGTTTAAATGAGGCAACATCTACTTTATAGTCTTATTTTTCACATTATATGTAATGTGTAAGTATACATGATAAATAATTTTATATATTCAAGTATTCATTCAAATATGTCCACATCTTAATGCTGACTATAAATGATATCAATCAGATTTAGGAGATCAGAGCAGTCTGAGGAGTCAGACAGAGCCCATCTGATTTAGTCCCTATCACAAAGGGAAAGGAAACTCAATGAATCTAAAAGAGTTGATTCACTTAGAGAAGGCACTAAGCAGTCCCAGGCTAGATAACAAGCAAAGATCTGTTACATTTACACCAGCTTTCCAACTCCCATTATGGAAGAGCTTCATTTTTTCCTTTCATCATTATATGTAATCTTTGCATTATTTATAGATCATCTTTGTGTTACTTCATTTTTAAATTGTAGTATTAGTATTGTTAAAATAATGTTACAGTTAAGACCTTCTTTCGTGTTAGGAAGAAAGTATTCTAAATTACAATTTGATTCCCCCACCCCTCAAAAAAAAAAAAACAAAGTCAAAAGTGCAAGCCAGCTGCCAGTGGCTGATGCCTGTAATCCTAGCCAGGCGGCTGAGATCTGAGGATCATGGTTCAAAGCCAGCCCAGGCAGGAAAGTCCATGAGACTCTAATCTCCAATTAACCAACAGAAAACCAGAAGTGGTGCTCTGGCTCAAGTGGTAGAATGCTAGCTTTGAGCTGAAGAGCTCAGAGACAGCACCCAGGTCCAGAGGTCTAGCCCCACGATCCGGGAGGAGGTGGGGGCGGGGGGCGGGGGAGACAAAGAACAACCAAAAGAAAACACAAAATGATATAGTTCATTACAACTACTGAAAAGAACGAACCATAATACTAATACAATATGCACAATTGTGTTTGTGATTAACTTTTATAAAACATCAAAACAAAGCAAAAACAATACTTTTTAAACAGCTTTAATACCTCATCAGAATTGGAAATAAATCTGCTCTGTGGGCTGTTTTCACCACAGAATTATCTTCTGAAATGCTGAAATGCACTATCTCTTCTTTAAAGCTTCTGTCTTCAAGCAGCCTTTGTAAGTTCTCCCTTTAAAACCGAATCAGAACAAAACAGCATTCAGGTCCATAGTGCTTTTTAAAAAGGCAAGAGTAATATATGTAGAAAATAAGTACAACTAAAATAACATAGTAAATAGTTCACATGTGGCTAAAAGCCATAATGGAGAACTCTCAAAAATACTATCAAATTTCGAAAGGTAAAATAAATTAGAAGAGATTGAATTTAATCTATAACTTAGTTGGTTATAAGAACTTGAAAACACAAGCTTCTTTAGTTTTTAGTAGTTATGATTCCCTAAGAAATGATGATTAATTATGTAACTTTCACAACATTTTTCCCCTACATTTTCAATTGAGAACAACTATCAACAAATACACATCCAGTTTTAATTTTGTATCTGTAAATAGCACTATGATTACCTTAGAAGAAAAATTTTCAGGTCTTCAAGATACCATTTTAGAGGGACTTCTATATAACAAAGTTACAAGGAACTCCAGATGTGGATCAATTGGCAGAGAACTTGCAAACTAATCCTTTCCCCCAAAATAAAACATTCCTTTAGCTTTAGGTAACTTACCTGTAAGGGAGGATATGAGGATGTCTATATGTCATTATGCAATCCAAGGCTATTTTTTGTACTGTTTGATCTTGGTGTAGCAATAACTAGGAATGACAGTTTATAGAATCAATTAATAGAGTGACACATCATAGGATAGAAATTTACTAACGTCAATCTGAGTTAAATTCTCTAAAATGTAAATTTCTACATGTAGAGCTGACTGCTGACACAGCCTAATATAGAGTTAAAGGATGAACAGAGGGCTGGGAAAGTGGCTCAGTGGTAGAGCGCTTGCCTTGCATGCATAAGGCCCTAGGTTCGATTCCTCAGCACCATATAAGCAAAAAGAAAAAAGCCAGAAGTGGTGCTGTGGCTCAAGTGGTAGAGCGCTAGCCTTGAGCTGAAGAGCTGAGGGACAGTGCCCAGGCCCAGAGTTCAGGCCCCATGACCGGACCAAAAAAAAAAAAAAAAAGGATGAACAGAATTATCTACCAAAAAATGGAAATGAGCAGCATATGATGGCACATGCCTGTCCTTTACATAGTAAGACTTCTGTCCCTTTTTTTCTTTTTAGAAAAGAAAATGAAATTTTGGTTTCAATTCTTCATATGACTCTAGATTTAAACCATCATGTGCTGATGTCATGATAAGGAAAACTTACATACAGGTAATAACAATCTATACAATGCCAGGAAAAAGAACTTGAACTCAGGGCTTCTCTGATTCATAAATTCAGATATTTTCTTTCTTATGACAACAGACTCTTAAGCTCTAGTTTCATAAACAAGGCCTATGTGAATGGGAAGAACACAAGTAAATTCTGGTGAAATGATTTAAGTTTCAGCTAAAACACATCTAATAAAAAGTAGAATGAGATCCAGTCCTTCCTCTGCTAACAGTACATTTTTCTGCAATATTTCCTGAAATTCACTAGGATTATATCAAAGATCTGTTTTCACTCAATAAACAGATCCTAAAATCCTAGCTTTTTTTTTTTTTGTCGGTCGTGGGGCTTGAACTCTGGGCCTGGGCGCTGTCCCTCAGCTCTTTAGCTCAAGGCGAGCGCTCTACCACTTGAGCTACAGCGCCACTTCCAGTTTTCTGGTGGTTTATTGGAGACAGGAGTCTCATGGTCTCTCCTGCCCAGGCTGGCTTTGAACCGTGATCCTCAGATCTCAGCCTCCTGAGTAGCTAGGATTACAGGCATGAGCCACCAGCGCCTGGCTAATCCTGGCTTTCTATGGAAGCTAAACTAACTAGAAGGGAAAAAGGACTATTTGTCTTTTGTACAACTCCTATGATTTCTCCCAAAAGCTAGTACTGTATAATGCAATTCATGTTTTACTAGTCTCAGTTTTAATATGGCTAGCCAACAATCAGTCGCCCAAAAAGTGTTAAAATCAACTAAATTAGTATAATTCAAAATGGTTTCTTAAGTTGGGTCTCAGTGGCTCATGCCTGTAATCCTAGCTACTCAGGAGGCTGAGATCTGAGGACCATGGTTCAAAGCCAGCCCAGGACTTTTCTGCCCCAAGAGTCCCCAAGACTCTTATCTCCAATTAACCACTAGAAAACCAGAAGTGGAGCTGTGGCTCAAATGGTACAGTGCTAACCTTGAGTGAAAGAGCTCAAGGGACAGAGCCCAAGCTCGGAGTTCAAGCCCCACAACCAACAACAACAACAAAAAAGGTTCTTATGGTAACAGAAAATCACAGTGTCTATAAACTCAGAAAAATAGTATTTAAAATGCAGCCATGGGTCTTATTCAACAAATAACTGTTAAAAATCTGAAAGGTACTTTGGTTAGGAAAGTGATAAAGAAAAGTTTAGAAAAACTATTAAATCAAAAATTAATTTACTTGGGCTGGGAAGGTGGCTCAGTGGTAGAATGCTTGCCTTGCATGCCTGAGGCCCTGGGTTCAATTCCTCAGCACCACATAAGCAAAAAGAAAAAAGCCAGAAATGGCACTGTGGCTCAAGTGGTAGAGCGCTAGCCTTGAGCTAAAGAGCTGAGGGACAGCACCCAGGCTCAGAGTTCAGGCTCCACGACCAGGACTCCCCCCCCCCCCTAAAAAAAATTAATTTACTTACCTGAAGATATAACTCATATAATTTGGATTCCAGATATAACGACCGTGGGTTTGAAAATTTAGAGAAAACTTGCAAATGAGCAATTAATTGCCTAAACAAAACAAAATGAGTATTGCAGAATTAAAGACTAGAGATTATTTTATCAGAATTTTATTACCCACAATTTTACTCTATGACAAGTGCTTCAAATACTACAAATAAATTCACTGTTCAATTATACAGATTTTATCCTCCCTCCTTTCCTTTCTTTCTTTCATATAACATAGATATTTACATTAGGAAAAAGAGGTCCAAAGTGAGGCAACAATGGCTCTTATTTCCCATGAAGGAAAAAGAAACAATTATGTTCTGTGGTTGAAAGTCAAACACAAAGACAGGAGTGCCCAGAGCAGATGATATCACCCACTTAAACAGACAGAGAAGACTGTCTGCATTAACTTGCTCAACTTCCTAGTCCACACACAGACTGCTGCAGAATTTACAACTGCTTTGAGAGAACTCTTTCCTTTCTGGGTATCATGTTAGATATATTAGAAACTTAAGGAAAAAAATCAGAATAAACAAGTCTAAAATTTCAGTAAGTTTTATTTGCCTATCTGAACATAAGTGAAGAAAGGTGGAGAGAAGCAGGAAACAAGCTACATTTAGGGATTAGAAAAAGCTATTTAATGTGCTAGCAGCTCAGTTTCTGTATTTTTATAAAGACAGAACTTCCTGGGTGTTTTGTGAGGATTAAATCAGAGTGAAAATTGTGGTATCTCTCTAACTCTGAGCCAAGTAAGGCAAAACCGTGAAAATTCTATTAATTAGCATAGAGAAAATAAGCCAGAAATGATGAATTCTCTAGATTGTAAATTTTTAAATTTTCTATTGAAATATCTACTCCTTTCTCTAATATTTATAAGCACTTGATGGGTCACATGGACTTGAAGAATCAAAGAGAACAAGAGCTGAGTTGAAGTTTTCAAAAAATAACTTTTTTTCTTTTGCCAGTCCTAGGGTTGAATTCCGGGCCTAGTCACTGTCTCTGAACTTCTTTTCTTTTGCTCAAGGCTAGCATTCTACCACTTAAGCCACAACGCTACTTCTGGCTTTTTCTGCTTATATGGTACTGAGGAATCGAACCCAGGGCTTCACGCATGCTAGACAAGTACTCTAAAAATAAGCCAAATTCCCAGCTCTCAAAAAATAACTTCTAAAGGGCAGTTTCATGAAGCATCATAAATTTGGGCTATGAGGTGGCACTAAGAATATGATTATCAATTCATTCATTTTTGCAATGATGGTATCTAATGGCCATTTTAGGTGTGACTACAGAGGAAAGACTAAGACCTAGTCCTAACTCTTTAAGAATTTATTTCATGGAAGAGCTATTTTTTTAAAAAATGCCCATGGCAATGAGTGGTTCCATGACAGAAGTATGAACATCTATTACAAAAGTCTGAAATCAAGTAAGAGAACTATCACTTTAAAAAGAACGTGTGCAAAGGTCTAGGGGCGAAAAAGCCAGAGGGATGACTGGATAAATGGCTTATTCACTGTTTCAACAAACACATAACTAGGGCTATCCTTTTTTCTAGGTATTATGCTGATGAAAATACCTCAAGAAATACTTCAGGAGAAAACAGCAACCTTTGTTTTAACGTAGTAGGGAACAGAATGTTCAGAGCTGTGAGAGGCAGAGAACTAGTTACAGCAGCTTGGCCATGACCTTTCCAGGCCCTGGGCTTTGGACACTATTTCCATTAGTTGGTAAATGAGTCCTCCCCTGTCCAAGACCAGCAAACTCCCTTGCATAAAGGCTTCCCATCACCTTTGCGGTAGAAACAAGTAGTTCTTTACACATATTTCAACAATAAAATATTGTGCCAGGCTTTTGATTGCAACCTCTACTTTGCAGACCCTGTGCATAATTAATTACTGAAGTGCAGCACTTAGCAAAAGGCACTTGGTACAGGTGCAGGATGAATGAATCAACAGTTGTTTTATGTTGAAATAGTCAACAAATGACATCTAAGTTTTAAAAGAAGAGACTATTACCTATTTAGTGGACCTCAGAGACCTTAATTTAGGCAATCTTCAAGTTAGGTGGAACAGCTAGTAAAAACATGATCAGTTTTTTTTTTTAGGTCTTTAATAACATAGGTAAATGAATAACCAAGAGAATGAGAAGGTACAAAAGCATGAGAAAAAAGTAACCAGTAGGAAGTAAGTCCAAGGTATAGTGCTGACATGCTTATTTGTAAGAGAAGAGCTATTCCACTATGTGTTCCCCTGGCACACAACTGTAATGACCCAATGCTGTGAAAGAAGACAGCAAAGGTCAGAGAATATGCAGTACCTTGAGCTCCAATATAATCTTTCAATGGGGTTATGATAAAAAGGAGCTATCTCAAAGGTTCTTCCAATTCTTACTTTTTGTGCCTAACCAATAAAAGACAGAAGCAGGGTAGTTGTTACAGGCAGCTGGGCTAAGACCTTTCCAGGTCCCAGGCTTTGTACACCATTTCCATCAGGTGGTAAGTCCTTCCCTGTTCAAGACTGGCAAATGTGTCCTTTTCCTTTCAGAAAAGGCCTCCCTGGGTCTTTGCGTAGAAGCAAATAATTCTTTAGTGGGCTTCCATAACTGCTTCAAAAATATTCATATATAAAATATTTCACCAAGCCTTTGACAACAAGTCCTACATTGCAGATGCTGTGCACAACTCTTTATTGAAACCAGTACTTAGCAAAAGGCACTCAAACAATGGAGCAAACAATCATTCCCAAAACAACCTAGGCTCAGTGTGTGAGAACTGGTCTAAGAGGCCATGGGGCTGAAAAAAGAGGCAGACAGAAGTAGGATTGATGAAGGCAAGTTAATGGGGAGTTACTGACTGATGCATGGCCCAAGTGGAGCCCAATAAACTTGCACAATCCTGGATCTGCTGTCTCTTTGTTAAGTGTCACGTCACCTTCGGACCAGTTCTCATGTCTAGGGGCCAAAATAGCAAACTCAGAACATTTGGCAGCTTTGTTTGGGTTGTTAAAGAAAACCCCAGGCAGATGCAGTACTTATGTAAATAACTATCAACAGTTCATCTTATGTAAGGCTATTTCCCATTGAGGCCAAGATATCTCCTCTTGCTCCTGCAACTATGGACCTATGATCAGTTGACAATGGTGAACTCACTTTGCTGCAGCTCTTCTTGTCCTTTTCTTTTGTGAGGGTTCTTCTGGAGATTCCTCCTCTTCCTCCTCCAACTCCTCATCATTCCCTGCAGAAGGTTCCTCTTCAGTTTCTTCGGCTGTCATCCCTCTGCCTTTTCTCCGAAGATCCTGGGTTGGAGCAACTTGCAGATCTGCTGGATAATACTCATTGCTATAGCAGGAATAGGACAAGGACAGAGATGAGGAGTGCATGCTAAGTGGAAAGATCCTAATTCTACTTGTGAGAGAGGCATCAGAATCACACAGAGAAGGGACACTATACCTCAGTCAAACTTCTTACATATTCTCTTTTATTGAGTCCTACATGGCCAAGTCAATTACTGACTGCAGAAGACAGTTTATTTCAGATTGAAGTGAAATTTATCTTGTCTCTAGCACCACAAATGGAGAGAGGTGACATTATTATTATTGTTGTTGTTGTTTGCCAATCGTGGAGCTTGAGCTTTGGGCCTGGGCTCTGTCCCTAAGCTCTTCAGCTCAAGGCTAGTGCTCTACCACTTGAGCCAAAGTGCCACTTCCAGTTTTCTGGTGATTAACTGGAGATAAGAGTCTCACGGACTTTCCTGCCTGGCTGGCTTTAAACTGCAATTCTCAGAACTCAGCCTCCTGAGTAGCTAGGATTACAGGCATGAGCCACTGCCACCCGGCCAGATGGATTATTTAATACTGTTAAAAGTATTAGGACCATGCCATCCTGTTATTCCAGATGCATTTTTCTCTTGAAAGTGTCGTTTCAAAAAAAGTACTGTCCTTTCAAATAGCAAAGCTGGAGGCATTATACTACCTAACTTTAAAACATACTACACAGTTATGATCTACAACATGGTGCTGGTATAAAGTCAGACCCACAGACCAAAGGAGAAGACCCTTCAAGTAAACCCACACATCTATGGCCAACTGACTTTTCAACAAAGGTGCTAAGAACATACTTTCCAATAAACAGTGCTACAAAAATCAGATATCTACATGGAGAGACTGAAATGAGCCTCCTATCTTCCATGATTTAGAAAAGTCAACAGAACACAGACTCCAGATGTATAAGTAAAACTCAAATTACTAGATGAAAGTAGAAAATGACAGCATAAGAAAAATGCTCAGGACATTGGAATGGGCAAGAATTTCATTTTTTTTCCAAGACCTCCTCAACAGGAAACAAACGCAGAGAGAGACAAATGAGATTACATAAAACTAAAACCCTCCAGTATATCAAAGGAAACCATCAACAGAGTGAAGAGACAACTTACAGGATGGAAGTGAGTGTAGGCAAAGTATACATCGGATGGGAGGGGATGGGATTAATATCCAGCATATATGAGAAGCTAAAATAACTCAACAGAAAACAAAACGAAGAAAATATGATTTAAAAATAGCCAATGGGAGCTGGAAGGTGGCTCAGTGATAAAGAGCTTGCCTTGCATGCATGAGGCCCTGGGTTTGATTCCTCAGCACCACATAGGCAGAAAAAAAAGCCGGAAGTGGTGCTGTGGCTCAAGTGGTAGAGCGCTAGCCTTGAGTTGAACAGCTGAGGGACAGTGCCCAGGCCCAGAGTTCAGGCCCCACGACCGGACCCCCCAAAAACAAAAATAGTTAATAGTTGGGCTGGGAATGTGGCTCAGTGGTAAAGTACTTACCTAGTATGCATGAAGCGCTGGGTTCCATTCCTCAGTACTACATACATAGAAAAAGCTAGAAGTGGTTCGGTGGCTCAAGTGGTCAAGTGCTAGCCTTGAGCAAAAAAAACCCTGAGGGACAGCACCCAGGCCTTGAGTTCACAAGCCCCAGCATTGTCAAAAAAAAAAAAAAAAAAAGCCAATAGACCTAAATAGACATTCCTCAAATACAGACAAAAAGTATATGAAAAAGTGCTTAACACCACTAATCATCTTGGAAATATACCTTTTTAAACTGCTTTTTTTTTTTTTTGTCTTTTCCTTTTTGGTACTGGGGACTAAACCTAGGACTTTGTACTTGCTAGACAAGCATTTTGCCATTGAACTACATCTCAGCCCTGGGAAATGGGGTGGGTGAGTGCATGTGTGCATGTGTGCATGCATGCGAGATGCACTAAGAATTGAATTCAAGGCCTGGGTACTGTCCCTTAGTTTTTTTTTTTTCTTAGGGTTGGCACTCTACCACTTAGGCCACCCCTCTACCCTCTACTTCTGGCTTTTTGCTGGTTAACTGGAGATAAGAATCTCACAGACTTTTCTGCCAGATTGCATTTGAACCACGATCCTTATCTCAGCCTCCTGGGTAGCTAGGATTACAGGCATGAACCACCAATGTCTGGCTCATTTTAGTTTTAAAGAAGACTCTTACACAGCATACCAGTCAATGCTCCATAAAGCTGCTATTATTCTTTGAGCACATTCCTTGCATTAAAGAAAAATATCCAAAGGCTCAAAATAGTAGTTGTAGTTGGGTTACTAAAAAATATCTTCCAGTCACATATAGGCAGTAAAACAATGAACAAGAAGACATTAGTCAAACTCTATATAGACTTTCATCCTAGGTGACCTGGTATATTTTTATTAGCACCATTTGTATTTTGATTGATATAAAACTAGTTTAGTTAGTTGTTACCGAACAGAGCCATTGCTTTTGTAGACATAGCATTGATTTGAAAACATATAAAGAACTCAGCTATTGTGGGAGGTCAATAGTTCTAACCTCCCCCTCCTCATACCCCAGGAGGAACTTATTCCTAGAAGAGGATACATACTTGATAAATCTTAAGAAGAGCGGGGAAAGCTCCCTGGACCGTGGTTCTACTCTCTCTGGGAATTTTGCCAGAGCTCGCCAAAGCAAAAATCGAAAGTTGGTATGGTCCAGTCTTTCACGACAGTCAGTTTTCAATGTTAACTGCTGCTGGTAAAGAGCTCCAACATCCCCTTCCTGGGTCTGCTCCCAGCTTTCATCTCCAATGGACTTCTCCTCATCTCCCATTTCCTTTTGCAGTTCTTTCTCTGCAAGAGGGAAAAAAAAGTCATCACCATTACCAGACAGCGGACATTTCTAATACAAGGAAAACAAGCCACACTGCAAAGTTATCAAGGGTAATACATCTCCCCATTGTTTCCTGATTTCACACAGTAGTAAAAATTAAACACTGACACATTCTCTTTCCCTCCCAGCCCTATCCTTACATACCAGCATGTGCAGCTGCTTTATCTAGATGTTCATAGTAGACTTTCCAAAACTGCTTATTTTCCATTTCATGGGCATGAGAACTAGGAGAAAAGGTCACAAAATAAGGGGATAGGGCAAAAGGGTATAATTAAAAATGCTAATGGTTAACCCTCAATGCCTGCACAAATTATTTTTATAATCATAAAAGACTAAAGGGTATTTTTAAAAACTCAAGGCTAAGGAGGAATGACACTGTCGCAAAAGAAATGTACTTATTACCTGACTTATGAAATGATAACCCTTCTGTACAACACCTTAATAATAGCAATACAATTATATTAAAACAAACTTCAGGGCTTAAAGCTCACCAGGCAGAGCTCTACTGCTTGAGATGCAACTTTGGCCTTTTATACTCTGTTTTTGAATTAAGGTCACTTTTTGTCCAGGCCAACACGGACCTCAATCCTCCTATTTTATGCTGGGATAACGGGTATACAAAAATACATTCAGCCTTCTTTCTTGAGATAAGGGTCTCACTAACTTTTTGGGTGTAGGCTGAAACTGAAATTCTACTGATCTCAGCCTGCCAAGTAGCTAAGATGACAGGCACACAAAACTATATACAGGTATTGACTGAGATGGGATTTTGCAAACTTTTGCCTGAGCCGGGATTAACTTCCAAATTTCCGCAACCTAAGTGAGCCACTAGTGCCCAGCCTTAAAACAAATTATTTGCATGTTAACTATACAAAATAATGAGTTTCATTATAACATTTTCATAACTAAAGTATCTTTTAAAAATTGTAAGTAAGTTGGATGTTAGTAGCTCACACTTATAATCCTAGCTACTCAAAAGGCTGAGAGCTATGGATCACAGTTCAAAGCCAGCCCAGGCAGGAAAGTCTGTGAGACTTTTTTATTTTTTTTTTGCTGGTCCTGGGCCTTCAACCTGGGCTTGCACTGTCCCTAAGCTCCTTTTGCTCAAGGCTCAAGACTAGCACTCTAACACTTAAGCTACAGCACCACTTCCAGCTTTTTCTGTGATTAATTGGACATAAGAGTCTCCCAGGGGTGGCTTTGAACCACAATCAGATCTCAGCCTCCTGAATAGTCAGGATTACAGGCATGAGCCATTGGCACCCTGCCCTGTTGAGACTCTTATCACCAATTTATCACCAGAAGTAGAGCTGTGGCTCAAGTGGTAGAGTACTAGCCTTGAGCACAAAAGGTCACAAACAAAAGCTCAGTGCCAGGCTTTGAGTTCAAGTTCCTGGACCAGCAACAACAACAACCAAAAAAAAAAAAAAGGAGAGGACCAGATATGGGGCTCACACCTTAAATTCCAGCTACTCTGGAGGCAGAGATCAGGAAGATCACAGTTATAGACCAATACATTAGCAAAAATAGCAAAAACATTTTTAATAAGATCTCAACTCAACTAATAAGCTGAACATGATGGTGGTGGGCACTTGTAATCCCAGCTACTCAGGTAGCAAAATAAAGTGGCACTCAAATACACTTATTATGACAGAGGCAAAATAAACATTCATTTAATATGAAAAATACACTTTAGAACTTAACAAGGGAACATGAGGTGAATTATATTGTGTTTGCATAGCTTGGTATCTGAGCAACAATATTATAAAATTTTTTATATTTTTGTCATTAATCCTTTAAAACTGCATAAACCTTAACTAGGCATAAATTATATGTTTATGCTTTAACAAATTTCCAAACTTAAAGATGTGCCCAACAGGAAGACAGCCCAGCCACTATGGACAACCATTAAAGGCACTCTGTAAATGAACAACATGTTTAACACCTGGTAGACAAGTCAGGAAGACCATGAGTTCAAAGCCCGCATCCTAGCAACATGCTGTGTCAAAAAATGAAGCCCCAATAGTTTTGACAATAGGCCACTGAAAATGTACATGCTAGATTCTTCCTGTCTTCTGAAGGCACAAGAAAAAATAAAGTTGGTGCCTTCTAGCATACTGGTTTGATGGTTTGAATGGTAGGAAAAGGTTATAAAATGGAAATGGATGTTTACTTTATTTCTGACAAACAGAACTGATACTCAGTATTTTCAAAGGCCACACAAGACATATTTCCAATCCGATAGAAAGCAAAAGCAACAGGTGGTTACTGGTGGCTCATCCCTGTAATCCTAGCTATGCAGGAGGCAGAGATATGAGGATCATGGTTCCCAGCAGGAAAGTCTGTGAGACTCATCTCGAATTAACCACAAAAAAAACCTGGAGCTATGGACCAAGTGGTAGAGTATTGGTCTTGAGCAAAGAAGCTCAGAAACAAAACTCAGAGTTCAGGCACAAAAGACCCAGCTCTAGCACAAAACGAGAGGGAAAAAAAAAAAAAAAACAGCAAAGTAGATAATCTGAAGACTGATGTCTGTAAAAGGGCAATTTTTTTTTTTTTTCTGGTCCAGTCGTGGGGCCTGAACTCTAGGCCTGGGCGCTGTCCCTCAGCTCTTCAGCTCAAGGCTATCACGCTACCACTTGAGCCATAGCACCACTTCCGGCTTTTTTTTTCCTGCTTATGTGGTACTGAGGAATCGAAGCCAGGGCCTCATGCATGCAAGGCAAGCACTCTACCACTGAGTCACCTTCCCAGCCCTGTAAAAGGACAATTTTTACATGTAGGCAACATACATATTTTCTATGGGACTAGTAAAGTCCTTTGTTAAAGCTAAAGGGATTTTTATACAGGAGAGAGTAAAGGTTTTGAAATTTAATTTTCAAAGAATGGATCAATATAAATAAAAGTATGCAATAAAAAATTTAAATGATATAGAAGTATCATAAAAGTCCTCCAAGGTTATTTCAATATAGAAGTATCATAAAAGCCCTCCAAGGTTATTTCAATGTACACAGTAAGATACATATAATGTTTCAACTATAAAAAATTAGACATAATGGAAAGAAAAAAAATTGATGCTATTTTTTTCTTCCTTTTTGTTCTACAAAGGAATTATGGTATTTAAAAGTACTGCATACAACCATTTATTTAAGTCACACCTAGGAGTATAACCCTGGGTCATCACTTTGTACCATTTAAATTGCAATTGCTTCAACCACTTAACTCACACTTACCTTATGAGTTCAATAACAGGATCCCACAGAGCACTGAAGTTTACATATAACATGCCCAACAAATAACGAAGTGGTACCTGCAATTACAAAAGACTTTCTTAGTAATGGATGATAAGCTTCAGTGGAAAAAACAGGTGTTTTATCCCTTGAGTCATGCCTCCAGCCCTTTTTGCTTTGGCGCTCTCTCTCCCTTTTTCTTTTTTTCTCGCTCTCTCCTGCAGTATAAAGGAGTTGTCAGGACAGTTTGTGGATGCAATGCATTATGATCAACGTCATCCTTTCATCATTCTCTCCCACACATCCTAACCCCATCTTGTTCCTGAATTTTCTTAATTTTGTAGGATATGCGTTGAATTTTATGACTCTACTCCTCCCTCACCCCCAATTGCTTTCTGAAATAGGATCTCAATTTATGACTGGGTTACCATGGACCACAATCCCATTTATGCTTCCTATATGGCTGGGATGACAGGTATGTGACACTATGCCCACATAAACTTTTTGCCCAGGCTGGCCTCCAGCTGAGATCCTCTCAATCTCTGCCTCTGGAGCAGATGGGATTCCATGAATCTGGCTTTTCAATTACCTCTTAGAACAACATTCATTATTACCAACAGCCCCTTACACTAGGTGGTATCAATTGTATTATTACTTTGGGATGTGATGTTGGTACATATTATAGTAGTAATTTCTTTTTCAAATACATATCATGAAAGATGATAGCATCTGAAACTGGTAAGAGATAATTTCTCGGATTAAAAAGGGGAATGCTGGGCTGGGGAAGGTGGCTCAGTGGCAGAGTGCTTGCCTTGCATGCATGAAGCCCTGGGTTCGATTCCTCAGCACCACATAAGCAGAAAAAAAAAGCCGGAAGTGGCACTGTGGCTCAAGTGGTAGGGTGCTAGCCTTGAGCTGAAGAGCTGAGGGACAGAGCCCAGGCCCAGAGTTCAGGCCCCAGGACCGGACCCCCCCACCCAAAAAAAAGGGGGTAATGCCTTCATATAGTTTTGCTCCCAAAGGTGTCCATGATGTATGTATCTACCAGGGCTTAAGCTAAAAACCTCTGGACAAAAACCATAGGAAGCTAGCCGGGCGCTGGTGGCTCACGCCTGTAATCCTAGCTACTCAGGAGGCTGAGATCTGAGGATCGCGGTTCAAAGCCAGCCCGAGCAGGAGAGACCGTGAGACTCCTATCTCCAATAAACCACCAGAAAAACCGGAAGTGGCGCTGTAGCTCAAGTGGTAGAGCACTCGCCTTGAGCTGAAGAGCTGAGGGACAGCGCCCAGGCCCAGAGTTCAAGCCCCACGACCGACAAAAAAAAAAAAAAAAAACATAGGAAGCTGATGGTTGCTTTAGACAAAAAAAAAAAAAAAAATTCAGGTGGGTGCTGGTGACTCACACCTCTAATCCTACTCCGAAGGCTGAGATCTAAGGATCATAGTTTAAAGCCAGCCCAGGCAGGAAAGCTCAAGAGATTCTTATCTACAATTAACTGACAGAAATCCAGAAGTGGAGCTGTGGTTCAAAGTGGTAGAGCACTAGCCTTAAGCAAAAAGAATTCAGGGACAGCATCCAGACCCAAGTTCAAGCCCTACAACGGACAATAAAATAAAATTCTTCTTTTTGAAGTTATTTTGTCACAAAAACATACTTGAATGATAATTTCAATTTCTTGTCCCCAACCCTGGGAAATCTGTGAAGGTAGAGGCTGGGTTTTTATATCACAATCACCCAGTCATAGGTAATCAATATGATTGACTTTAGGGTAGGGCATGGTGGTACTAGCCTATAATCCCAGTACTCTAACATTATAGGCTCATGTTTATAATCCTGCTATTCCATAAGCAGAGACTGGGAGAATGAGGTTACAGGAAGCCCAGGTAAAAAGTTCACTCGACTTCTCTGAAGCAACAGCTGGTGCAGAGGAGCACAGCATTCCTCTCATCCCAGATACATGGGAGGCTAGATCAGGAGGCCCACAGTTTGACTCTAGCCCAGACCAAAAAGTTCTTGAGACCCCCATCTCAAGATAAAAAGCTGACCATAAAAGTACGTGCCTGTTGTCCTAGAATAAATAGAAGGATCTGAAGCCCATGTCAGCTTGGGTAAAAGTGACCCTATTTCCAAACTAACCAGTGCAAAAAAAGGCTAGAGTCATAACCTAACTGATAGAGGGCTGTCTAGCAAGCACAGAGTTCTGAGTTCAAGCCCCAGTACAGCCCATAAATAGAATGGACGATAGATGGATGGAGCAGAGTGGAGGAACTCCTTTAGTATATTTCCCCAGCAAAGAATGAAAACAAAGGAAGAAGCAGCAGCAGCAGAAGAAGAAAACAGAGCACTGCTCAGAGCACTTCTTTACCTCCTGTAAGGGCCCATGAGGAAGAGCAATCTGCACAACATCATGCCTCAGTTTCCGCAGGTGCAGTAGTTTCTCCCTGTAATCACTCACAGTTGCTGGAACAAGTTCTGCCTGGCGTAATATTGTGAAGGCTGACTGGCGCTCCGACAGACCATCACCATCACCCTGTACAAACAGGGCCCGGAGGCAGGTCAATAGCATGACACTCCACAAAGAACATGAAAATTTTTTTTTTTAGGGGTCCGGTTGTGTGGCCTGAACTCTGGGCCTGGGTGCTGTCCCTCTTCAGCTCAAGCCTAGTGCTCTACCACTTGAGCCACAGTATCACTTCCGGCTTTTTTCTTTTTGCTTATGTGGTGCTGAGGAATCGAACCCAGTGCCTCATGCATGCAAGGCAAGTGCTCTACCACTGAGCCACCTTCCCAGCCCAGGACATGAAATTTTTTGTTGTTGTTGTTTTAAAAAACTTTTTTTTTTTTTGCCAGTCATGGGGTTTAAACTCTGGGCCTGGGCACTGCCTCTGAGCTCTTAGATCAAGGCTACTGCTCTACCACTTTGAATCACAGTACCAGTTCCTGTTTTCTGGTGATTAACTGGAGGTAAGAGTCTCAAGGAGGGCTGGGAAGGTGGCTCAGTGGTAGAGCGCTTGCCTTGCATGCCTAAAAGAAAAAAGCAAAAAGCCGGAAGTGGCGCTGTGGCTCAAGTGGTAGAGTGCTAGCCTTGAGCTGAGGGACAGTGCCTAGGCCCAGAGTTCAGGCCCCACCCAAAAAAAAAAAAAAAGTCTCATGGACTTTCCTGCTCCAGCTGGCTTTAAACCTCAATTCTCAGATCTCGGCCTCTGAGTAGCTAGGATTACAGGCATGAGCCAACAGCACCTGGTTAAATTTATTTTTTTTCACACCATTTACTTTTGGTTTTTGTTGGTCATGAAGCTTGAACTCAATGCCTGGACGCTGTCCCTGAGCTTTTTCACTCAAAAATAGCATTCTACCACTTGGAGCCACTGCTCTAATTCTAGTTTTCTGGTTAATTGGAGACAAGAATCTCAAAGACTTCCCTGCCTGGGATGGCTCTCAACCATGATCCTCAGATCTGAGTCTCCTGATTTGCTAGGATTACACGTATGAGGCACTGGCACTTGGCTATACCATTTACTTTTTGGTAGAAAAGTTAGATTTCAGTGCTCAGCACAGAAATAAAAAGTAATCAGAAATTTTCAAAGTGATTCAAAACGATTGGCAACATCTAATGAAATAAAAAAGTATATATACACTAATGACTATGAGTTTTACAAAAAGTAATTTGCATTATGGAAATAATTCCCTACATGAAGTATGTAATAAAGTTGATGAAAAACTATCTACCAACAGGAAATTGGCGAAGGTGTTTTTTTTAATTTTTAAAATTTTTATTTGTGGGGCTAAGAAGGTAGCTCAGTGGTGGAATGCTTGCCTCGCATGCATGAAGCCCTGGGTTCGATTCCTCAGCACCACATAAGCAGAAAAGGCCAGATTTGGTCCTATAGCTCAAGTGGTACAGCACTCACCTTGAGCTGAAGAGCTGAGGGACAACGCCCAGGCCCAGAGTTCAAGCACCACAATCAATGACAAAAATAAGTAAATAAGCTTTTAATTTTGTTTTTGGTCCATCCTGGTGCTTGAACTAAAGGCATAGGGTGCTGCCCGAGCCTCTGTGTTGAAGGCTAGCACTTTACCACAGCTCTATTTCCAGCTTTTTCTTAATAGTTTATTGGAGATAAGAGTCTCATGGACATTTCTTTTCAGGCTGACTTCAAACTGCGATCCTCAGATCTGTTTCCTGAGTAGCTAGGATTACCAGTATCCAAGTTATCTGTACATTCGTGTTGTTGTTGCAAGTAGTAACAATTCAAAAACTTATTCCTTTTTTATGATATTTATATCTGCTCTAGTTTTTTTGGCAAAGGTATCATTTTAGAAATTAAATACATGTTAAATTATAACTTTAAAAAATGATTCCAACAGTTAAATTACCTCCATCAGTGCTGGAAGCTGAATGTCAAAATGGTTCAAAATCCTTATTGTCAAAAGCCGAATCTAGACAAAGCAAAAAATTTATTTCAAACTACAAAGTTTATATGAAACAAGAAATTAATTTTAAAAAAGGGTAACATCTGAAGAGAGAACTCATGCCTATTCTATTCCTTACTCATATCCAACAAAAAACAATACCTATCAAATAGTACATAGGTACTGAACAGGTAAGGCTGCTCAGTCACCATACTGTTTCTTTAAACTGTGACACTGTCAGTATCTCTAAAGATATGCAAGGAACTGATTGGGTCTATAGTTCAATTGAAATCAGTGCTCTGTTCTCTATTTTCACATACTTGAGTGAGCAGAGCAGCAGAATCATTGAGAGGGATTTTAACCCTACTGAATCAGAATCTTTGGGAACAGGGACCCAGAATTTTATTAATCTCCCTAACCAATTCTGCAGGAATCAGTCTAATTTCTGCTTTAGGCATCATCATCCCACAGCAGTACTTTTTCTCCCCTCCCCACATTCTCTCCTCTCCTCTCATCCCCTGTTTCTCCTCCCACTCTCTCTCATAGTACTGGTGATTAGATGCAAGCACTCCACTACTTAAGCTACACTCCTGGACTTTTTCTGTTGTTTGCGTGTTTGTTTTTGAGGCAGACTGTTGTCATCTTGCTTCCTAGGCTAGTAGTGCATTCTGATGACTACTAGCAGTCATACAGAAACAAAAAGAAAACAGTATTGCCTTGGATACTCCAGTTGAAATGTTTGTTTGCAACTTGGGAAATAATTCCATTAAAGCTTCCTCAGAGAGTGGTCCTTTGCATCCACAGAAGGATAACCTCTGATAGTAGAGATCAGCCAACAGCAGCACCGACGGTTCTGAAGGAAATGTTCTGCAACAAGATATTTAAGACTCATTGTACCACACACTTCGTGATTTCAGATCATAATATACACTATAGAAAATCATTGTTGATGAAGGACATGTAGAAGGCTGGAGGAAGCTTGCAGATGAAGAGGCCTAGCAATCCTGAGTGACATATTCAAGCATACAACTGACTATATAAGGGAGAGGTAGGACTCAAATTTGAATTTCATTTCCAATGCTGCCTCTCCAATCCACAGCTGCCAACAACTGCCAGATAACAAGTAATATTTATTATTTGCTGCATGCCAGGTCTTGAGCTAGTGAAGGAAACTGGGCAGCCCAGATGCAAGCCCACATCATCAGCAGCCTAACTCTGGAGAAGCTGCTTAGCTTCTGTGCCATCTTTGTTCAACAATTATTTTCTGAGTGCCTACTATGTGACTTTTCTAGACCCTGTAGATATATCAGTAAACAAAAGACAACGTTCCCATTTTCTAGAAATTTACATCAGAAGGCAAGCAATAAACTAATAAATAGTAAGAGTGACAGTGATGAGTGCTATAGAGAAAAACAATCAGATGGAGTGAAGAGATAAATGTGAAGAGGATGGACAGCAGAGGGAAAGAGGGTACAGTGAAATATCACTGAGATAGGGGCAGAGAGAGAGGGAGTACCATGGAATACCATTTGACAGGGGTAGTCATGGAAAGCAGAGACAGAAAGAAGTGAAAAAGTGAGCTTAAAGGGTATTTGAAGGAAAAGCAAAACCAAGTCAAAGCCTGAGGTATGTTTGTCTACTGAAAGATTATGATTGGTCTGGTTGGAACTGAATTAGCAAGGAACAGTGGCTGAAGAATTCAGAAGTAGGCAGGGGTTGGGTGGTCCAGAGCCCAAAGGAACTCAGTGAGGAGTTTGATTTTATTACAAGTAAGGATACAGGGTGGATAACATTAGAGCAGAGTTTCTCAGCAGTGTTGGCACTGCTAATATCTGGGGCTAGAACTGCTGGGGGCTATCCTCTGCATTGTATGTTGCTTAGCAGAATCCCTAGCCTTTACTCACTACACACCAGCAACAGCCTCTCCTCCACATTCTAGAAGCAACAACTAGAACAGACCTCCAGAAATGCTCCTGGCTGAGAAGCACTGTACAAGCTGTGGGCAATGGAGTGAATCACCAGGTGCTGATACAGCTCAGAGAACACAGGACAAGGGTGGAAGTAAGGAGACTCATAAAGAGGCTGCGACAACAATCCAGACAAGCGATAGTAGCTAGGCCAGGGTCCTGTTTTGAAACTTTAGTTCCCTCATCTATAATGATAATAGTACCTTGTACTTCATGGAGTTGTAAGGATTAAATTAAATAATGTATGCAAAGTACACACAACAGTGACGGATATATAATTAGGACACAGTAAGTATAATTTATTATTACTGAGTGCAATATGTAATTCAGTTTCACTACGTAAGATTTTTTTTAAACCATCCCTTTTGAGAGATAATGAAGTTGAGAACAAGTAAGTAAGTCATTCAAATTGACAGTATCAGGACAGTATCAGATGCAGGCCCCCTATGAAACCTAGATGCTTGCCAGTATACTAGCACATTACGGAGCAGGATCCTATATTTGCAATGAAAGTTGACTGCTACCTAACCTTCCCCAGAGGGGAAGGATGGACAAAAGATGAAAAGTTTAAATAAGAAGATGGAAAGTATAAATAATTAAAAAAGGGAAATACGCTATAGGGTAAATAGGACAAAGTAAAAGAAATCTCCTCCCCCAGGAAGTTCACTTAAACCAATTTGGCCATGGAGAAATGCCAAGCTCCCCTGGGTATGGAAATATAAAGAGATTCTGGATTACTGCCATTACCCTCCTAACTTTTCTTTACTCCCCTACAGACTCTCAATATAGTTGCCTAAGAAATCCTGTGTAAGACTATGTCTCAAATGGGACACTCATTTTGCCCCAGAGAGCAGCCTGGTCTGATATCCTCATGGCTCTCTCCCTAGCTGCTTTCAGGTTTTTGCTTAGATGTCTATAGTGAGGTCTTCCCATAGAACCATCACTGTCCCTAACATCTAGATTCCCTACCTTCAGGCCCTGCTTTCATTTCCTTCATGGCACTTAGAACCATCTAATGTGTTATGTACTTTACTTATGTACTCTACTTAATGTCTTCTTTCTAGAACAGCAGCTCCACAGAGATTGTGAATTTGGTCTGTGTCACTATTTTCCAAGGACTAAAATAGGATCCAATACATGGGAAAAGCAAACAGGTACTGTCTGAATGAAATGAATGAGTAAATGTGTGTTAAAAAGCGTGGAAATAAAATGGACTAGACTCCAAAATAAGTGACTCTACCTAAAAGTAAAGGCCTGTGGGGCATTTGCAGTGGCTCGAGCCTTTAATTCTAGTTACTCAGGAGGCAGAGATCTCTGAGGATCACAGTTTGAAGGCAACCGGGGCAGGAAAGTCCATGAGACTCCTATCTCTAAATTGAGTTGCAAATAACTGGAAGTGGAGGTGGAGCTCAAGTGGCAGAGCACTAGCCTTGAGCAAAAACTCAGGGACAGCTCAAACCTCAGGACAGGCACAAAAAATGGGGAAGAAAAAGAGTAAAGGCCTGTCTTTTGAACAGGCAAATGATTATATTCCCAATAATGGTCCTATGTACCACCAAAACCCTAGGCTGGCTAAATTAAACAAAGTAATAAACTGAACTGTGGGAATACCAAGCTAAAAGATCATAGATAAAGTCTTCAGAAATGTAGGTCAAGTCCAAGAGAGGCAGAAAATGCAAGTATAGGGAAAAGGTAAGCAAAGTCAAGTTATACCACATTATGGTTAGGAAAACTGGCATTATAAACTCTTCTAAACCTAATTCACACACATAATAAAATAACTCCTTTCAAAGATGACCGTGCCAAAATATATATACTTATTTCCATTGGAGGACCTAAATCAATATTAAGTTTCACTGTGTAAATACAACTCAGGTATAAAATAGATCAGAAGGATTTTTATTAGGGGCATGAATTCACAAAAACAGAGGCTCCTGATGTCTTATTCATTACTAAGCCACATGGAAAAACCATTTACTTACAATACCAAATTCTTTACACGTTCCACAGGAACCAGGTGAAGTAGTTCAGAAGACTCTTCCAAACTCAGTAGAGTATTTACAGCTTGACAAAGAACAAAGAAGCTTCCTAAGGGGAGAAAAAATCACATTATTTATTTCTTTGACATCACTACTAAACATCTGATTTATCCAATCCATGCTGCTTACAGAAAGTTTTCAGAAGGTTTTTAAGGGAATTTGTGTTTTCTAAAGAATTATCTGTCAAATGTCTGACAGGAAAAAGAAGTTTCCAAGTCTTATGTTTTATCTTTCTTTAGGTAAACATGTATTCAGATATACCACTAACTTGAGAAGACAACAAAGCACACGTGAAGCAGCTGATTCAAAAACTGAAGTCCGAAATGTTTTGAGTAGTGTTAAAATGCTTAAAAGGTTTTAGATTTTTGGAATATTTCTGATTTCAGACTTCCAGATTAGGATTTTCAACTAGTGAATTTTATGAAAATATTCCAAAGAAGTCTGAATTCGGATGTGCTTCTTGTCCCAAGCATTTCAGGTCATCTCAACTTGAATTATACTTCTGCCCACCAGCCTACAACTACAACTTAAATAAACTAGAACTTTTGATGAGTGTAAAATGAATTATAAAATTCATGTTGACATTATTCTCCACTTTATAAGTCACCATCTCTAATAACTACTACTATTAATTAATGTACATATAATTAGTAGGAATTAAGTACTCATTTAATCTCCAGTCCAAGAATCAGCAAACTATGTGAGATAACCTGGTTTAACTTTTGAGACTAGGTTCCATATGTCTTTAAGGTTGGCCTTGAACACCTGATCATTCTATCTTAACTCTGCCTCTCCATTACTATGACTACAAGTCTATCCTACTGTGCTAGGATGGCCTGAAAGCTAAAAATGTTTTGTTTTGTTTTTGTATGTTTTTTACTGTGAAAATGCTGTACAGAAGGGTAAAAATGCTTGTGTTTTTGTATTTTTTAAAAAACATTTTAAAGGGGTTAAACTTTTTTAAAAAAGAATATGTCACAAAGACATACTGTTCTGGACTAAACCAGTGCCATCCAACAGAATTTTCTGCAATGGTAAAAATCCTTGTGCTGAAATATAGCCAATAGTGTAGCAAAAGTCACATGTGGCCACTGAACGCTTGAAATGTGGGAATCTAATTTAAATCTGTCGACTTTGTACCTAATAGAATGCAGCACATTAACATTTAGGCAAATGAAAAGACTGCTATTCATGTGTTAGAAGAAAATACTGGGCTAAGGTAAAACAAAGTATCTGCAATTAAGTTGCTGAGCATGAAGCAGGCAGCCTGATTCTGCCTGGAAAAAGAGGGAAACCCTGGAGGTACGGTGCCAAAGTTGGGTTTTCTGCAGCTGGACTCACAAATTGGTATTCCAGAAACCACTAAATACAAAGACATATAAGGCCAGATTATGTGCAAGGCCAGATTATGGTAAGGCATATAACTTAGGCTTGGAGCTCAAGACATATTCCAAGAGTAGGGTGGGCATGAGGTGACTGGGGCTCAAAATGAATGGTCTTAATGCTATGGCAGCCTGTTGATACTAGACTTTCCTTCTGTCCATGCTACCTTGACTGGTTATCAGGAAAACAGGCCCAGCTTATTATTCTCTTTTCTGTATTTCTTGTGGAGGAGTTATATCAGGACATGTTAGTATTCTCTAACAATAACACTATTCTCTGGTATTACGTATGTTTACAATGACTTTAGGTGTATTTGAAAAGGTAGAGAAAAGAACAAGCAGTGATTGAAACTGACCTTTCCCAAAGGTCCCTCTGTCAATAGTCATGAAGAGTGACTCTATGAAGCATGCCACTAGAGGTATCACCTTCTCTTTCTCAAGAGGTCTGTCCAAGAAATGAGGAGAAAAGGAAAAAGCTTATATTATCACTCAAAAGCTTTGTCAACTAGCTCAAATAGCTTTTGGCTAAGCTATTTTCATCAAGATGTTAAGTATTTCTTCAAAAACTAAACAGTTTATTTCTTACCTAATGTGAGGTAATACTACAAGGCTTGCCCAAGATTGTGAAAGGGAAGTCGTATCTTTACTGGGGGGTAGCTGAATTACAGTTAAGAGATGGTCCAGTACTGAATACTGTTCCTTTCTTCCGTCAGATCTAGTTTTCCTCTGCCTTAAGTAGGATCTGAAAAATGAAAAGATGAACACATGTTTAAAACAGGAGAGAATACAATTGCTCTTGTCCTCTGAAATGAGATCCTCCTTTCTACCAAGGAGCCTCGGAGGAGGAAGGAATTAGTGATGGCTGAATATAAATAACTGTGAGTCATGTACTGACAAGCACATAAGCTCTGCTTCCTTCTACTTATACTTTCATTTGCTATGTAACTTAAACCAAGCCTTTCTAGTTTTTGGCATTACTTCTCATTTTTCTTTGTTTGTTTTGCTGTTGGTTATTTGAGAATTGGACAGGTAATTCACATTGTCTCTTTTGTTCTGACATAAATTTTACCACTTCTCAACTTTTGACTGATGTCATGAAGTTACTAAAATGATTATTTAGAAGTTGTTTAGGGCCGGGCGCTGGTGGCTCACGCCTGTAATCCTAGCTACTCAGGAGGCTGAGATCTGAGGATTGCGGTTCAAAGCCAGCCCAGGTAGGAAAGTCCGTGAAACTCTTATCTCCAATAAACCACCAGAAAACTGGAAGTGGCATTGTAGCTCAAGTGGTAGAGCACTAGCCTTGAGCTGAAGAGCTGAGGACAGCGCTCAGGCCCAGAGTTCAAGCCCCATGACTGACAAAAAAAAAAAAAAGAAGTTGTTTAGGGATGGGAATGTGGCTTAGTGGTAGAGTGCTTGCTTTGCATGCATGAAGCCTTATGTTAGATTCCTCAGTACTAAATAAACACAAAATGTCAGAACTGGCACTCTGGCTGAAGCTTTGAGCTTTGAGCAAAAGACACTTAGGGACAGTGCCCAGGCCCTGAGTTTAAGCCCCAGAACTGCCCCACCACCACCACCAACACCACCCCCACCACCTCCACCCCCACCCCCCCCAAAAAAAGTTGTTTAGCCTGACAAATGGTTGTTCATGATACTTTCTAACATGACACTGATTTGGGATATTTGTTACTCTTTACCATTCTTTTTTTTTGGTCCGGTCATGGGGCCTGAACTCTGGGCCTGGGCGCTGTCCCTCAGCTCTTCAGCTCAAGGCTAGCGCTCTACCACTTGAGCTACAGTACCACTTCCAGCTTTTTTCTTTTTGCTTATGTGGTGCTGAGGAATTGAACACAGGGCCTCATGCATGCAAGGCAAGCACTCTACCACTGAGCCACCTTCCCAGCCCCTCTTTACCATTCTTACTAGCTTTTTTATTCTTGCCAGTGTACTATGCCTCAGTCCTACCTGTAAGACAGAAATCTCATTAAGGAAAAACCATAGAAACAATAAGATTTTAAAATTTGTTCCTGTATCCAATTTTCTAGCTTATTATGCAATAGAAACAAATAGAGTTTGACGCCTATACTCTTTTTGTTACTAAATTTAATCAAAAAGTCATATTCTCTTTGTTTTATATTTATCAGGACACTAAATGTTTGGAAATGATAGATGACTAAGTTAATATAAATGTCAATTCCTTAAAGTCCACATCCTGAAATACAGTCTTCTGGGCAGAAACTATGACTCTACAGCCCGTAATCTTACAGACAGAAGCTAATGAAAGATTCAGAAATACCAATAATGTTGGCCCAATCAGTGTTTATATACCCTCATTTTATAAGGCTTTACATTTAATGTGGACTTTTAAAAATTTATAATTAAAGCAACTTTCATAGTTTAAAAAAAAGAGGTAACAGCGAGTCATTAGTTCTATGTTTTTTGTTGTTGTTTGTTGTTTTGCCAGTCCTGGGGCTTGAATTCAGGGCCTGGTCACTGTCCCTGAGCTTCATTTGCTCTAGAACTCTACCACCAGCTGTTTATGTGGTACTGAGGAATCGAACCCAAGGCTTCATGCATCTAGGCAAGCATTCTACCACTAAGCCACATTCCCAGCCCCATGCTGTTATTCCATGTGTCTATCAGACCTTCTAGTTAGCTTTTCCAATAAAGTCCATATTCCCTTCTTCACCCTAGAAAATCCTCAAAGGACCTGACCCTACCTCTTCTCCCCTCACCTCCTCCCTGCTCAGTGTTCTTTATTGTAAGAGACTGAGCTTCCTCTCATTCCAGACCTTCTGAAGTTACTCTTCACTCTGCCTAGAAAGTCTTCCAAGGATCAACCCTTCCCATTCCCACAAAGAATGTAATCTCCATACAGAAGTAACTACTGCTCAGTACTTCATGTTCAGAACAGTCCCTGATAGCATAAAATACCTGTCAAATGACAGGACAAATTTACTTGTAAAAGACATTTCCTATTAGTTATCTCTTCTTATAAAAAAATTGCAAGATAGATGGATGAAATGTTATTAAGACTATTCCATTATTAAAAAAATATGTATCCCAGGCTGGCTTTAAACTTATGCTGTAGCCCAGTCACCCTCCTGGTTCTACCTCACTCCCAAGTGCTAGGCTTATAGGCTCGTATACACATAATAATAATTATTATTATGAAAAATCTTCACAGAGGGAAGGAGGACAAAAGTGAGCGTTTGCACCCTTTCTCTGCAGAGCTGGCAGAGAAATATGTTTTCTTCTTCTTCTTTTTTTTTTTTTGGTCAGTAGTAGGGCTTTAACTCAGGGCCTGTGGGCTGTCACTGAGATCTTTTGTTCAACCCTAGCGCTCTACCACTTTGAGCCACAGCTCCACTTCCGGTTTTCTGGTGGTTAACTGGAGATAAGAGTCTCATGGACTTTCCCAGAGCCCAGGCTGGCTCTGAACCATAATACTCAGACCTCAGCCTCCTGAATAGCTAGGAGTAAAGGTATGAGCCACCACCACCACCTGGCTGGAGGGATATTCTCTCAGAAGAAGAGACAAAGAAATTGTGGCAATTACTGGGTCAATGCATCTAAATGTATTGATTTTATTATGCACCTTCCCAGGAGGAGCAGCAAGGGCTAAGGGCAGTGGGAGGTCTGCCGTTCATTCTCATCAGAACCTTGGCTATATCTCATTGAAGCCATCCACCAAGGCAGCTTCACCCCTATTCCACAGGACCCAGAGTTTGGCCACATAACAGGAATGTGCTTGTTGAAGATTGGCAGGGGTTGCAAAATCAAAACAGAAGGCCCATGAGAATAACAGAAGTTATTCATTATCAGAGCCCTGTCACCTAAAACAGCAACAAGACTGCTGGCATATTTTCATAAAGAAGCTACTCTGATGGTATGATGAAGAGGAAAGCAGGGGTTGAGGATATGGGGTCCCCCAGAATCTCATGGAATCCCCAAGAATTGCAATTTCAGAGTCAAGAGCTATGTGGCTGTGAGGAGACTAGCTCTCACTTCAGTAGTGCTAAGGAGCTTCACAAACTCAAGGAACATTCATTCATCACACTCATTTTTCCTACTCAGCACTCTCACAGCCAAGCACAAATACAGAAACAGGTCTAACTAATCAAAAAGATTAAAACAAGTGTATGAACAAGGAAATGAGGAAGTGGTATTCAAAGTGGTAGAGTGCTAGCCTTGAGCGGAAAAAGCTCAGGGATAGTGCCCAGGCCCATAAACACACACACCCCCAGACACACACACACACACACACACACACACAGAATGTACTCTGACTCACACTTGTAATGCTACTCAGGAGGCTGAGATCTGAGGATCACAGTTCAAAGCCAGCCTATGAGACTCTTTTATCTCCAGTTAACCACTAGATAATCAGAAGTGGTGCTATGGCTCAAAGTGGTAGAGCGCTAGTCTTGAGCAGAAGAGCTCAGAGATAGCACCCAGTCCTGGAGTTCAATCCCACGATTTAAAAAAAAAAAAAAAGACACAGGAACTGACTTCCACAATGTAAGAGTATAAAATTTTAAAATAATTCACTTAAATGTCCAAAATACTTTATATAAATATGTGAAAATGGAACAATGAAGCTTGCTGAGATTGGTTTGGGAAGAGGGAGAAAGATTGATTGGGAAAATGCCAATATAAAATGTAACAACAACAATAAAAAATGAAGTCACTTCTTTTCCACGCTTTCCATCCTCCTGGCAGTAAGTTTTGTCCATCCTTGGAGAGAGGGCAATTCTCTCCATACCGGTGAAGCCATTTACTAAGACAAGTTTGTTCTAAAATTTGTATAGAAACACAAAGGTCCAGGAGTAACTAAAACTAAGGACTCTCACTTGACATCAAAATTATTCATAGAAGGAAAAATTTGAATAGCTGACCCCATCCAACTATAAACCTCTACTATGCAAAAAAAAATTTTCATTTTCTTTTAAACCCCCCCCCCCCCCCGAGAGATTGAATCCAGGCCCTCACACCTACTAGGTAATGCTCTAGCACTTGAGTCATGACCCAGTTTTTTTGTATTGTACTTTGTTTTTGAAAGAAAGGTGCTTGCAAACTTCTAAAACTGCAGTATGTTTATGCAAGACATGAGCCAAAGGTGGAACCTGGATGAAGGGCACCTGGAATTCCTCTGTACTATTTCTTGCAACTCCACACAAACCTACAGTCATCTTAAAAGGTTAAAAATTAGTGGTCATATTTCTTTCCCTAACTTCCTTCCTGGTATAAAGAAAGTTAACAGATTGTCCCATGTTTTTCTATGCTTACTTACACATTTGTGTTAATTTTGCAAAGTGAGATCATACCACATGCATAATATATAAAACACATTTTTTTCATGTAACACCTTACCATGGACATTATTTCAGTACATATATACAGATTTCATTTCTATAGGATTCTTATATTCTGAAGCTTATTTGAATGGGTCATCTCACCAATATCACGGGCATATGATTAGAACTCACCCCACTGTCTGTTGTGAGAAAACCAGAGGATACTTTTCAATCACCATGCAGCCAGCGGTGGGAGGTGCTGCCTTGTTGAGAATGAGCTTGGCCAAAATGGCCAGTGCTTCATCTTTGGCCACAGTGTCACCAACTGAGAAGCAATTCTCAATGTACAAGAGAAAGCTTGGTAGAAAAAGCTGAAGACAAGAAAGGAAATCACACTTATTAGCAGGTATAAATTCTATAATACCTAATATAAAGAATTATAATACTTGAATGAGGGAACAAAAGATACTGTAGAAAAGGAAGTGTAGTCATTACCTGACTCTTGTAATTATAATCCCTCTGTACATCACCTCTATAAGAGCAATAAATTTTAAAAAAAAGAATTATAACACTTAAAAAAGAAAGCAAAAGAGGCTGGTGGAGGTGGCTTGGCAGGAATCATGATGACAAATGTTCAAGTTAGCCCAGGAAAAAAGTTAGCAAGACTTCATCAACAAATAAACTGGATGTGGTAATACATTCTATAAAGCTGGCTATGTGGGAAGCATAAGTAGGAGGATCATGGTCTGAGGATAGCTCTAGGCAAAAACGCTACCTAAAAAACAAACTAAAAGCCAAAAGTTCTGTGGGTGTGGCTCAACTGCTTGTGTGCTTGCTAATAAGCACAAGGCTCTGAGTTCAAATCCCAATGCTGCCAAAGAGATTTCATTCACAAAGGATCAGGAATCATAATGGCCTTGAAGTTCTCCATAGAAACAATGAAAGCTAGAAGTCAAAGTAGCAACATCCTAAATTCTGTAGGGAAAAGAATCAGAATCTAAAATTCTATATCTAGTCTGCTCTCAAAACAGTGTATATAGGAGAAAATATTGACATTTTCACATGTACTAAATCCTAAAATTTTACCTCCATTCCACAGAAATAAGAGAGCCAGCTACAATAAGAGTGAAACAAAGACTTAGGAAGCAGAAATGAAGCAAAGGGACACTGTAACATGACAGCTATGCAGGGGGCTGAGCAAGCAAAGCCCCTAGACTGGAAGTACTCCCCAGGAAGAATGTCTCCAAGAAGCAGGAGGAAGAAACTGAGCTAGTAAGTTTATCTTTCAGTTTGCCATGCAAACAGTATTTATAGTGTTGTTGGCAGAAAGTCACTGAGCAGTTAAAACAATCTCTAGTTTTTAAAGGATGAGGTAAAAGCTTATGCTAGGAAAAATGAGAACATATACAAAAAAAGGACATGTAATATAAAATATTCCTTGGTAACAAAAATGTGGTGAATATGGATTCAACCCAAATCTATGATAAAATGGCAGGGAAGATGAGAACTAAATATTAGAACTAAAACCAATCTACCATACAGTGAAGCTTAAAGACAAGGTCTAAAACTAACACATCAAGAAAGAGCAATATGTGCAGATGACTTAAAAGCATACAGATTAGACAAGGTACTAGTGGCTCACACCTGTAATCTTCGCTATTCAGAAAGCTGACATTTGAGAATCAAGTTTGAGGCCAGCTTGAACAAGAAGGTCCTTGAGACACTTACTGCCAATTAACCACCAAAAAGCTTGAAGTGATGCTGTGGCTCAAGTGGTAGAATGCTACCCTTCAGCCAAAAAGCTCAGGAACAGTGCCTAGGCCCAGAATTTAAGCCCTAGGACTGGCATATGGACACGCACGCACGCACGCACGCACGCACGCACGCACGCACATGTATGCAAACACATCTATGAAGGCCATAACAAGTAGCTAGTTGCTAGTAAGAAACAGGAGAGTGGCAAACAGATGACTTGACTAATTTAAACTATGTCTAAATAGTGTGTTTGCAGTCCAGATGAAAATTAAGGGTTTTGGGTTGTCTGTTCTGAGTTACTGAGGTTTGAACTCTGGACCTCACTCTTCCAAGACAGGTGTTCTATCAATTGATCAACAGCCTCAACAAAATAAAGATTAAAAGTAGGGCTGGGAAGGTGGCTCAGTGGTAGAGTACTTGCCTTGCATTCATGAGGCCCTGGGTTCTATTCCGCAGTACCACATTAAAAAAAAAAAAAAAGTGGCGCTGTGACTCAAGTGATAGGGCGCTAGCCTTGAGCTGAAGAGCTGAGGGACAGCGCCCAAGACCAGACCCCACAACCGACAAAAAAATAAATAAAGTATAGAGTTTGCCTAGCAATTGCTGGTCCGAGTTCAATCCTCAATACTATGCACTCACCCACCCACCCCTCATACACATACCCCAAAACAAGCAAAAACTCCCAAAACATACAGAGATGGAAAAGATAGTTTCTTAAGCAACAACAACAACAACACAGTGATAGTCCTCAAAGAGCAGAAATAAACAGGACCTAGAATATGCACAAAGAGGTTCTTTTGAGTCAAATGAGAATATACATTAGTGAAGACTAAGGAGAGAGAAGCAGATGACAAGTTCACTGTGAGGTGGCCACTTATGAGGAGTGGCATGCCTGATGGAGGTGAGAGGAGAGGGTTAAATCAAGTCAGGCTCTGCCAGGGAAGAGTTCTCTTTGTTCCATTACGTATCTTTTTTGGTGCAATTACAGTAACTTCAGCCTCCTTCCGATGGAAGAAACCACTTTTTATGCTTCAAATTCACATAAAAGTTCCTTATACTGATTTTCAATTTTACCACATGGTAAATCAGTTCAAGTACTGTTCAAAATGAAATGGCCACTGGTTATAATTATAAATGCCTGAGAATATATAATAAAGTCTCACACATAACCTCAACTTGAATGTAATTAAAAAATACATTAACTAAAATATCAAGCACAAACTCCACTCCTTTAAAAAGCAAACAAAAATCCAGAATTTCAAACTTGGCTATTTTACCAGGATAGATTTAGAAAACACTCCAAATGTAATCTCTTCCTTACCTGTTCAAATTGCTTCATAGGAAACATAACTTCGGAAAAGTCCAAAATCAAACGTCTTTCAAATCTGCTCTCAAAAATCTGTGAAGCACAGGTGAAAATTACAAATGAAGTAAACAGTGTTAAACCCATTCCCTCCCCTAAAGCAGGTAGGAGTCAGGAAATGGTGGCATACTTCAACAGCCATTCAACAGGTTGCACCTCCTCCCATTCTCTAAAGAACTCAGGTGTTGCACTGACATTATTGCACTGACTCCAGAGTCACATCTGCTCAGCCTTGCCTAGCTATGGAGAACTACAAAAGGAAAACAGCCTAATCTTACGCTAATTCATCTTCAGTCCACCTTTAAAACTCACTAAATGCAAATCTCATCAAACCATGTCATTGCTTACTTTTCCCAGGGCCTTCTACTACGTAAGGCTACTTTCCTAGGCCAAGTAAGATTTCATGACTATCAGCCACTTTTTCTCAAAGGTCCAGACTACACCTATTTATAAGCACTGGTCTTTGTTCTCTCTTCTAGTTTTGTTACCATTTTCCCTGACTGAAACACTGCTATGGAGCCTTCAAAGACATACCAAATCTAAGTCTTTTGAAAAAGCTTTCTGTGATATGCAATCCCAGGTAGAACAGCTATCATTCAATATAAAGTTGTTCACTCTATTAGACTACTTCCCCCAAGAGTCCTCTTGCCCAACAATAAAGACTGTAACATCATAGGTTCTACCTTCAATACCTAACTCACACTCGCCACACAGTAGGCTCCACATGGTCACTGAAACTTTGCTGTGTAGATTTAGCTATGACTACACTTTATTTTGCTTGTTGTCATTACAGCATGCAGCTCATATCCCCTTAATTTTTAATTCCAGGAGGGCAAAGTCTTTGTCAGGCTTCATTTGTATTCTCAGCTGGGTTTACTCAACACTAAACATATTATTCACAACTCAGTTAATATCTTGTTCAAGTAAATTACTTTATCTATGGTTTCTTTGATGAGGGTCTCTGGCAAGGAAACATTTTCACCAAGGATCAAAGCAGAAATTATATCCAAGAGTGTCACATGGCACGATGTAGAAAGATTTGCTGTTGCTAATGTTTGAGACAATACCTGTCAAAATACAAAGAAAAGCACACATAGCAATCTGCTGTTAATAAACATGCTTAAGGTAGGCACTGGTAGCTCACACCTGTAGCTAACTCAGAAGGCTCAGATGAGGATTACAGTTCAAAGTCAGCCTGGGCAGGTAAATCTGAGAGACTAATCTCCAATTAACCAGCAAAACACCAGAAGTATGACACTGTCCAAAAAGAAATGTTCTCTTTATCTGACTTATTTAACTGTAACCCTTTTATACAGACCTTTATAGTAACAATAAAAAAAATTACATATACAAAAAAAAATCCAGAAGTGGAGCTGTGGCTCACATGTGAGAATGCCAGCTTTGATCAAAACAACCAAGCAAGAATGTGAGGTCCTAAGCTGAAGCCCTAGTACTAGCATAACTAAAGTTAAAATAAATACTCTTAGGCATATCAAGTAGAACACTCACCTTACAAACATCAGCAGGTTTGGTTATCTTTGATCCATTTCCATGTTTCACAAGTATCATATATATTTCTAACAATCTTTTAATTTGTTCAGAACTTTCACAACAGTTTGTTTTTGTCACTTTGTTATGTAGATCCAGGAGTGATTCCTACAAAGAGAATTTGACAAAGCAAAGAACTAGGAAATCTCAAACTCATCTGTTTATCCAGTAACAAATAATGTGTAATGCAGTACAGCTTTTCACATTCTTTTGCTTCAAAAGAAAAAGCCATACTTACTAGGAACTACAGGGAATGTGAACAGTAAATGTGAACAAAGTGTTGAGTTCTTTGCAAGCTTTACTAAGCATGCTTACATCCACCTTAACAAAGGGCACACTACATCCCGATTTATCAGACTGAAAGTCTGAGGAATGGAGACTCTAAATAATTTTTCCAGTCACACCAGCAGTAATGGTAGAGCCACAATGTAAACAGGCAGGCCGTATGGCCCTCACAGCCTTTCTTAACCACCATACTCTACTGAATCTCAAACTATCCTATCAAAATAAAGCATAGAGGGAAGAAAATTCATACATGAGTAGAAATACAAAGAAAATAATTATGAAATACAATCTCCAAGAGTGATCAGTTAAAGTCAGAGAAATAATAAACTCACAGACCTCTTGTTACATACTCATCCTTAAAAAACTAGAACTCACTTGCAAACAGTCAAAAAATGTAGCAAAGTGTTCCTTGTAGATGTAGACTACGGTCGATTTAGCCATGTTTTTGAGTGTTTCTCCAACTAAAACCCATGGCAGTTGAGTTTCTGTTTCAGTCACTGGTCCTAGCTTTTGCAAAATTAGCTTCAGTGCCTGTGGGAAAGCAACAACAATTAAAATAATCATATAAACTCTTATTTTTTTAAGTATTCAGCTATGATTTACCCCTCTGATTATACTAGCTACTTTAATAATCTAGTCTGGAATAATCAAGGATATAGTAGCTTTGAGTGTTAATTATGTATCCCAAATGGAATTTCCAAACTAGGATTCTGAGTTTTTGTTTTTGGTCCAGGACCACACTGTGTTGCCCAAACTGGCCTTGATTGGTCAGCTTCCCACCTCAACCTCCTGGTGGCTACAAACAGGCAAGCACCACCACACCCTATAAAGAAACTTAGCATCTAACAACCTTGCTTTACTACCCTATTAGTGAATGGGTGAATTATGTTAAAACCCTCCTAGTATCCAGGATGAATAAGTCACAAAGCCTACATAAGGAAGTATTGTCCTTAATCCTCTAAACTTCCCCAGTTATCACCTTCTATTGACTCTAGGTTGCCTTGTCACCATATCATTTGTCTAATTCTTTTGGGTCTAATCCTTCCACATAGGTGCCAAGCAGCCCTTCCCACTTTTTACCTGTCCTGTACAGGAATGAAACATATTCTTAACTCCTTTGCACATTTCAAAGAGTAACTGTCCAACTCCTTCCACTTTTTCTGGATGTTCATTAAGATCAAGAAGCATTAAGTTGAAAAGTGCATTTTTATCAGTGACCTAAAATGTAAAATAGAAATGGAAAGTAGTATTTACAACATGAATAAGTTAAAATAAGGAATCTACCTTCTTATTCTGGATAGTCATGTTTAAATACATTAAGGAAAAGTCTGGAAGGAGTAGTCATTTGGAATGATCTCAAACTGCTAGAATTCTTGACTCGTCCTTGTCACATTACACAGAGTGATGAGTTCACTGGTATGGCAGATATGGGTATGTCAAGAAAACCTACTGAAAGCAACACTTTGTCTTGTAAAGTAAGCTATATATTTGCATTTTATAAGCTTAAAATAAATTTAATGTTTTAATACACAAACCAGTGTTTTACTATGAAAACATTCTAATACTAAGAAAATTTTAAACAAGGGGCTGGGAAGGTGGCTCAGTGGTAGAGCGCTTGCCTGCAGGCATGAGGCCCTGGGTTCGATTCCTCAGCACCACATAAGCAAAAAGAAAAAAAGCCGGAAGTGGCGCTGTGGCTCAAGTGGTAGAGCGCTAGCCTTGAGGCTGAAGGGCTGAGGGATAGCGCCCAGGCCCCACGACTGGACCCAAAAAAAAGAAAAAAAAAAGAAAATTTTAAACAAACATGACCATATGATATTATGGTACCAGCTCCTTCCAGGAAACAAAAATTCCTGTTTATCTCATTGTTCATGTACTTATTTTATATAGGAATGTTTTGACAAGAAACAACTGAAAGCTGCAAAAAATCTAAATAACAGTAAGAATGACCAAAAAGAGTAGGGAAGGTGAAAGGAAAGGATAAGGTACTTCATATGCAGTCATGAGTATGAATAAAGAAAATCATTAAATATATTTTCCTTCCTTCCTTCGCCAGTCTTGGGGCTTGAGCTCAAGGCCTGGGCACTGATCCTGAGCTGCTTTTGCTCAAGGCTACCACTCTACCACTTGAGCCACAGTCCCACTTCTGACTTTTTCTGTTTATGTGGTACTGGGGAATTGAACCCAGGGCTTCATGCATCCTAGGCAAGCACTCTACCACTAAGCCACATTCTCAGCCCCTAAAAATAATTTAAAAAGCGGAATTGGGAGTAAGAAAGATGAAAGAGGAGGTAAATTGCATCAAAGCACATTATATGCATTATGGAAATATGAACAATGAAACTCCTTTGTTTAATTGATTTACACTCACATAAAAACTGGGAAAAGTTACTCAAATAATATCACATTATTAGTGAGAAAAGCTTAATTAAGCCTTAAGGTAAGCTAAAGTAGAAACATTAATTATAAAGATGAGTCTATAACAACCACATTAAAGAGATTCATGCTCTACTCATATCCTGGTATACAGTGATAAACACAAAATATCAAACTAACCTTTCTCATCAAAAAAGTAAAGCTTTCAGCAGCAAAATTTCTTATATGTAGTTTTTTATGTGCCAGGAGTGTACTATACAGGCTAGAAAAAAGTAAAATAGTTTAATGACATAATTGTTAATAAAGATGTAGTATATAATATGTACAACATTGAGCCAAGTATGCAAGGAATATGCAGTAGGTACAACACAAGTTTAATGTCTATCTCATTTGATTACTGAGACACTTACTTGCCAGAAAACCAAAGGCCATAAACATTATGCATATCAGGACAAGTGATGCTATTTGTCTTCCAGCAAAGATACATGAAAAACTGAAATTGGCAGTCAGCTCCAAATGACAGGAAGAACTCAAGTGAAGACTGGGGTATGTATTATTAGGGTAAACAAGAGGGCAAAGATGGGCAAGCAGAAATAATCACGGTCAACAATAATAAGGAGGCCGGTGTGCATCAATGAGAAAGGAAGTATGGTTGATCAGAACAGCTACAGATAAAACTGCCCAGGTAAAGCGGTGGCTCTGAACACCAGGCAGAGGAATTGGAGCTCTACCTTATTCTTTATGTAGGTGCCTCCTGTGTATTACTTCATTTAATCAGCCAAACTTTATGGGATGAGTACTATTACTATTTCTAGTATACTGAATTTAAACCCTACTACCACCAACATAACAAACCCATTCCATACATAATGTAGGAAGGTAAGCAACCTTCTTAAAGTCATATACAACCATAGAGCTATCATTACTCATGTAATCACATTGTTGCTTTCCCTAATTATGGAAGAATGAATGACAAATGAATCCAAAATAACAAACCCATTCCATACATAATGTAGGAAGGTAAGCAACCTTCTAAAGGTCATATACAGCCATAGAGCTATTATTACTCACATAATCACATTGTTGCTTTCTCTAATTATGGAAGAATGAATGATAAATGAATGATAAATAAAACCCCTCTGCACACCACCTTTACAATAACAATATTTTTATTTATTTATTTATTTTTTGTCAGTGGTGGGGCTTGAACTCTAGGCCTGGGCACTGTCCCCCAGCTCTTCAGCTCAAGGTTAGTACTCTACCACTTGAGCCACAGCTCCACTTCAGGTTTTCTGGTTAATTGGAGATAAGAGTCTCACGGACTTTCTTGTCTGGGCTGGCTTTGAAGTGTAATCCTCAGATCTCAGCCTCCTGAGTAGCTAGAATTACAGGCGTGAGCTACTGGCACCCAGCTTTTTGTTTTCTTAAAGTGTATTAGCAGTTAAGAAAACACAGGTGTTTAAGACATGTGCTTACAGAGTTCATTAGGTATCTAAGGACAGAATTACATTACAAATAAAGATTATATAGTTGGTTTTAAAAAAAATGCCAAAGAGGGCTGGAGGTGTGGATTAACAGCACTATGTCTGCCTAGCAACCCTGAGGCACTGGGTTCAAACCTCAGTACAAAAAAAAAGATAAAAGAGATAAAGAATATAAAGCTTTTCTTCTGGCTAAGATGCCTGGAGACTATTTGAGGAAGTTATGAAATTCAAGTCAGGCTTTGATGGGTGGGTAAAATCTCAATAGCTCTAGACAAGAGGTTAGGTCAATACAAACTTAAAATGTGTTCAACATACATTGGTAAATGAGATTGTGGATCATTGACTAGTAAATCAACTCTGTGTAAGGAAACAAATGAATAATACACTAGAAAGGTTGTCTGGAGTCAGACAGGTCAGAGAAAGAGGAAGAAAAAATTGTAAATATTGGAGAAGAAAAATCAAAGAGTCACCTGTATATACTGTTCATGTCCTTCACCATCAGTCTCCACAGGTACTTATAAAGATAGGATAGCGAGGTAAAGGCCCATTCTAACAGCTCTGTGTCCTGAGTCTCCAGGATAGAGGTGATAGTCAGGAAAAAATCCTGAAAGTGAGGATAGAAATCCGTCTGCAGATCTCGTGCCAACTGTACAACCAAACTAAATTTTAAAAAGAAGGAAGTAATTAGATTAAAAGTAAGGAGAAAACTATAAATCTATTTAACAATAGTAAATGGCTTATGATCACTGGATTAAACCAAAATCAAGTCTTACTTTATATACCAATCCTGAGGCTTGAACTCAGCCTGGCACTACTGTTCCTAGTGTCTTCTGCTCACATCTAGCATTCTACCACTTGAGCCACAGATCAACTTCTGGCGTTCTTGATAGTTTAGTAGAGATCTGAGTCTCATGGACTTTTCTGCCTAGGCTGGCTTCAACCTATGATCTTCAGATCTCAGTCTCCTTAGTAAGGATTATAGATATGAACCACAGAAATATGGCTCTAAATCAAGCTTTAAAATATATAAAATTAGGAAGTGGCACTGTGGCTCAAGTGGTAGAACACTCGCTTTGAGCTGAAGAGCTAAGGGACAATGCCCAGGCCCAGAGTTCAAGACCCACAACCGACCAAAAAAAAAAATTATTTTAATCTTAAGAGTTAAGTAAAGAAATCAAGGCAGAAAACATTCCTTCAAAGAGTCATGCAATCAAAAGTTTTTCTTAAAGAGAAATTAAAGCCTTATAGCCAGGGGCTGGTGGCTCATGACTGTAATCCAGGCTACTCAGGAAGCTGAGATCTGAGTGTCACGGTTCAAAGCCAGCCTGGGCAGGAAAATCCATGAGACTCATCTCCAATTAACTAGTAAAAACATTTAAAAGCCAGGAGCAGAGCTGTGGTTCAAGTGGTAGAACACTAGCCTTGGGTAAAAATTCACAAGGATAGCACTCAGGCCCTGAGTTCAAACCCCAGGACTGGTACCAAAAAAAAAAAAAAAAAAGATAGAGAAAGAAAGAGGGAGAATTTATTTCTCCTAGGACTGTATTAAAAAAAATATAAAACTGTATACCTAAGATTTAGCTTTATAGTAATATTCTTGTAGTTTCTAAGTTATTAACGTATGATCTAAAGCGTATCGTAGGCATAATCTTTCTTTTAAAACTCAGATAAATACCATTAAGTTTTTGCTTAAGATCTACTTACTCCAAAAGAGGCTGGTAAGCAAAACTGTTCCTAATTTGCAGGTGAGTCTTCAAACTCTGAACTATCTCATTTTGATGATAAACCAACTGATTGAATGACTGACATTTGTCAATAACTTCTTTGTAAAATTTTCCTGGATGAGAAAGAAAAACAAGTTTATTTTGCTTTTCTCTTACATCATTAATAATTCAGAATATATAAAGTACTAATTATGAGAGAATAAAATACAAACAAAATAAAAAATACCGAAATGTTCTGTTAGGTTCAATTCTCTCCATTTCAGCAGACCCTCAAAGAAGTAGGTTTCAACCTCCTGCCGAAATTAAAGCAGACCATTAAGCAAACTCCAAGTTTAATAACAATAAGTATATACTAATACCTTAAGACAATGCTTAAGAAATTAGGCTGGGAAAGTGGCTCAGTGGTAGAGCACTTGCCTTATATGCCTGAGGCCCTGGGTTCGATTCCTCAGCACCACATAAGCAAAAAGAAAAAAAAAGCCAGAAGTGGCGCCGTGGTTCAAGTGGTAGAGCGCTAGCCTTGAGCTGAAGAGCTGAGGGACAGTGCCCCGGCCCAGAGTTCAGGCCCCATGACCGGACCCAAAAAAAAAAAAGAAAAAAAAAAAAAAAAGAAATTATAAACTTCTTTTAGTTTTCTTGAAAACGAATATTAACTATATATTTAATTAGAGGTATAAGATCAATATGTTTTGTTGATTTTAGTTGCAGCCATTAACTTTCTAAAGCTTATATAACAGTCACACTAAGGAAAATGTGTTTTTTTTTTCTATGAGTTTTTCAAGTTTAGGCATAGATTCCAGTTATGATCACATTCTGTCACTCCCCTATTAGAATTTTTCCCCCTTTCATGCTACAGAATTGGTTTGTGTTTACAATTAGAAAATCATAGTCCAGCCCCTTCCTTTTTATAGAAGAGAACATCTAAGGATAAGAGAATGTTGGTGGCTCAAGCCTGTAATCCTAGCTACTCAAGAGGCTAAGATCTGAGGATCACGGTTCTAAGCCAGCTCAGGCAAGAAAGCCTGTGAGACTCATCTCCAATAAATCAATAGAAAACCAGAAGTGGTGCTGTGGCTCAAGTGGTAGAACGCTCGCCTTGAGCTGAAGAGCGCAGGGACAGCGCCCAAGCCCAGAATTCAAGCTCCAAGACCGGTCAAAAAAAAGTTAGAATGTGATTAGAACTAAAAACCATGTAATCAAGATCGTATCCTTTTACTGAGGCAGAAACTAAGCTGTAGGAAAATAGTATCATCAAAATCAAAATCACTTTAAATCACAGGATCATGGATCAGCAGCAATGTTTGCAATATATGTGAGAAAATGAGAGAATCCAGTCATTAAAGCTAGCTGAGTATTGTCAACTTTAACATAACATCATTCAGTAGAATTTTTTTTTGGGGGGCCAGTCCCAGGGCTTGAACTCAGGGCCTGGGCACTGTCCCTCAGCTGCTTTTTGCTCAAAGCTAGCAAGCACTCTTACCACTTAAGCCACAGTTCCACTTCTGGCTTTTTCCGTGAATGTGGTACTGAGGAATTGAACCCAGGGCTTCATGTATGCTAGACAACCACTCTACCACTAAGCCACATTCCCAGCCCCAGTAGAACTTTCTTCAAGGATGAAAATGTTCCATACTCACACTAGTCCAAAATGGCACCAACCATTTGCACATAGCCATTTAGCACTTCACTATTATCACTTTATTCTTTTGGAGATATTGAAGCTTGAACACAAGGCCTTGAGCTTTCTAGGCTCTCTCTCGAGCCACACCCCTAAATTCATTTGCCATATGTGGCTTCTATATTAGCACAGATCTAACTAACCTCGCTTTCAGAAAAGCACATTTGAAACACAATTCATTACTACTAACAAAGCAAAAATAAACAAAAGACCAAATAATTAAATCACTAGCTAACATCAAATTCTCTCACCTCATCATAGCTTGCAGTTCTATCAATACGGTGAATAATATCGATATTCACATTCCCAAGTCGTTCAGCAAATGTCAGAAACTGGGAGAGAAAGCATATGGACGACAAATCATCATTGAATTCTTATAACATATTGAGTATATGAGTGTGGCACAATAACCGCTGGTGGGTAATTTCCCTGTGGAAGTATTAAATGTAAAGCTTCAATATATAAGTATGCTTGGCTTTAAATTTCAGACTTGAATAAGTGAATTTTTATTTGTCTTGTTTTCTGTGTGCTTTTTTTAAATGGATCTTACGGCGAAGAGTACGTGTAAAACAGGCTGACAGGCACAGGGCCTTAAACAGATGTGCTGCGCCCATTCGAAGACAGCGAGTACTCCTTCCATGCTTGAGTTAGTTCTTGGAGTTGTCTGACATTTCAAGTTAAAGGGAGTGATTTCCACGCTAAACCTACGAATCTAGGCGAGCACTGACGATTATTCTCGCTGTCTCGGTACCACTTCCTACCACACCACAAGGCCCAAGGATCTAGCTAAAGCCATGACAACCAAAGTCCTGGAAAGAAACTGTCCGGGAAGCCAGTACCGGGAAGCACCGAGCTGGAAGTCACTCTCTTCGTCGGCCACTCCCCCACCCCCTGGTCTGAATCATCCTTTTCCCACTTCTTTACGGACAAAAGAGCAGGGCAGATTGCAGCCCGGCCATCTCCTGGGATAATGAATTTTAGCTACGGGGGCTCAGTGGAATTTCCCCAAAGGACCAACTAGGACCCAAACCAGGGGCGGAAGCTGGCGTCCAAACCCCTCCCTCCTCCTCCTCCTCCCTCCCGCTCGGGATAACGACCCCGGTGCGGGGGGCTGCCGCTGGGCCCGCGCCCCGCCGCGCCCGCAGCCCCGCGCCGCCGGCCCTCACCGCAGAGGCAGCGGCCACCGCCAGCCCCGGACCCACGCTCCCGCGCTTACCCGGTACGTGTTCTCCGTCTTGTGGGAAACAGGCTTTGTCTTCATGGCTGCGGGGGGTGCGGCCCGCGAGGGGCTCTGGTGGGGTCGAAAGGAGGCAGCCGAAGGTGGGGAGGAGAAAGTGGCTCCCAGGCCGCAGTCCCGGAGCCCCGGTGGTCAAATCTCTCTCACGTGCGGCCGGCACTCCTGGGCGCCGCCATGTTTGGGACGGGGCGGAGTCTGCTCGGTCACGTGGTCAGAAGACGAGGAGGACGGAGCATGCGCACTCATCCCGGAAGTCGGCAGGAGGCGGGGCGGCGCTGGCGGGAGTTGCTTGAGGAGTGCGGTCATCCATCGTAGCGACTCTGGAAACTGAGATCTGAGGATCGCGGTTCGAAGCCAGCCTGGGCAGGAAAGTCCCCGCGAGACTCCTATCTCCAATAGACCACCTCCAAAATGGAAGTGAGGCTGCGGCTCCAGAGCGCTGGCCTTGAACCAGAAAGATGTCAGGGTCAGCTCCCACAACAGAAAGCGAGAAGGAAAGAGGAGCACCTGCCAGTAGGTCAGCCAACAATATGTGCCCTGCACTGTGCACACATCATTTCCAGTCAATGTCGCCGGAATGTCTCTGTGAGCGCCACGCGTGGGAAGTAAAACGCTTTTAAGCCCCTTTATCATAACAAGAAAATCAATATTAAGCAGCTAATAATTGTCCCTCTCTCAGGCTCTACGTTTTCAGGTCCATCGTGACTTTTAATTCTGACATTTATTGATCGATTATTAATTTAGGGTGATTTGGGGGATCAAAGGCACTAAGCCATAAACCTCAGCTCCAAACTCTGATTTTTTTGTTTGTTTGTTTGTTTGTTTTGTGCCAGTCCTGGGGCTTGAACTCAGGGCCTGGGCACTGTTTTTTAACTTTCTTCTTTCAAGGCTGGCACTTTACCACTTGAACCACAGCTCCACTTCTGCCTTTTTGGTGACTAGTTGGAGATAAGAATCTCAAGGGCAGTGGCGCTGTGGCTCAAGTGGTAGAGTGCTCGCCTTGAGCTGAAGAGCTCAGGGACAGTGCCCAAACCCAGAGTTCAAGTCCCACGGCCAACCAAAAAAAAAAAAAGAATCTCAAGGGCTTTTCTGCCCTGGGTTGGCTTCAAACTGAGATCCTCAGATCTCAGCCTCCTGAGTAGGTAGGATTTCAGTGTGAATTCCAAGGGTGCCCAGCCTCAGAAATTTTTTTTTTCTTTTGGTGGGTTGTGGAGCCTGAACTCTGGGCCTGGGCGCTGTCCCTCAGCTCTTCAACTCAAAGCTAACACTCTACCACTTGAGCCACAGCTCAACTTCCGGCATTTTCTGCTTATGTGGTGCTGAGGAATCAAACCTAGGGCCTCATGCATGCGAGGCAAGCACTCTACCGCTGAGCCACCTTCCCAGCCCCAGAAATGTATTTTAAAGAATACTCTTTTAAACTTGTGGGTGGGGAAAGGAGGGGAAAACTGGGAGAGGGAGGGAAGGGGTGACATTCTCCTAAAAGAAATGCACTTTTTACCTGATTTATGTAATAGCAACCTCTCTGTACATCACCTTTATAGTAACAATTAAAAATGTTTTAAAAGAATACTCTTAATTTTCTGCACAGCCACTGTTTCTTTTGTTTTCTTATTACTTTAATGTCTAGTATTTAGCATGTTGTTCAGCATAACTGTTCATATATATATATATATACAATTTTAAAATATTATTTCTAGTATTTTCCCTCGCCTAGCATTGATTTGTTTTATTATTTCTTGAACACACTAAGGCAAGGTATTATTATAAAAGTTGAAGAAGAAAATAATCATATTAAAAATATTTGGAAATATCGAGTCTGGGTGTTTATATCTTAGAGTCAAGAAGAGATGTTAAACAGATAGTTTCTGAATAGAGCCTGATGTAGTGATTTGAGATAGAGGTGTGACTTGAAAGCATCTAAATACTTCAGGTGTGAGGTATTGGTGATTGGGAAAATAGCCAGCAAAGTAGAAATGGATTGGTCATGGCACAGAAAAGCCAGAAACTATTCTGAACTGAGCTGAGTGTAGAGAAGTAGCTGTTGAGCCATGACAAGGTGAAGGACACTGGTCAACCTTGACGAGTGCAGTGTGATGTGGAGGAAAGAAAGTGAAATACGGGTATATTGAGGGGCGAGTCAGATGAGGAAGTGGAGTAGGTGCAACATTTTCAGCTGTTATTGACATTACAGCACAGATATTTTCTGTCCTCACAAGGTTATCATTGCGAGTATTTCAGTGGCTCCCTAGTATTTATGGATTATCTACTTATTTTTGTTTTTGTTTTTGTCAGTCATGGGACTTGAACTCTGGGCCTGGGCGCTGTCCCTCAGCTCTTCATCTCAAGGCTAGTGCTCTACCACTTGAGCCACAGTGCTACTTCCAGTTTCCTGAGTAGTTTATCGGAGATGAGTCTCATGGACTTTTCTGCTGGGGCTGGCTTTGAGCCGTGATCCTCAGGTCTCAGCCTCCTGAGTAGCTAGGATTGCATGCATGAGCCACCGGCACCTAGCTTTATTTAGTTTTGATAGTGATGTTAATAGGACAGTAAGGAGTAGAGGGGAAAAAAAGCTCAAAGAAACTAAAAGGAAACCACATTGTATGTTGAGCATTTATCTTTATATTACTATATTGTTACTTAACTCCAGTTGGTTGGACAACATCAACAGAACATGCAGCCAAGCTGCTGGAATCAGATTGTCTGGGATGGAGACCTGGCTCTGTCATTGAATACATTGTGTAATGTTGGGTAAGTTAATTACCCTTTCTTGTACATAGATGGAAGATGCTGAAAATAACTACCTCATTGGTTGTTGTGCAGAATAAATAAGCTGATGGATAAAAGGAGTTTAGAACAGTATCAGGCACCCAAACTGCACAAATTACTTAGCCTTTCTGAAACTCAATTCCTCCTATACAAAATGGATGTGATAATAGAACCAATCTTTTTCTTTTTTTTTTTTTTTTCTTTCGTCATAGGCCTGGGCCTGTCCCTCAGCTCTTCAACTCAAGGCTAGCGCTCTACCACTTGAGCCACAGTGTCACTTGCAGCTTTTTCTGCTTATGTGGTGCTGAGAAATCAAATCCAGGGCCTCATGCATGCAAGGCAAGCACTCTACCACTGAGCCACCTTCCCAGCCCTAGAACCAATCTTTTTGCTAGACAGGAACTTGATCAGCCAGACATGGAGAAGCCATACTTTAAGAGGTCAAATCGAAAGTCTTCATTAGAAAGCCCATGACTGTAAGTGGACGCAGGTGCCAAAGAACCTGCAGCCTAAAATGCAGTTTTTACAAAATTTATAAAGGTAAAACCACAACAAGGCAGATGTCACATTGTATGGGGACGAGCAAAACATGTTCTATTGAAGCAAGCTAGGGCCAACAATCAAGGACAACCAAGGGCAAATATTCTCTGGAGCAAAACTTTCTTGGAGTTAAACAACTCATGACACACCTGCAATTAAAAGACTATCACATCTATAGTGCTTAACAACCCATAAAATAGCTGCAGAACAAAGAAAGCCTTCAGTCACCTCTAGAGTTCTCCGGACTGGGTAAAAATTCCCCATCATCTTTTAAGATGCCAAGATGGCAATGAGGACAAGATGGCATTACTTAGACCCATTATCCATAGTTCACTTTCAGATATTGTGATGATCCATAGATCATAATATTTGATGACAATATTCATGACCATCTATATAAATGACCCATCTATTCTGCACTATCTGGCTAGCTGAAAAGTTTGTTAAGAGTAAGACATCATCATGGGCATTTTCAACTTTTTATTGTCTGTATTGCTCTTGAACTTAACAGTTATTTAATAAATGTTTATTGAATTATCAAGCATATAATACTTGGTTTAACCCTGACAAACCCCTGAACTGGATATGAGTTATACCACAGCGTTTTTAAGATCCCTTCCAAAGGTAAGTTTCTGAGGTCAATGGAATAGCCAAAGCTGCAATTAAAAACACAACTATTTTTATTAACATCTCCTTGATCCCACTTGTACCCTGTGTGCCAAGGCCTTGAATAGTCCATAATGTCCTTATTATATTTCTTTATTTCATTATAGTGCTGGATACTCTAGCTGTTCCAACCTGGGATAGTTATATAATATCTCCCTCAGCCTTCCTTCTTAAACTTTCTTAGGAATTCCTGGAAGTTTTTACATGTTAATCTTCACTTCCTTATTACTTTCCACACTGCAATTTCAAGCCAAGGGTCAGGGGGAAACTCAGAGGTGGCAGGAGTCTGCTTGTAAAGTAGGCGCAATAGGACTGTAGACAGTTCAGCTTGCAGCCTTGTGTTAGACTGTTCTGCAGGCGGGAGGGTATACTTGTCTGGGTTTTGGTTGCTTGTTTGTTTTTTTTTATTGGTTTTGTTTTTAAATTTCTGAGATAGTGTCCTGCAAATGGAGTTCAGGTAGGCCTTAATTCGACCTGTAGCTCAAGCTGGCTTTGAACTCATGGTCTTTCTGCCTTAGAGTTGGAATTATAAGCCTCATTGGTTTTAAACATGCCTCTCATAGGTAGAAAAATTACCTGAAATAGTAATTGTTACACCTTTTTTCAAGAAGATGGTGCAGTTAAAAAAGTGTTAAAATATTTGTGACACTTTTCTATCACTTGAAACACCCACATTCACATCCCACACACACATACATACATGTGCACACACGCACACCATAGCTTGCTACATGGTATTTGCCTTCCTAACTTTGATTTTTCCACTTAATATTTCTGTCATGAATTTTTAGTTCTCCTTTTCCCCCCCAGTACTTGGGATTAAATTCAGGGCCTCACACTTGCTGATAAAGAAGTCTATCAGCTGGGTGTCTGTGGCTCACACCTGTAATCCTAGCTACTCAGGAGGCTGAGATCTGAGGATCAGGGTTCAAAGCCAGCCAGGGCAGGAAAGTTGGTGAGACTCTTATCTCCAATAAACCACTCAGAAAACTGGAAGTGGCACTGTGACTCAAGTGGTAGAACGCTAGCCTGGAGCAGAAGAGCTCAGAGACAGCACCCAGGCCCAGAGTTCAAGCTCCATGACCACAAAAAAAAAAAAAAAGAAGTCTATTGACCTTTAATATTTGTATTTTGTTCTTGAGATAGGGTTACCCTAACTTCACCTAGATTGACCTTGAGTTCTCCATCCTCCTACCTTCACTACCCTAGTATCTGAGATTACAGGCATGAATGAAAATAAGATATGAATAAGATCAGCAGTTTGGGGTGGCTTAGTGGTAGAG